ATCAAACTCAAGGACATATCGACGCCATCCGGATATGCTCTCGAGAATGTGTGATAAAGTCGGATAATATCACCTCCGCTGACAAGTTTTCAGCTAAGACGATTCAGAGTATTAGAGTCAACGTTGTGGGTCGTTCCACGGTGGACTGCACTTGCGCCATTGCCGTGGCAAAGCCAAGGAGGGCCAGGGCCCAGCAAACAAAACGCTGAGTTTCTCGGTCAGAGGGCAGTTTCAACAAATGCCGGCGACTCTGGTCCAAGACAATCGCAATAGTTCTCTTGAACCAGGGAACCAGAACTTGTGCGCGGGGGACAGCAAAACAGGGACAAACAACACACCCCGGCCAGATTCAGGTCGGCCGAAAAACCGACGGCCCACATCGTCGTAGCGGTGCCCGTTCTCCGGCCAATATCCGTCACCTAGGGGTGAGTCGTGGACGGAACATAGACGATGGGCCTGCGCCAACGACAGAACTGACATATTCAGAAGACTGGTTCAGCCAACAGTCAAACGATTTACCGAGCACTATGATCAAATGGCAAACAAGACCAGAGTGGTTGAACTATCAAAAAATTCAAGAATACCGAAACAAGATGGTCCCAGGGCCGGTTGAACCAGAATGGCTAAACGGTCGGTTAGACCCAAGATGGCCAAATGGACGGTCGAATGAGCCCAGACACTGCTGAGTGCACAGAGACAGCAGTGAGCAGGTCTGGCGGCCTTGAAACACGAGCTGCTGCCATAATAGCGCTGGAGCGGCCTTGTACTTGAACTAGAGACGCTCCCCCAGCAGCGGCCCGTATGGCCGGGCGACGTGGGAATTTGGAGCGGTAATTGGTGTCAGAGGCATCGTATTTCTAAAAGACATCAGTGCCAGAATTGAGTGCTTAAAACAGAAGCCACGCATTTCCTTTCCGCTCAATGTGGTAGGCGCAAGCATCTATTGCAACATCTATCTGCATCTGTTTGTGCAGGAGCACGCGCACGTGCGTACGCCAGTGTCAAGTCTGCCGTCAGGTGAGATGAAGCAAGGGGATCATCAGTGCGGGCGCCCCACGCGGCGCGGTGGAGCACGCTCCTACGCCGTCGGCCGCTGCACAAATAAACCGGGCCGCACCGGCACTGGCAATGGCCGACGAGGCTAGCCGCCGCGCAGAGACGCTACCGAGAGAGGGTTACGGACGCTACCCGGGGCCGCTACATGGAGCGTAAGGGCTGCCCGAGGCAGGCGACTGGCGAACCCAGCACCGACACTGAATACAAGTGGGTGCTCGCCGTTCCCAGTATGAGTGATGAGCCGCTGAAATGACTGAGAGCATGCCGTGGGTAGCGCTGCACTAATGTTAGTTTCGGCCGTAAAATGTACACGAGCATCATAGCGAGAACTCACAAACTTGCGTTTCACGCGAGGGACGTGCGCCGGTGTGAAATGCCTATGAAAACCCGACACAAAACTAGTTTGATACACTCGCGGGGTCGTTGAGTCCATACCTACGTATACATTATGGGAATGAGAACTCGTTCCCATAGTATCGCTTGAAGCCCTAGTATCGCTTGAAGAAAACAGGAAAAGATTCATTCACCGTCTATCAATTTGTGAACAGAAAGGGATATCCTACACAGACTTTCTCAGCCATCCTCAGCCATACCGAAAGATTAGCCGACCATTCATCATTGAAATCGACACTCATTGTAGGTGAACGGGGGCTGGAGGCCGACAGGGGTAAAAACCGGCACCCAGCACCGGCTGGCTGGCGTGCCTAGCCTACCACTGAGTTCGGGGACAGGCCGGGTCGCACCACGGGTCACTTCAGTGGCCCGAGGCACGCTACAGCGGCCACCCGCACAGCCCGCTGCTCGGCGCTCGTCTGACCGGGTTGCCTGGCGGTGCCGAAGCGCTGACCCTCCGTGACCCGCCGTGACCCACCGCGACCCAGCGGTGACCTGTCGTGACCTCGCGGGGACCCCGCCGCGGGTCACGGCTGCCGACTCCCGGCGTGGGACACCACCACCCGCGCCCGCTGAGCTCTGGCGAAAGGCAATTAGTACGGCACCCTAATTGAGGTGCGGGTGGCGGTGGCGGGCTGGCAGGCGCGGGCTGGCATACCGCACGCTGCAAAGGCACCGCCGCAGCGCGCAGGTCGACAAAAGCCTAACGATCGGCATACTGATCGACGGCACATAGCAGCACAATCAGTGCCTGTGAGAATGACAGACGAGCCCTTCATCGCGGGGCAGATTTTCACTTTGGGAAGTTGACGGCGAAAACGTGTGCGACCCTCCACAAAGAAAGGAAACAAAACATTTGAATGGCATCTTTGACACAAACTTTTATGATGTGGATAACTTTTAATTCGCTTTTATCTCAGTTTGGCGCCGGTGCCGTTGCCGACGAGGCAGGCGGTCCGTGTAGTGGCACCCCAGCCTGTCTATCGCTCTCCCTGGACTCGCGCCGGGCCGGGCCAGGCCGGCGAGCGGCGAAAGTGGCGGCGCCGGCCGGACAGTGAGCGAAAGGTCGGCACCCACCCGGATACAGAGCAGGCGGCCGGTCAGCGCGGCCGACAAACTGGGCTGACCTGGGCTGGACCATACAGAGCAGGCGACCGACCCAGCGAACACAGGAACCGACCTGGGTTAAACAGTGCAGGGTAGGACAGGGGACAGAACCATAGGACACCAGGCAAGTCGGCGCGGCCAGCGACTGGGCGCATGACCTGGGCTGGGCGCAACAGAGCGCAGGGTAGGTCATGACAACTCGTGACCAAGGCACTGGACGTACGAAATAACCTGAGCCGAGCCCTACAGAGCACATTACAGGTCATGAAACGAGGTCACTAACAGGTCAACGCGACCGGCAACTGAGTCACTAAGCAAATGACCTGAGTTGGCTCCTTCAGAGCGCAGGAATGTCGGGAAAACGACCGAACCTACTCCTAGGGCACCAGACAGGTCATGGGAGTCGGCCCAGTACCCAATATGCAGACGATCACAGGAGCAGTACAACAGCTACCCAGGAATACGACCGATTTCTTATTTCTCCCCCTGTTATTGCCCCCACGGTGACAGTGGCCTGACCCGATAACTTAAGTTCTCGCCCCCGCCACCACCCATATCTTCTACCCACCGAGTTCCGGGCAGACAGTGATACGGGCGTGGTCACACACCCGGCCCGAACGTCCGTCCTTCGCGAAAGTCGCGTAAGCACATAAGGGTCTTGTTTGTCTCCATGACAGCGAGCATCATCGGGGAGCCGGGAGCCTTGGGTGCGGGCCGTCGGTGGGCGTCGATGCGGGTCGGCGGTTTGCCCCGTGCCGACGACGTTGTTGCCACGCCCCCTCCCACAATACCAGTGGTGGGTGTGCACTGTGCAGTGTACAGATCTGTTGATACAATGCACGTCCCTGCATATCTGCAGAGGTTCTCCCCACTCAACTCTCTTAAACAATGTCATTTAAGAATATCCAATATTTCATGTAAAGGAAGTCAGCAACTAACTACAAAAATGTTAAAAACTGTCAGCTGTCCTTCAGCCTATGATCTGGAGTTCAGAATCCAAGAGAGGCAATAAGTTGCACCATCAATCATATATTGATATGAAACACTCATTATTTATCACAATAAGATAAACTTGACTTAGGCACATCAAGAGCAGCTTGTCTATATCTAAACATTAAGTTTTAGGTAGGTACAGCAACAGGTGAAGACCCTGAGGCCCTGACATTGAAATCTTAACAATGCATTACATGCAATTTCTTCAATCACACTTTATTTTAACCTCCTAACTCATTGATATCTATTCCATGTAATGCATGACATGATCTGGGTCCTACAGAATGGAAGGAAGATACCTGCCTACAACAAGCTGGACCTTTTATAGGGTATTACAAAATCTAGAGAGAAAAATTGTTCACCAGCTTTATACCATTGAAAATTTCTAAGCTACTTGCCAGTGTCAGTGTGTATAAAGTATAAGCATTGAAAACAATACCAAGAATGCAGTTCAAATATTAAGCAAGACACTGATTCAGGGTTGAGTACCTACTTGGTAATGTCACACAGGGCACATATTGCAAAGACAATATCTAATAAAGCCTCTTCAATCTAGCACAACCTGAATTGTGCACCACCTAATATAACATGACTTAGGAAGCCAGCTTCACAGATTGAAGAGTGAGGACACATGACGTCTGCATTCTGCAATGCCATCCTCTTTAGTTGTCCCCTATTATAATAATTTTTCTCCAGATCAAAACTGATTGAGGTTGCAAGATAAATTTTCAATGAAATCAAGCTTTAATGGCAGGGGCGCGGGAACTACTTTCCGACTGGGGGGGCACACCATAATAGAGATTAACCTAGGGTACCCCCAAATCTAGTTTTCTCACCGGTTTTAGGCCACTTATTTTTCACCCCTCGGCTTTTTCAACAAAAAAGAAAACATTTGCAAAAAAAAGTGTGGTATTCCGTCTCAAAGCTGTGGGGGCACCGCCCCCACGGCCCCAGAGTTGGGGGGCAAGCTGCCCCCACTGCCCCCCCGGCTCCCGCGCCTATGTTTAATGGTGAAATAAGCTGCACACCTTTTCAACTTGCAGAGCAGTCTATCTAAAATGCTGATTTCATCATAAGTGTTTATCAGAAGAATGAACTGTGAGTTGTGATATGCTCAAATATCTATCAAATATGACAAAATCACTGAGGTGGATCAAAAGCTGATTTATGCATTCCTGTCAGGTATCTGCCCCTTACCCTTCACTTCTATTACAATTTACTTCATGAAGCAAATATCATATTCTCGGAACCGACCACTACGATCCAAGCTGTCACTTTGTCCCATATTCATTATACTCCTATTGGGATTTTTTAGACCCATATGGCCACACTCATTCATGAAACCCCAGATGCAAATGCAGGACCCTGACACCCTGTCCTGAAAATGAGATCAAATATCTTTCACGATCATGCATGTAGGCGCGCCATATTTGTCACAGCATGATACTCACATAAATGAGGCCAGAAAAGTATCTGTCCTTCAAGTTGTGCAGTACAGACGCCTCATTGAGGCAGGTCAGCTCCGCCATATCCTCAACTTTGTTGAATTTTGGGGGATTCATCTTTTGAATGTCATCTTTGTTGACGAGAACCATCTTCCCGGTGTCGGCGATTTCCACCTCCACCTCATCGCCGGAATCTCGCTTGATCCCGGCAGCAACGAATCCATGAGTTTCATGCGGTATCCATACGAGCCGCTTCGTCGTCCATTCCGCTTGGGCAGCCGGATCATTGAACGATTTTCGATCAACGGTGAGATATTTCAAATCAGGGTCGTTCAGGTCAAGGTCTGTCGCCATTTTGCCGCAGTTCGTTATTTCACTCTGTAACAACTTGAGGGTCACTCCAACAACGAATAAATAAAATAAAAACGATTTAAAACTATCAACGTCACCTTATCACTATCACTCCAACCACACAATATTCAGGCGAATCTGCACCGGCCGACCGGCACCGCCTCGCCCCTCCGAGAGCAACGACGCGCGAGTGAACTGCCGTGTCCCGCCCAAGGCAAAGTCCCGCCCCGCCTCGCCCTCCCTTTCTTACATGACATCACACATTTTCTAAAATGCAATGATCCTTTTGTATCGTTTATTGATTAAGTGTTTGGAACACACACGATGCTAAATAAGACAAATCCAATTAATTTTATGGTCATTTACTGCCATCGCAACATACATTCATTACTATCATGTATTGAACTGTCGTCATAATGACGTCATTTTCACTTCGAAAAGAAGTCATTGCTACCAAATATATTTTCAATCACGATCCCCTAGCTCATTGCGCCAGGTAATGTGTAGTGCAAACAGGTATCAGTATTGAACTGGCTGGAAAAGGCCATTTCGCTATAGCTTCTCATAAATTAAGTGTTTTATCATAATATCAAACCGGACCAAAGACAACTCTTTCTGAAAAACTCCAAATTAATGACTAAGTGTTTGCTGTCTTAAAAACATCCTAAAAAATTAGTACCTTTTCTAGTAGCAAGTTAGTGGCTTCTAGTTGAAATCTGGAAGCAATCATTTCAGACATCGATTGCGCAGACGTTTCAAAATATTGTGCCTGTTCAGCGATGCTAGCGATGGCTGCTGACAGCCCTATACAATGCGATGATTGGGTAAGAGATGCATTTCATCGAGCTCCAAGTTTTTCTAAACACTGATCATATATGCACATTGCACATGTTGATGTGATGGATGCGGGTGCGATGGTTGAATTTTAAATTACTTTTATGCAATGGCAGGGTGAGTGGGTTTTCCCTTTTATCATTTTTCCAGAATCCCCAGTTGCAGTACCTTCATTGTAAGGTAGGTAGGTAGGTAGGTAAGGTAGGCATTGACAGGCCAAGATCAGTCCCACGCACAAGGGGGAAAAGCTCAAAAAATTGAGCGCTCAAAAAATTGAGGGGGCCCCATTATGAAGGAATAGGCGAAACGATGGTATTTTAAAATGCCTTTAGCGTCACACTACGGCAAATATCGTATCCAAATAAGGCATCAATGGCAAGAGAGAGCAACAAGGTTTCTTCTCGAACACTCGCCGTGATAATTTATATCGGTGTTTTTGGAAAGAAAATGCCCTAAAGACGCTCAACTTTTTGAGCGCCACTTGTCGTTCGGGACCGCGATACTCAATAAATTGAGCGCCACGACAGACGACAGTCAGCTGGCGCTCAAAAAATTGAGTGCCGGCCAGCATCTACACTCAATTTTTTGAGCGTTCTCCGTGACAGGTGAAGCCGGTACTGGCTGCCATTTTTGATGTTATGTTCGTTGAAATACGTTAAACTGAGTTGAAACAGAAATGCAGGAAGTTGAATGCTACGTGGTACCTAAACTTTTCACAAACCCATGGCATCATGTCACATTTTCCGCTAGTAGTTTTATCGGTCGCCTTTCGGATTCGGCACACCTCAAATAATTATACAGGGCTTGAATAATCCGTATGAATACTGTATTGATATTCTCTGACTGTACTGGGAGAAGGGAATACGTGAATACAGAAAGATATCCACTCACGCTTGAATATTGGAGAATTATAGCAGGAAAAACTGTATTGCCACGGTTACAACTTACAAGGCCATCGGCCGCAAACAAGCAAAAATACTATACAATGTGGGTTAGATTCACAAACATCATCAAGTGTGGAACACAGAGACGAGCAAAACAACATCACATTATCGCATGCCAGCCCGACCACATTGGAACCGGGTGACCTGCGACCGGAACCTGCGTCTTGCCAGCATACATCACAAAAGCAGGAGGCAGTGTCGTACTGCTTTGATCCAAAATATGCCATATAACAAATGATATAAACGACCTAAGCTCGGACTAAGCTTATCATTATCAAATCCTTAACATGTAAGGGACGAATGGAAACATCGAGTCTCAGACCAGCAGTAGCAACCATCATAGTAGCAACATCACAAAGAACACGCGGCATTATCAGACAGCCGTTTTGTTATTGGGCTACAGGCGGCGACGGCGTGGTTGCAGACCAGCTGCGAGGTAGCCGCGTGCGGGCAAAAGGCGCGGGCACACCTCCATGTGGCCGTACGGACAGTGCGCGGTCGGCGTCGCATAGTGGGCGGCATCGGGCTGTCCCGGGGCCGTCGAAGCCGCACAGGTTGTCGGCGCTTGTGGGCGCGCGCGGTCACCACGGCCAGCTGCTCACCGCCAGCACAGACTGCGCAGCGTCGCCGCTCCGCCGGCCAGAACACGCAGACAACCCTTCTTGCAGTCGCACAACACGTCGCCAAACTCATTCACCTGCTCCACCATGTTGTTGATGTCACCGAGTCGTTCAAGTTGTGGCTCGTGCCGTCGAGCATGACCTGCCCGATCGGACACGGGTCAGCGGCTTCTGCTCCAGCGAAGTCTTCATCTTGGTGACGTCTTGCTGATCTCCACAAAGGCTGAGCAGATAACCTTACCCACAGGGACGGCCGACGTCCTCGCCAGCGACCGCTTGGTTGTGCAGACCTGCCAGAAAAAGAAAAGCTGTTTGGTGATCTCAAACGATTTTTTCTTTATGCAGTGGAACAAAATGGAAAATATGTCATACAACAGGAACTAAAAAAAGATGCAGCCTACTGTTAACGCCAGACCCCTTGAGACCCTAATTTTTCGCGATTACTTTTAAATGCGTGAAGGAATTTCAACCAAGCTCAGGACATGGCCGTTTCAAGACAGGCCGAAACTTTTACAATTTAGATATTTTATCGCCATTTCAATATTTCAGGCACTTGTCATTGACTCGTAATGTTAAATTTCGAGCAAGATTTTCATCCGGTGTGTAGAGGCTATCACCAGTCAGTCTGTGATACGTTATGACGTCACAGCTAAGCCCCGCCTCTGTGGTCTTGGCCTGCGGCGGTTTCGGGCCGGCGCGCGGTCACTCTCGCTGTGGCGGGGAGCGGGGACGGGCGACGGTCGAGCGGTGCCGAAAGCCGGCGGAGTTGTGCGTAGCGTCTTGGCTGACAGTGCCCAGAGAGCGACATGATGACTAAGGAGTCATAAATGCTCAATGCGCATTGCTTCTACAATGCGGATATGTTCGCTGATATATTTTTTTTATAAGCTGCAAATGACGGGCAGATGGCATATAACTGACATAAGGTTAGGAAATATTCACCTGTATTTAAAGCCTATGGCGTTGCAGATAATGCGATAATGGGATGTCGGATGTCACCAAGTAGCTGCCGATTTGTACATCGCTATGCAACCATCGAACAACGCAATAATAAGTTAATTGCCTGAGCTTCACATCATACGGCTCGCTCGTATTTCAAACAGATACCCTACATCGAAAATCGTATTTGTTAGGAATCGTTAACGTTTGTTCGAAGCACGACTGAGTAGTAGGTTGAGGAGTGATGGTCCTCTTGGTCCTATATACAAGAGTCAACAAGAGCCTAACATTTACTTGACCGTCTGCTGCAATTGACTCATAGCACGTGAAGCGTCAGCGAAATTCATAGTCCTTCACAGATGGCAGGGGTGTCGTTTGTACAGAGGTCGCTGATGGGCACGGGTCGATGCCGCAGTCGTGGGCGGAGCCTAATGTCATATGACGTAGAAAGCCTCTATCCAGGATGGAAAAACAGTTAACATTACGAGTCAATGACAAGTGCCTGAAATATTGAAATGGCGATAAAATATCTAAATTGTAAAAGTTTCGGCCTGTCTTGAAACGGCCATGTCCTGAGCTTGGTTGAAATTCCTCCACGCATTTAAAAATAATCGCGAAAAATTAGGGTCTCAAGGGGTCTGGCGTTAACAGTAGGTCGTCTAAGAAATGGGTGCAACATTGATAAAATTCTTCATTGAATGAATTCTGCAAATGCTTTTGAGTTTTGATAAAATGTGTGGTGATTATAACTTATAAGGAGGCCACTTTACTATAAAATTGCTCAGGATTCCTTATCTGGACCTGTCAAAAAAATCCTGACTGCACACCAACAATGAGCATTAAATCCGAAACCTCTACCAGGTACCAAGGGATAATTAAATTCTGATTCAGGAAAATATTTCACATCATACAAATAAAAACCTTTACTATATTGAAACTGAAAATGTGATGCCGATCCAGTGACCTAAGGGTCTCAAAGTATAATAATGAATTAATCTATTATAAATTTGGTGGTGACTGTCGACTGGCGTCTGGCGGCCTAGACCTTGAGGCTTGAAAGTGGCCTTCCTTTTCCGTTGACTCTGATCCTCCAGATGGAAATGATATAAAGGATCATTTTTATCTTATTTCATATGAGCCAGTCAGCAAAGTGGCTATCCTGTTTCAGCATTCACACACACAATAGTCGACTGTCAGTCTCTCATGCTGTCAGTGTTGTGAAGTAACGAAGGAGTTGAGTTTTGTTGATTATAAATTGTGATGTTATGTAAAGGACTGGAAAATGAATGTGAAAACTATGGAAACATATTGGCAGAGTATTGTCACTTACTATCAGGACATATGGATAGAGAATACATTCAAATTAATAAGAAATGCCAAATATCAAGGTACTCAATCACTGATAGGAGTGGACTATCATATGTTTTAATGTCAATTATATGAAAGTTAAGACTGAAACTACCTTTTACCTCATCATACCTAATGAAAAATTGTGTGAAGAAAACATTCACAGCCTCTTTGAAGCACTTATACCACTAAAAAACAAAAATTTTCACGTAAATATGTTGTGTCTCCTTCCTTCAAAACATCATATCGGATGGCGCCACTTTCGTCGACAGTTACTTATCTGCACGCAAATCGAGGAAAACGTGAATTGATTGACGTTTACGTGTTTCCAAATTTAAAATCACAGCATATTCAAACTTTTCAGTGTACCATTTAACATCTAAATATAACTGAAACGATAAAAACTTACCTTCAACACGAGGACGACGACAACCACGCGACCGGAGACGTCGCGACGAAATAAACAAACGGCGCCGCCAAATGAAAAATATTCTCCGATATGAGTAATGTGAAATTGAGTCGCAATCATTTTGGGTAGTATGAAAAATGCTCTTTCCAACAGAACCCTAGTAAAAAACGTGAATGGGCAAAAAATAACTTTTATTTCGACATAAATATTGGCCTGTTTTTAAGTCATTCTGGTATGCCGTAAGATTTCGACCTATAAATTGGTGTTCCCCCAATCATTGAAGCTTGAGCAGTGAAAAATATGAAAGCCTAATCGGTTTTGCATCATTAGTGATTCTCCTAGGGTGTTGCCATTTCTCCCTAGGTGTTGCGAGTTGCTTTTGCAAAACGTGTTCCTGAAACGGCTCAATTTTTTGAGCCCTCAACATTACGCCTATGGGAGCCTCTGACGTCACACGCTCAATATTTTGAGCGCTCAATAAATTGAGCTTTTCCCCCTTATGCGTGGGACTGAGATGGAGCCTGTCGGGCCAGCAGCTCTCCACCCGCCAGCAGTCCGAGCACCTCGGTGTCGTACTGGATGGGAGTTTATCTGCGGCGCCACACGTCCAGCACCGCGCGTCTCGAGCTCGTGCCAGCCTGTACGGTCTCGCGCCTGCTGGTATGCTGACGTCCGGCCTCTGCCCAGCCGACAAGTGCTTCTTGTGGAAGACTATCATTCAACCGGCGCTCACATATGGCTGCGTGGCCGCCCCGCTCAATGCAAGGGACATGACGATCCTCTGTTCCGCTCAAGCGACTTCCATCAAGGTGGTTCTTGGCCTGCCTCGCTCCGCCCACCATTCGGCGCTTCTCGCTGCTGCCGACATCCAACCAGCACATGAACTGCTGCGGGCAGCGTGTTTCCGCGCTTTGAAAGATGCGATGCGCTCAGAGCACCGGCTGCAGCAGGCGCTGCTGTCAGGAATCACCAAGCTGGCTATGTGCCCGACTGAGCTAGTGGGCTCATTACTGATACAGCTTCATGAGATGTGTGACTGCAACCTTTCTGCACTCCTCGGGGTGGCAGCAGGGCGGCCGTGCAGCGACCGTATCTACCCCCAACGGGCTCCCGATGGCCTAGCTGACTCGCTTGCCTTCCTGATGAGTCGCCGGGACCAAGTATCTCGCCGCCTGCTCCGGCTATTGACATGCCCGGAGCGGGAGTGAGTGTCGCCTGCGACATCAATGTGTGGCCCCTGCTCACCCACTGTCATGCTTTGTGTGATGTTTTGTGTGTGCCTTTTTTTTCTTACTTTCTTGCCAACTTTGGTGCCTAATAAACTATGATGATGATGATGATGATTGTACGGTCGGACCCCACACACAGGGCCCGTGAACACTTAAACAGTCCTCCGGGCTCTCTGTGCAGCAGGTTCGCATTGGCGCACTAAGGCCCTAGTGACACTTAATTTCAAGTGTCCTTAGGCGATTTCGGTTCGCGTTGAGCCACTAGCCGATTCAGATTGGTTAAAATACAGCTTAGTGTCACTTGGCCGCCTAGTCTTGCTAGCTTCCCAGTGTCCCTCCGAGTGTCTGAATATTGATGTAGGTAGTAGGTACAAGATACGATGAATATTGTGGTGTCAGTGTCAAACTGTAAAGGTAGCAAAAGCCCAGTTGACCCCAAATCTGTCTCCAACTCCTGGCTCATCAGTTTGAGGAGGACAAGACAAGGAGGAGAGCAACTGTGACTAAGATTCTGGTTCTTACCCTGAAACACTGCTGTTAACATTATTTTACCTTTGATCAAATCTTTGTGGGCAAGGTGTAAGGAGTGATTTCAGTCTACTTGGTGATTAATAATGACTACCTAACTATTTATGTTATGCTTCTTTTCAGATACTCTTGTGTCTCATTTTGCAATCACAATATAATGTTTGTCTAGGGCAGTAATTTGTTATCATGGTAACAGCTTAAACCAGCCCTTGAATTTGTTTATCTATGATGAAACGTGCAATATTCAACGTCAGCTATAGGCAATTCACATTATCATGTTGTCGACTCAAGCAACTTCCCAAAAATCTGAAAGGAAAAGGGAAAAGTTCTCAAGAATGGCTAATAAGACAAATGAATGATCCATATGTAAAGAAAGCCAAGATTGAAAACTACAGGTATGTACATAATAGCCATTCTATTCTATATTTGATAGTTCACATGGGGTGTAATGTAAAGGCATTAAATGAAGCGTATCTGTTCTGTTGCATTTTTTTGTAAGGATCTCTGTTCCCCTTCTTTGTTAGGCTGTGTTTGTGCATCTTTCAACTCTTTGACAATTATGTCACCTTCCTGTGCATTAAGATGGTTCTATCTCATTGCAAGAAGCAGCATTGTCTACACTGCTCTGAACCAGATTCGTTGCAGGCTGTAGCACCTGTGACAGAAACGCTGTTGTCTCCCCTCTGCCCTGCGCCAGATCTCCCGCAGATGTCACTGTGACAGTGCCACAGTGACACTGTGAGCTCTGGCAGCTTCTGACGTCTCCCTGCTTTTCTGCCAGGGCGCGGTCGGCGTACAAGCTCCCGGAGCTGACCGAGCAGCTGTGACAGCTCTCCCCTCTGTATTCTCTCAGAGCTCGATCAGCGTACAAGCTGCTGGAGCTGGCCGAGCGGCTGCCGCGTCTGATGGAGCCCGGTGACGTGGTTCTGGAGTGCGGCGCCGCGCCCGGAGCCTGGTCACAGGTGGCGCTGCGAGCCGTCAACGGCGACGGACGCGGTCAGTGGCCAGACATGGACGATTGGGCTTACTCCCTTCGCTTCCTATCGCCTTTATCGTTAACCTCTATCGTTATTTCACCTTTTATCGTTGTCATTTTCGTTTTTTTTTTTTCGTTAATCGCTTGCTACATATCTGCATGGGTAAAGCAGGGGTGGCATAAGCTGAGCGACTACTTAAACGTGTCGTATAGTTTTAGGAAATTATTAGGGTATTTAATGGCCTACTTAGACAGAAGACAGGTTTGTCCTTACGAACCTGGTTATGTGTATTGCAACGAAAAGGAGCATAAAGAATCGACTGCTGTTGTACGACTGCTGTTGTAACAGCAGTCGATGTGAATTACCGCGATGGATCTACAAACTCGGCATAAGATGGTTCCGTTCCGACTTCCTCCGAGTCAGCATGGTCATGAACTAGCGTTTTCTACACGATAAACACCAGTCACGGGCCAGTTCTGCATAGGAATTACATTTTTCCCTTACACAACCCCAGCCTCCTCCACCTTCCCATTTGCGTCTCGATCACAAACACCACCATTGCCACACCGTACCCCGTCAGCAGCAGCAGAAACGGGCCCTCCATGTGCTTCAGACCGATCTGCCGGGCTCGGTTCTTGTCACGGCAGTTTTCCTGACTGACTTTGCACGCCTCGATGTTAGCCCGTATTGCCCGTAGGCGTATTCCGTGGAGGGCGTCCTCGAGCCACTTCTGGACGAGTCCGGCGGCCGAGAGTCGCAGGATGGCGTGGCTCAGGGCGTGTCGATAGGGCGCGTTCCGCTGCACCGGGATGGCCAGCGAGGTGGGCATGAAGACGTCCCGGCTCGGCACCAGGTCCTCCCTCCACAGAGAGCCGTTCGTGTTCAGCGCTATCCAGCTCAGAGCGTACTCGAAGTAGGCGTCCTCGATCACGTGTGCGCGATTGTAGGCGGTCAGAGAGCTTAGGGAATTCATGAACTGGGTCTCCATCACCACCTTTTCCCGAAGTCGGGAGAAGACGGCGCCCTGTCGCGTGTTCAGCCATTCGGTGAACAGGCCGTTGGTGTGGGACACCACGAGCTGGTAGTTGCTGTCGGCGAGCTGTTCCGTGGTCTCCACGGGCCTTCCGGGCGCGCCGTTCACCAGGAACGACGTCAGGCTGCTGGTGTAGCTGCAGCCGATGGTGAAGGCGGTCAACAACCACACTCCGATGAGGAGCATGACTGGAGAAGCCAAGAAGGTCCTTGGCAGACTCTGGGCTAGGAGGATCTTATACGTGTCACTCAGCGCGTGGTGAAAGCTGCATTTTCTCAGTACCATCAGCGCCAAACTGACTGCCAGTAACGTTCCGATCACGGTGGCCCAGAGGGAGGGCGTGAAGGGCGCCAGGACGGTCAGGTAGGCGGGCAGCGGCGGCGGCCGGCGAGACACGAACATGGAGCGCACGATGGTGAACTCCTGCAGGAAGTGGACCGCTTCGGCACGCTCGGCCGTCACTGATATACCTCCGAGGGCCAGGTCTGCCTCGGCGCGCACCACGCTCGCCAGGAGACCGTGCCACGTGCCGTTTTCGTCTAAACTGCCCCAGACGCGGCGCGAGTGGTGGCGCAGCTCCGTCGAGAAGTTTAGGTGTTTTCCCAAAGTGGATAGGATGTTAGTCTCTGGGCGAGATAGAGGCGTTGTGCAGGTGCCGTTGACCGTGAACTTCGAACAGTAAACAAATGGGTAGTAATTCAAAAATCGCACTTGAAAAGTGACGCCACTTAAGTTCTTAGTTTGAGTGAGTAGTGGGTTGATAACCGTGAAGTTTTCTGCCGAAAATTGCGCTACTTCCCTTATATCCACGCCTCGTTTGGTGAAAGTGACGCGACGCCAAACTTGCCAAACTTCGTTGTGGAGCTCCACGCACAAAGGAAACGGGGTCTTGGTGAAAAGAGACATCGCTAGCGCTTCACTGCAGGCCATCCCGTCCGGTGGAAGGAGGAGCACTGCTGCGCTGGCCCAGTGCCGAGGAACGCTCTCCTCGGGCGGCTGCAGACAGTCTGCGGAGCCGGCCCAGAGCAGCACGGTGCCGCCGGACGGCCGGTACAGACCGGCGCCCAGCTGCTGGTGGCACGGCCGGCACAGCTCGGCCACGGTGCAGCCGCGCGAACACGGCAGCCGGCGCAGCAGGCCCGTCAGCGCCCGCTCCGAGACGGCGCCGCAGGGCAGCACGTGCAGCGTAGCGGCCGGCAGCTCCCCGGCGGCGGTCAGGTGGGAGGTGAGCTCGGAGAGGCTGCTGGTCCACGCCAGATCAGCGGCTGATGGTTGAGCGACGGCTACTCCCCTACAACACATCACAACCAATAGGCTGCGGGTGATCCTGGCGCAATATGTCCAACACTGTCGATCTTGAACTGCAACTCTTCTCTTCATATTCATTCTGATTTATGGATTATTATTACTGTCTGGAATATACCTTACATGCTCAATTATTCGCGACCTCTTCATTAACGCATATCAGCTACCATTACAAATTGCAGCGATGTTGGAGATTTTTATGGGCAACCCAGTAAAAAATACCATTAGAAATTACCAAATGGTTCCAAATGGGAAAAACCATTTGACTTATTGAACACTTTTCCAAATGGTTCCAAAGAGGTTCCATTTGAAATGTGTCCAATTGGCCACCAATTGGTACCAATTGGCACCATTTCATGACCATTTGAAATGTATCCAATTGGTCACCAATTGGTACCAATCGGACCAATTGGTACCAATCGGACACATTTCAAATGGTCATGAAATGGTTCGAATTGGTACCAATTGGTGGCCAATTGGACACATTTCAAATGGAACCTCTTTGGAACCATTTGGAAAAGTGTTCAATAAGTCAAATGGTTTTTCCCATTTGGAACCATTTGGTAATTTCTAATGGTATTTTTTACTGGGCAGCTGGATTACCATTTGAAGATCCTTTTGAAGTCCATGCATTTCATCCACAAAATAACAAACTGAACCGTGAATTATTTTTATTGTTTTACTCTGCAAGCATATACATTTTCATCAGTACGTATCTACCAACATTAGACATTAACTACACATGGACATTGTTGTTTGGTCAACACCACATCGATGAGGCGATTGCTATCAGAATCAAGAACAGAATTACAATGTAGTTATACACTGGGCCATACGTACGCTATTCCACATAGGCACAATGAACGACGTGATACAATATCATTCCGATCGGTGATACTGTCTGTTGTTCTGACAGATAGATTTCTTAATCTTCCGTGGCGATCAGAATTTTCAGAAGTCAGAACGTAGCTATAATGCGGGCACGCAGCCCATCTGGACCCGTGTAGAGCCGGTAGACGGCATCTGTCCGGTGCAAGTTCGTGCCTGCAACAGTACAAGACAGCACGGGTTAATTGGGCGATGGGATCAAATTAATTACCCAGTAAACATGCCGACGTCGGCCCAACGTCGGTTCAACCTCGGCCCGACATCGGCTGGACGTCGGATATGCCCGCATGTTCCGACGTCCAGCCGAAGTCCAGCCGACGTCGAGCCGACGTCGGGCCGAGGTCGTTTGCCGAGGTTGACGAGATCGTTTGTCGTTGGACCGACGGGGCCGACGTCGGCATGTTTATTGGGACAACGCGCCAAAAATGTCAACCGGCGGCGGGATTCGAGCCCCCCAGTCGCCGACGTCGGCATGTTTACTGGGACAACACGCCAAAAACATCATCCGGCGATGGGATTCGAACCCCGTGTCATTTGAACGCGAGGTTAGTGCGCTAACCACTACACCACGCAGCCAGATAGCGAATATAGTTTGTTTTGTTGGGTTATGCCCTTTTGGTCTGACAAGACCATTTCAGAGCCGGAAGAATGATAGGATGGTGACATTGGTCTTCTTGGCGAGCACCCTGGGTCCAGTTCATATAGTCCCTGGTCCCATTGCTGTTACGTGACACTTAAAGGAAAGGGCGACCCCACAATGGATTCATATAGCCACTCTTACACACCTGCACCAACGTTTCCCAAAGTGTCCCTTTGATAAGTGGCACTTTGGCAAAGTGACACTTGCCGACTGGCCTTTCTATATGAACTGGGCCCGGCCCTGGTGAGTTGCCGGGGCTGAGCCTGACCAAAGGATAGGCCGAGCACTGAGCAGCCCCCAAACACTCACCGCACCCGGCTACGGGCGAGCTCGGCTTGCGGGCAATCCCAAATGGGATAAAATTTCCCGTCCAGTCCGGATCAGGGGGTTGCGGCGTGGAGGAAGATTTGAGCTTCCTGAGGATATTTTGAATACAGAAGCTCTTTATGAAACATGAAGCATGTATTTTATATTATTTTAACGGTCAAAACAGCGGCCGATGTCGGTCCGACGTCGCCCCGACGTCGGCTGGACCTCAGCAATTGATCTCGGTCCGACGTCAGTGGCGGCGGAAGCAGGGGGGCAAGGGGGGCAGCTGCACCCTAAAGCTATGGAAAGGGGCGCCTCGAAAATCTGTAGAGGAGGCAGGAAGTTAAGAGGTGCGGCAGCCATAAAGCTGAGCAGTGCGACACCGCAACTGATAAAGGAACTTGTGACACGAAGAGGGTGGCAATGACGTGGGAAAAGTATCTTTTGATATGCTGAAGAGTGGAGGGCATCCTTATCTGAAACAAAGGCAGATGCTGCCGAGTGCCGACCCTGTCGAATATAATCTTGCCAGGCGATAAAGGCTAGGAGGGCGCAGCCACTCGAGAAGCGCGCCATGCGGAAGAGGGGCGCCTGTGTGTGGGACGAAAAAGAAACATTTATGGAGACGTCTTTGAAGGCGATAGCCTCCGAACGCCAACACGAACATATGAGGGCTTATAGCGTTGCAGGCTCCATGCGACAAAAAGGGGCGCCTGATGGCCGATATGCGAGAGGAAATTAGTTTGTGTAACATTTATCGGGGGCGGTTTGCCGTTTACAAATTACAACATATGAATGTTAAGGGAGGTCCGAGATTGGGGCCTGTAAAATTGCACTGTCCGTATGGGCGTTTACACCCCCAGTGCTAGGGCGTATTTTGCGTTTTTTTTTTTTTACTGGGGAGATGATTATGACCAGGAATAGCACTCTGCAAACTTCTATGGGCGCCTGTATAGGGGCGAAACTGATTTTCCAGTGCAGGGACGGCCATCGGCATTGTGGGGCGGCATTCATTCCACTGGGGCGTCTGCCAGTGTTGAAGGGCGGTATTCATTTCAATGGGGCGCCCGTTGGTGTTGATGGGCGACATGTATCACCTGGGGCGCCTATCGGAGATTGGGGCGGCATTAATTTCACTGAGGCGCCTATCGGCGTTGACGGGTGGTATTTATTCATCCGGGGCGCTTATCGGTGGTATAGGCCGGCATTCGCTTCACTGAGGTGCCTATCGGTGTTTTAAAGGAAGGGTGCCACCTTCCGAAATTTTTGTTCTATGAATCTATTTTACTTATTTGAATTTTTAGACGTGGTTAGCGCGTCCACAATATACAAAATACCGAAACATTGCATTTAATACATTGGCCAAAAAAAAAGATCGTTGTTTATATCACCACTACAACTCAAGGTCGTTTGATGTGGCAGCTAGGACGGCTGGCATATCCTGTTGTCATGGCAACATATCATTCTGCCATTTGCATTGATGGCGCAACTGAGACAAAAAGATGAACAAATAAAAAGGAAGAAGATAACATGATTTGAACTAAGTTGTAGGTAACCAAGTAGGTAACTGTTGGCCATATTTGCCACCTAATTGGTTATTCAAAAGAACATCAAATAAGTCGAGTAAAGGTTTTTCCTTTACAATGCTTAAGAGATCTATGGAACCCTTCACCCTTCATGCAACTTACTAGAAAAACTTCCCAATTAAAATTTTAAAACTTAAGTGTATACCATAAAGAAAAAATATACCCTTTCAAAATGATAAAACATGCTTCAAAAGTATAACTTTTATACATACCTTTGCTGATTTCATGTTTTATAAAATACCCTTAACACGACGAGGAAATAGTGCTGAAGATTTTTGCCTGCCCGAATGCTGGCAGCAAAACTCGCAAATGATAACTTCACGTGCGGATTCAATGCTGACCGTCTCGAGCATAGGTAAGTGAAGCCGGTTTTTAGGTTCATGTGAGGCTAATCTTGTAAAAACTGCGTTGTGTCCAAAAGGTGGCACCCTTCCTTTAAGGCGGCAGTAAATCCACTGGTGTCTGGGGCGCCTACCGGCGTCGAAAGGCGACATTCATAATTCATTTCACTGGGAGGCATATTGGTGTTGAAGTATAACATTCATTCTCCTGGGGCGCCCGGCAATGAGGGGGCGGCATTTATTCCGTTCCCCTGGGATGGGCCCCTATCAGTGTGGAGGCGTCGCCGTCGTATGTTTGAAATGGGGGCACCTCTGGGTGGTAATAGATGCATTCATTTCGCTGGGACACCTACCAGCGTTGATTGCCTGTATTCATTCATTTCGGGCTCCTATCGGTGTTGAAAGGCGGCATTTATTTCACTGGGGCGTCACAAACCTGCTACTCCCACCATAAACCTCAGCCTATTCACTTCACGTTAGCAGTAACTAGAAGTCTCTTAGGCGGCGTTCGATGTCTCCCGGACGGCAAAGATTCTTTGCCGTCCGGCCAATAACGTCCAAGGTCAGCGGGGGCTCGGCTGCGGTATGAAACGTGATTGGCCGGACGGCGTAGAATCTTCGCCGTCCGAGACATCGAACGCGGGGTTAGTCTCGGCATAGAGTCTCGGGTATCATTGCGTCGCGTCGGAGCGATTAGAAACCGGGTTCTAACGATCGAAATTTCGCAGCTCAACCAACTTGCCGGGAGGACGGATGCAACTTAAACGCAATTTAAATGAGTGTTTTTTTTTTTAGCGCCGAATGATGTTTCATTAAGAAATAGTCTCTTCACTGTTTGTGTTACTACAACCGTGTATATGGTAAGGGGCGCCCAGCGGGAAGGGGCGCTTCAATATCGTTTGCACCCCTATCCTAGAATACCTTCCGCCGCCACTGTCCGACGTCGTCCCGACGTCGGCTGGACCTCGGCTGGACGTCGGAACATGCGGGCATATCCGACATCCAGCCGACGTCGTGCCGAGGTTGGACCGACGTCGGGCCGACGTCGGCATGCCGATGCCGAGTTGCCGACGTCACCCCGACGTCGGCCGACGTCGGGCCGACGTCGGCATGTTTACTGGGTACCACACAGGGTCATTTGTCAAATATCACAATATAATAACTTTAAGCTCATGCAACTTGCATTGTCATTTAGGCAGCCTGACCAAAACAAATATGGCACTGACAATTTTCTGCTGGCAAAATAAATTGTGATCACAAATTTTAAGCCTCTTTCTCACCTCTGTTAAACTCAGTACTTACAAAGATGCCAAATGCAACCAAATTTATTCAAATAACTATTTTCAGTATTTGCAGTCGTAAAACGAATATCGCATACAGAGGCACAAGAAAAGTCACTCACCAGCCGCGTGATTCTGCTCAGCTTCCTCTTTTACAGCAGGACTGGGTCCCGGTCGACCGCGGGCGCCGGGCAGTCCCAGGCCCAGCGAACGCGAAACACGGTGGCGCGCCGGCCGGCCGGCCGACGTCGACGCCCGATTTGAACACAGGCATATTTACGTCTGGACAACGAGTTGCGGGGAAAAGTGCTGATTGTGTTGCAGTTTTAGGAGCCGGTAATTAGGCTGGATTTTTGGGTTACTTTTTCGTACCGATTCATGTATTTCATAGTGTTTGGCTTTTGAATATTTTAGTTCTTTCAGATAAATATTACTTGCCTTACAACTTTTGTAAAAACGTTTCATTTTTTTATAAGCCGACGTTCAGAGTCCTAAAAATACATCAGCACTACAATCATTGTAAACAAACAAATGGAGCACCACTTGGCTCTGTTCCAAGGCCATTTTTTAGTTTATCTGGTGGTTTTCTTGCCAGAAAACCACCAGATAAAATCTGGTGGTTTCTTGTCGTTTTGTTGGATGTTTTGAATCCCTTAAGATTGACTTATATCATATTTAAGAAGCATGTTGACTGAAAACAATCTGAAGTATCCAGGAGGCTGACAGAGAGAGGTCCTGACTACTGAGCAATATAAATATCAAGTTGAACAAGTTATGAAATTTTGGTTGATAAACGCAAGTTGATCGGGCTCATATATCACTCAGCAAGAAAAGGTAAAATTAAAAGAGCTTATTGTCCAAAAACAAGCTATAATATTGCAGACCTTGGAGCAATACTGAAGAGCACGCTGAGCAGGATCATGCCAGAAATGTTGACTGATGAGCGCATATTGATGTATTGGTATGAATATTGAATAATAACTTACAACAGCAAGATAAATTAGTGCTAACTATCAAGTTAAAATCTAGAATGAATGGACTTGGGCAGTTTTACTATGCTTAGATGCTATGCAGATTGTAATGTGCATCAGGTACTCAGTGTCTGGCAAATCAGTAGGCGGAACTATGGTCAAGCGTACCCATTTTCGGGAACGCATTTTCGTTCCCATATTTGGGAACGATAAACCCAAATATGGGAACGCCATGTAGGCATTATTTAAAACAAGAAAAAGAACCGTTAAATGACGTCCAAAAAATATAAAACGATCGTGAACCGCCTGATCGTTGTCTCAATATTGTTGGGAAAGAGTTTGATATTGTAAGGCCCATCGTAGTTTCAAATCGTTCCCCTATTTCTAAAGCAGTCCATCACCCGGGCCGCGAGCCCAAATTTGGGAACGCTCTCGTACACTGGCGCTGCAAGCGTTCCTTATTATGGGAACGGCGTACCCAAAATTGGGAACGATTTCACCGACGCCTTTCAGGAGCTCTTTTCATTAACAAGCATCACTTCCAACGCCGCAAATTATTCTTAACGCAACAATCATCAGATGACCTTTCCGGCAAGACCGTTGCATGTTTCGCCCGGTCTTCTGCGCTTTTATTCCCGTCGATCTCGCAGCGGGCACGCCCCCCTCTGCAGGATTACGTAATCCACAACGCTCAGCGATGTTCAACAAGGTCTTCCATACCTATATCCACCGTCCGCGCCGAGGGTGGAGACATGTCAAGCACCTGTCTGCTAATCACCGAGAGTTGACGAGCACAAGAAGTATCCAAAAATGGGAACGCTGAATATGTTACACCCTCAAAACACCTAGTCCCAATGAAAATCTAGTTTTTTCCTTTCTTAATGAGTGTAAGTGGCAAAAGGCCTGGTAGGATGGGCACGAGGAATGATCGAAATCAGCATAAAAATTATAAATAAGCCACACAGAGCGACCTATATCAGAGAAATTCCCCCCAAACGATCATGCTTAGAAACGCCGAAGACAAAAACCACGCTCATGACGCTGCTTATAAAACAACGCTAAACAGCTAGCATCCAAATAAAATATGTCTTTCAGGGCTGATAAAATACAGCTGAATGATTTTAAACCACTGAAACTGAGTTTACAACAGTAGTTCGGTAAAATCACTGACGTTCCACGCGGTCGATCGCCCCGACACCAAAAGTCAACAACATTACCTCGGGACTGTCCGCGTGTTCGCTTGCATATGTCAGCATCTGGTGTCGCTAGAATGAAACTTCATAACCAGGCGAAAATTATTATACTTGACCTCAAAATGTAAAAAATGCTTCATTTTCCTTAAAATTGCATGTTAAATGTCGTATAACCCATATTTCCACCATTCTGTCATTTTTAAAAATCATTAAAAATATCATTCCACGGTCAATTTCCTTGTTCCACGGTCAGATTAAAGATAACTTTATGGAGATTTAGTAGATGCTTAAATCAGCGTGCACTTTTTTGAGACGTGATGCACTTTTGAGTTTTAGTGGGCGAACGGCCGAAAAATTGCCTTCCGTTCTCATAAATGGGAACGCCCGTTCCCATATTTGGGAACTCCGTTCCCAAAAATGGGAACGTTCCTATATTTGGGTACTCATGACCATAGTTCCGCCTACTGAAATGAAACATGTGATCATTCCATTGCTACTGGAGGAGAAAGCTTGGATCACTAAATCCACTTTATGTTGATTTTGATGTTAATCATCATCACTGTATTTCTTGAAAAAGGATTGTCGTAAAATTGTCAATGTGACAATCCATGCAGCGATGTGATCATATTATGTGTTCATAGTCATTCGTGATAGTCATTATTGGTCCAATATACAATGGCAAAGCTCTCAGTTTCAGCATTTCTTCCTGTGGATGGCCAGCAGTGACTCCGAGCTTAGAAGCATTAGTTTTCTTCACAGGGCTGGGATAAAAAGTACTGAGGGTAATCTTCCACCAAGGAACTCTACTTTGACATGGTATGAGATGTAGGCACAATTAGGTAGGTGCTCAGTTCCTATAGTCAGTAGTTGTGTATGTTTAGTCGGGTTAGCTTAGATCAGATTGTTAGTTTTTTAATTTGCCAAATGTCCATAAAAATGTGACCTGAGCAATGAGCATACCTGAACCTGACTAACCTGACAGCTGACCTAACCTCAATCATCACACATATTTGCAGCCTACCCAAGACCTGCATGGCAGTAGCACCCAGTTATAGGTAGGTACTCACCCTAACTCAATCTTACCTGCTAACCTTCACCTTGCCAAAAGTTAGCTCAAATTGCCAAGCTGTGTCCAGGGAAACAGTCAACTGAGGAACTGGCTCATTGGGTGGCTGGTGTGAGTCTGTGCATTTTAAGTGTTTCTTCTCTGAAGCTGCTCTGCACTGCTGTATGTCATGTTAGATGCTCAGAAAATGTGGGAAATGATTACTAAGCTACTTTAGTGCTTTATTAATGCTCGAGACATGAACAAGTACAGATCCTGCAGGGTACAGCTATGAGTTAGGTGCTAGGTGAGTATGTTATGTGAATGTGCTGTTCCCTGTTTGACCGTAAGTATACAAACAAGCACAGGGTCATAGTTATATTCAATCTCCACATAAACATACAACAAAAACGGCCATATAGCCTAACTCCGATCACACCACAGATAACTTAAGCCTTTGAAGGCACAAAATGTTTTGATTGACAGGACAGGTTTACAATATATCCTCTGTCCTTGGGGGATCTTGCTGCCAAGTTGAGGTATGATGACTGAACTTCAGGATTGATCAACCTTTTCTTAGCCACTGCTTATACATATACGAGAAAGACCAAATGCTTGTTTGTTTTGATTTACAGGACATGTATACAATATATCCTCTGTCCTTGGGGGATCTTGCTGCCAAGTTGAGGTACGATGACTGAACTTCAGGATTGATCAACCTTTTCTTAGCCACTGCTTATAAACGAGAAAGACCAAATGCTTGTTTGTAAACTGCGTTGAAAATTTAATGATCCACCTTCAATTCTGACATGAAGGCACAAATGAAATAGTTCCCTCTCCTTTTGGAATACACAAAGCAAAATATTTAATAAATTTTAGTGGATGGACAAGAGCAATTAGCACAGCTTTCCCTCAAGTTAACTTCTGGCACTGTTGTACATACACTGACGCTTATTCGCTTCATATTTTGTAACAAACGCGCTAAAACTGCAATATAACAGCACTATATGCTTCTTGACAAAATGCAAAAGTATTAAAGATTTAGCCCTGATGGCATTCATTCTTGGTGGAAACGTAATTAAAAAATATTTTGTAGTAACTATTAAATTCCGGCCGAAAACAGTGCACGGTTTAAAAAAGAATCATTCCAATGACGGTCCATTCTTGCGGTCCTGAAATCGCCACTATTTCCGGCCTCTCCAACGCAACTCGTTGTCCAGACGTAAATATGCTGAACACAGGGGGGTGTCGTGCTTGTGTTACTCCATAGGCAAAAATGTGACTAATGACGTCACAATATCGACAGCTTCTGCGCAATTGTTACGTTTAGTGGCGCGTTCCGCCGCCATTTTTAAAATTGTTTACTTTGCGCGTGCTCTCTCTTGTTGCAGCCGTTCTTCTTCTCTGGATTTTGATCGGTGTCGGCTCAACAGTTGTGAAATACCTATATTTGTTAGATCGTTATTACTTTGCTTGGTTTAAGCGAGTGTTTTAAGTGTTTGTGAGTCAGCATGCCACACTGCGCCGTTTCAAAGTGTTTCAACAACTCTAGGAATAGGACTCACATTATTTTCATTCCCCAAAATCAGTAGGTAACTTGAAATAAGAATGGATGCATCAGCATAGGTGCGCCAGAAAGGACAAAATCAATGTCAAGACTGCCCGAGTGTGTGGGAAACATTTTTTGGATGATGACCTGGATGATTCCTTCAAAGTTCAGCGATCTATCATGCCATCAAATGTGAAGTTGAAGCCCAAGCTGAAGCCTGGAGCAGTACCTACCGTCCATCAAATTGCCGTCATCAACCTTCAGGCAAGCTGCATGGAATATCATTTAATTTACAGTTTTGCATAGGTATATTTCAATGATTTCATTATTTTTGTCAGTCATCTTGTCTCAGATGCTCTGCCCATGCGTGTTTCATTTGTCCAACAAAGGACAGGCGCTATCTTATAATCTTACCTAACATAACCCAACATAACCTACAAACCAACAAAAATACAACAGCTCCTTCCTTGTGGGTTCCCTCCCTCACGCTCATTCCATCCTGAACTCTCCCATATGGCTGCGCTCGGCAAGTAGTAGGGAACCCCAACAGGTGAGTTGAACAGTTACACAATCTGCAAACCAAAAACATACAATAGGTCAAAAATATGGGTAATCATGGATATGATCATTTGCTGGATATGTTTGTTTGGATGTTTTCTTCTCTATATTCCACTCAAAATTTCCCATTTTTATTATCATTTACATTGGTATACAATCCTCCTTAGTTACCAGAGACTGTACGAACGTGTAGGTCACTTTTTAGAATAAACTTAGTCACTTTTTCTGAGGAGTTTGCCAGAAAGTTGCTAGCGTCGACAGATCTCGCATCTCATGAGATGCCTCAAAAAAGCTATAATACCAAAACATGTGTGTATGGCCGGCTATGAAACCTTGAACCTATGATTATCAACTCAAGGCGGGTATAGCTGATAACTGATAGCTGATAGTTGATAGCTGAGCCAGCTTATAAGAAGGCTGTGTAAGCGATGCACCAATGACGCAATAAGGTATTCTCCAGAGTCCAGGTGGTACTTATCCTTTGTTGGAAAACAAAATAGGCGAGTCTAACAACTTTTCACAAATAACTGGCAGTAGGTACCTGAAATGTCCGCTATGCGATTAGGATATTTCACGTTTTATTATTGTTCATAGTTCACAAATTTGGCACTTAATTGTTTATAGCAGGTACTGAGTAGGTAATTAGTATTATCTTTGACTTTTTAATGCAAATTTTCAGGCTGCATCAGCATCATTACGCTTTGCACTGATATTTTTATGTATGAATTGATAAGTACTTTTTTAAATGTTATGCTTTTGAAATGACCTCACAAGAACATTTGTTGCCCAATTTTCCTTATGAATTCAGTTTTTGCTCAGATCTGTCTTATGACACTTATGACCTAAATGTAACTTAAGATATCTTGCGATCATACAGAACTCAGTTAACATATCTATTTCTCTGCTAGATCTGCTGACAGAATGAAGTGTTCTTTACATTTTTATTTGTTTTGCTTCATTAAATCATTATTTCCTTGCAGGAGACAAGAGGTGACATATGCACAGCGAGATGGGCGTTTGCAGCAGCGGTCCCTCAAGAAGCTGAGTGACGAGCTGACCACTGCAGGGTCTGGTCAAGAGCTGTCGAGGTATGCTATTTGTTTTGACATGATGTGAGATTGGGTTGTAGCACAAACTTGTCAGCTTGACTAAACTGACAATACAGTTTTATGATTTTCACAGTCAAGCTTTAGGCAATGTTTTGTAAATTCCTATGGTGCTCAAGGAATTCAAAAATTACCTACCTAGAGCCTGTCATTGGAAACATATCTGGCAGAGGTAAATCTTGTGAAGTGCTTTTAAAAGTAAGTTTTCAAAAATAGGGGTTGTTTTCTTTTCCTGGAATAAACATAAGTGCGCCTATTTGTTGTATCATTGGTGTATCATTTTGCTGTAAGTATCATTGTTGTATCATATAGCTTTTTACCACTATATTCCCTCAAGATATGCCTGTTTGACCTTTTGAACATTGAATAGGTATCGATGATAGGTAGCTATGCGTTCAGTGTCCAATTCTCGGGTGTCCAGCCAGTGGTAGGTACACTCGGGGGCAGATTGATGTTCCGCCACTCCCTACCCATCGGGCTCCCATGGCTCCCGCGCTGGCTGCTGTCAGTGGCAGGACTGGCAGCACTGGCATTGGCAGGCAGTGCTGAGCAGTGCTGAGGGCAGGCAACATTGGCAGCAGCCACTACTGATCCATGGGAGCCCGATGGGTAGGGAGTGGTGGAACATCAATCTGCCCCCGAGTGTACCTCTCAAATATTTTGGGTGTCCAATTCTAGTATATTGAGCTGGTGCTAATGCTAGGCAGAGCTTGTTGCGTACACCCCGACCCCTACCATCCAATCGCGCAATGCCGGGTAACGGGAGAATTTATAAATTTAAATATTACATAGCAGTTTTGACATTCACTGTTTTCTGTCGCCTCCAGGGACAGCGACGGCGGCAGTCCGACCGGCGATCCTGGACCTGCTCCGGAACGGCCTGGATCAGATCCTGGACCTGATTGTCCACTGATCGTCTTCGAGGAAACCACTCCTCTTGAGCAAGTAGTGCGCCTGGAAGGGGAGGTGAATGACATGCAACAGCGCCTATGGAAGCTCAGCAGGAAGTGTCGGAACGAGAAGAGGTCGCGCCTTCAGCGCCGCCTGCGTATCGCCACCGAAAAAGGATGACAGCTGGACCGTCTTCTAGAGTCCGGGGTTCTGTCCCGTGGTCAAGTGCGCCAGGCGGCGACAGGGCGCCGGATCCGCTGGTCTCCTGGAGACGTGTCCAAGGCGCTCGGTCTGCGGTGCCTCACGCGCAAGGGATACAAGTACGCCCAAAGTGTGCTGAAGATTCCGCTGCCCTCCGCGAGCACCCTGTCTCGCTGGACCCGCGCGTTCCGCGTCACACCCGGTGTGATGGACGCCGCTGCTTCCGTCCTTGAGGCTGTCACGACTGACATGAGCGACATGGACCGTCTGTGCGTCATCAGCTTCAATGAGATGTCGCTCGACAGCCGCTACTGTTACGACAGCACAGCCGACCAAGTATTGCGCGGTCCGAAGCTGCAGCTACTGATGGTGCGGGGACTTTGCTCGCCGTGGAAACAGACCCTGTACTACCAGCTGGACTCAGCCATGACGCCAGGCGAGCTGGTGCACGTCATCGTCCGCCTCGAGAGCATCGGTCTGTCGGTGGTGGCAGCAACGAGTGACATGCACTCCTCCAACGAAAAGCTGTGGGAGCAGATGGGAGTCACGCCAACCAAAACCTGATCAAGAACCTACACGATGACAGCAGGTTAGTGGAATGTTGGCACACTCTTGTGTTAGATGAAATTCGCATTAAAAGTAATTCTAATATCCTCATTTCTGAGCTTTTACACAGATTTGACCCGATTCGATCGAGCGATAAGCTGCGCAGAGCAAAGACGGAACCGTCCGGCGCTGTCATAGTCAAACTGCTTGATTTTAAACCCCTGATGGTAGAAAAGTTGTAGTCTGATTTACTTATTGCTTTCACAGCAAGATGCGTATCTAAATTCGAGGCAGGTACTGAAGATGTTATGTTAACATAATGATTGCGGCGTGAGTCAGTTGCGAAAAACAGGATGCGTGGGCAGTATTCGCCCCCCCCCCCTCCTTGCACTGTGCGTGTTTAATAATAATCATGCGAAGACAAACGACTCTCCCCGTCACCGCAGAACCAAGAAAATAAGAATAAGTGCCGCTAAAAGTTAAATAAACTTTCCTTTTTCAGATCTAATGCCCAGCGGAGCTGACGGCAGCGGTGGAGGAGGAGTTTCGGGCCGTCACCCTGCAGCCGAAAGTGCCGCCGGTCATCAGTATCACAGAGGAGGCTGAAGACGGCGGTGCGGCGACCAACACTGTGCAGGCGAGGGCTAGAGCTGCTGAGGACGCCTGCGACAAAAGTAACCGGGCCTGGACCTCCGGATCGCCAGGAAGCTGGTTCGTACCAGGCTGCACATCCGGCTACGATTCCTCAATCAAGCTTAGGCTGAGGCTGCCGCCGCGAGGAGAGCAGCCAAACAGGTCCGCCAGCATGCCCAGAGCTCTGTTAGTTGAGGAAGGTGCTGAAGCAGGATGTCGGGCTTGAGCGGCTGCTGCTCACATAGCTGGCTCCGCTTCTGCTCATCTGGCCACTCATCTGGTCCTCTGCCGCTCGCCAGGATGACTCATCTACTGCTCATCTACCCCTCGCCTGGCTGACTTATCTGCCGCTCACCTGGCCGGGTTGTCTGCCGCTCGCCTGGCCGCCCACCGCGCGCCTGGCTGGCCCGTCTGCCGCTCGCCTGGCTGGCCTGTCTGTCGCTGATCTGGCGGACTTGTTCACTGTTCACGTACCGCTCACCTGGCTAGCCTGCCTGCCGCTCGCCTGTCCGTCTGCTGCTCGCCTGGTTGGCTCGTCTGCCGCTCATCGTGCAGGCTTGTCTGCCGCTCATCTGGCTGGCTTATCTACCGCTGATCTGACCGTCTTCCGCTCACCGCTTAAAGGCTACAAGTACGCCCAAGCTGGTGTGCTGAAGATTCCGCTGCCTTCTGCGAGCACCTTGTCCTGCTGGACCCGCGCAGTGCGCCTAGAGACTGACACGGCGTTTGTCAGCACTGGTCAGCGGCTGGAGCGTGACAACCTCGGCAACGAAACGTTGGAGGTTCTGCAGATACAGGTGAGTCTGCTTAGCGGCCATGACAGTACGCCGTACGGTAGGTATAACTTGTAATAATAACATAACTCATCGATAAAATTCGAAAACGTAGACCCATATAAAGCTTTTCGATGAAGTTGCATGCCTTTAATAAGCCTTTCGTATTCCATTATTGTATTATGATGTTTTAGAACACTTTATGACCACGGCATAAAAATAGTCTCATGGTCAGGGCTTGAAAATATAAAAAATACATGGATATATGTTTCGTATTACCTTAGATAATGGTGATGTGCATGCGGACATGCCTGCGCGCACATAAACGGCTCCCTCAGTTGACTGCTGAACTGAGAAAATTAAATGCCCCTAAAGGCTAAAAGCTATGCAAACGTTCCCTTTCCAGATCCAGTTCCAGCGTCCAGTGGAGCTGACGGCAGCGGTGGAGGAGGCGTACCGGGCGGTCACCTTGCAGCCGACAGTACCGCCGGTCATCGGAGAGTATGCTGGAGACGGCGGTGCAGCGACCGACACCTGTAAGGCGGTGCCGAAGCTACTGAGGACGTCTGGCTAAAGTGGGAGGGAATGACAGTGATCGAGGCGTTCGAGGTGCTCTTCTGCATCATCGTGGACGTGGACCGTCTGTGATCCTGGATCCCGGCATTGTTCGGCGGCTCCTGGAGCTGGTTCGCACCGGGCTGCATATCCGACTCAGATCCCATGAATCAAGCGCAAGCTGCTGAAACTGTCGCCGCCTGGGAGCAGCCAAACAGGTCCGTCAGCGTGTCTGGAGTTCTGTGGTAGAAGAAGCTGAGACATCTGAATGTCATTTTTGACCGGCGTGTGATAGCCAGACTCATTGCTGCCCTCCTATCGACGCGCCGTGAGGTGTGACTAGCGACCATTGGGCGGCTGTGCGGGTGACGTGTCCGCCGGAGCCGAGTGCCTGGCCTAGTCGGGAGATTCAAGTGTGATTGCCAGGCTTAGTGCTGTCCTATGAATGTGTAGGTAGTAGGTACTGATGTGCAGTGTTGATTATGCTATATTATTGATTTATATAATGACTGTTACCATTTTATTGTGTACATCAACTGCTGCGGAAAACACGTGGGACGAGACGATATGCCTACAACACATGGGCCTACAACACACTGTTGCTGTTGATGGGCTGCGCCACAGTCTACTCAATTAGGTGCATAATATATTATATTATTAGATAATAGATACTATATTAGATATAGTAATACGGCAGCTCCCATGACTTTTCTGAAAATTTAAATCATGTTGATTAAACATGGACATGATGTTGGAGCTTATGAACTAGGGGCCAGATTCAAATGGGAAATCGCGTATGAAGAACGTCGTTCGCCGCTTCCCTCAGATGCTGGGTTAAATCCCTTACTAAGGTACGCTGAACTTAGTAATAAGAGTACAATAGGGCAATAAATTAGGTTTGAAACGGACTGAAATAAAAAAAGGCGCACAAATTAGTCTCGTAAACGTAGGTTGTACATACCGCTACGTAATAAAGTTTCGCCACGTACTAGAATCGAACCCGCATCGCCCGGGTAGGAAGCGAAGATCATACCACTGAGCTACTGCGGCCGCCGCCGACGGCGCCGGAACGAATATTCGAAAGCAGGGCCGAGGATATCACCTTATAGCAAGAAATGTGAAAGAGATAGAGAAAAAATGTATTTAGATAAAAGATAGAGCTTGAAACGACCTATTCGCTGGCATAAACAGAATACTGCAAGCACCCCTAAATTTTATGTACCAGCCGTCGGAAAGTGACCCGTTTCTACGGTTTTGATACGGGGCAACGCGATCTGAGGACGTGTGACGTCACAGCTTTTCGTGAAATCCCCGGATGACTCTACCTAGTATTTGAACTGTGGCGCCGGCGCGGCCCTGCGCGGCCGGCCGGCGCCAACGGTCGGGCGCCGCCAGCGTAGGCACACAGAGAAAAAGTAGTGCTGTTTAAATGAGCGGAAACGGCGTGGATTTTGCGAATCATTTTTTTTTTTAATGAAAAACCAAAGCCTTGTAGTGATGCTTATCAAGTATAACCAGTCAAAGGTCATCCCATTACCTCTAAGTCTATTATTTAAGTATATGTTTAAAAACCATTAGAAACCATTAGGGTACCAATTGGGAACTAATAGATACCCAGTCCGTATTCAAAACACACTTGAAACCATTAGAGACCATCAAGGTAGAAACACTTTTGACATACTTGTTTTTTTTTGTTTTGTTTTGTTTTGTTTGACATACTTGTTTTTGTTTGTTTTTTGACATACTTGTCACACATCTGGAAACAGGGCTGCAAAGTGGTGGATTTATGACTCTAACTCCGACTCTGACTCAAAAATTGACTCCAGCTCCGACTACGGTTCGGACTTTGCTTTTATTCATCTCATGGAATAAAAGTTATTGCCATATAAGTATGTTTTTCTTGCCTAAAACGACCCTTGAATGTTTTTCAAATGCATTTTTCATTTCTACACCAGTTGAAATAGAATGAGAGACACCATTTCAAAACAGATTTGCTTTTCCATTTAAGAACCATTTCGACACCAATTGGGATGAAATGGGACAACCATTTGGGATGAAATGGTTTTCTTCCATTTGGAGACCAATTGGACACCAATTGGGATCAAATGGGAAAAACCATATGAGATCAAATGGGAAAAACCATTTGAGATCAAATGGGAGTTTCTTTCAAATGGAAACCATTAGATACCAATTGGGATCAAATGGGACACACCATTTGGGATGAAATGGTTTATTCCATTTGGAACCAATTGGTATCAAATGGAAAGCACCATTCCAGACCAATTGGGAAGTTACCAATTGGAAACCATCTCGATACCAATTGGGGACATACCATTTTGTATCAAATGGAAAACACCATTTCAGACCAATTGGGAAATTACCAACTGGAAACCATTTCGATACCAATTGGGACCAAATGGGACACACCATTTGGAATGAAATGGTTTTATTCCATTTGGAACCAATTGGTATCAAATGGAAAGCACCATTTCAGACCAATTGGGAAGTTACCAATTGGAAACCATCTCGATACCAATTGGGGACATACCATTTGGGATCAAATAGAAAACACCATTTCGGACCCATTGGGAAATTACCAATTGGAAACCATTTCGATGCCAATTGGGACCAAATGGGACACACCATTTGGAATGAAATGGTTTTATTCCATTTGGAACCAATTGGGATCAAATGGAAAACACCATTTGAAATCAAATGGGATTTATTTTCCATTAGGAAACCATTTCAAAACCAATTGGGACCAAATGGAAAACACCATTTCAGACCAATTGGGAAATTACCAATTGGAAACCATTTCAAATGGTCATAAAAACCATTAGAACCTATTTCAAACCATTTGACACATTTGAAACCAATTGGTAAATCCTAATGGTTTCAAATGGTATTTTTTACTGGGAAGTAACCCGATTTGCTTGTTTATTCGCAAAGCCGACACGCGAGATCCAGCTCACTTATTCAGTTCCTCTTGTCACTGGCACTCGACTGTAGATAGGAAATGTTCGCCAACCTCTACCACCTAGCCGCGCTACCATCGGAAGGTCGCCGTTTGATTGGTGCCCGACTTACACCAATGCTGCCGTTATGGACAGATGTCATAATGGACCCTCGCAAAGATGTCACGGTTGGAACTTGGAGGTCCTAATGGACCACGCGCCACTTGGTGCGAAATGCTCTTACTTTATGCATAAGTCGTGGCTTTGAGCGTTAATGTGAATACGTGAAAATAATAGTCGCATTAGTAGCGGTTGATGAGCGCGAGAAGTCCTTTACGAACCGCGGAAGCCGGAAAGCAATACAGACTAGCGGCTTCGAAGGGAATGACGTTTTATTTCCGCGATGGATTGGTGTTCTTTTGCAGTGGCCGTGCGACTTGAAACCACTCACGGTTTAACGGCAGTTGCTGGGGTATTTCGCCACCCACCGTTTGCTGGGGGGAGGTGGGCGTGAAGCGCCCCCAGCCGATAACTCGAAAACCAATAGGCGCAGCGCAAAGCGCGAGGCGGCAATCGTCACAATACACTTCGATCAATTCCCTACAGTCGTTTAACGCCTACCACTCTCCCCTAGCCACTCTACCAGTACCTATGATACCCATCGCGGCATTGATATTTGCTGATGTCATATTTAGGTGAAGGGCTTTGTTGGACATTAACTGTGAGTTGGTTTACTGGCCTCACCAATCGTTATCCGATTATTAAAAATGTGTGGCTCTAATTTTGTATCCAATATACCCAGTGACCTGGTTTTGTACGGATACCTTGCTGGCAAATATGGGATATCAGATCTGCGCAAATGTACAGCCCTCTGCAAACTGCGTGGTAACTGGAAGGCATTCTTTTTTTTTTTGACAAAAACGAGAATAACGCGAAGACTATGCTATTGGTCATTCGGAAATCGTAACAGCAAGACGCGCGAGACTCCGCACAAGGCGTATACTTTGTTTAGTGATAGACCTAATCGAAGGAGTGGAGCATGGCGCATCTATTTGCAGTGAGTTCCGACCGACTGATGACATAGCCTTTGAGTTATTATCGGTTTTGTCGAAAAAAGAATACTTACCAGTTACCACGCAGTCTGCTGAGGGCTGTACTTAGACTTATTCTTATTTATTGTGAACTCATTCTTGCGAACCTCTGTATGTACTATGTAGTGTCATCTGGCATCCACTGTTCTCTTGTCTCCGTACAGCTGAGTAATTTATGTTGCGTTTCCGTTCTGTCGAGTAGTGTGACCGCTGCTTTATTCTCGTCTGTGACCTTAGTTTCGCTCCCCTCTCCTCTCCTCCACAGACGCTGGCCTGCCTGTGGGCCACGTTGTGGGTGTGGACCTGGTCTCCGTCCGACCCCTACCGCCGGCTGTGCATATACAGGGCGACTTCACCGTCCTGGAGACCCAGCAGCGACTGGCGGCGCTGCTACCAGCACCTCCCAGACTCGTGCTCAGTGATATGGCGCCGGCCGCGTCCGGGGTGCGGGCTCTCGACCAGCAGAAGATCCTATCTCTGGCGTACGATGTGGCCCGGTTTGCCCTCCGCCACCTGGCGGCCGACGGGGCGATGGTGGTGAAACTGTGGGCGGGAGGAGGGGAGCCGGAGCTGCGACAGCGGCTGACGCCCTTCTTTGAGAGGGTGGTGACGCTGAAACCGGCGGCCAGTCGCAGCGACTCGGCGGAACTGTATGTGGCGGCCACGGGGTTCAGGGGCGCCTCGCGCGCCGACCCGTCGCCAACTCCGCCGCCGTCTGCTGTCGGTTACTAGGTAAGGACGGTGGCCGCTGTGCCGCTCTTTTTATTGTTTTGCAGGGTATTGTGATACTAGTATGAATTGTTTTGTTAAATATAGATGTGAATGGCACACAATTGTAATTTTCGATTAGCTTTGCTATCATTTATTTTTCTCTTCATCACATCCTGGGAATAAGCCATGGCATATTCGTACATTAGACATAACACATTGCAGTAGAGGAAATGCTCAGTCACTGTCTTACGGTCCAGTCTTGAAAGTGTGATTTGTAAGCTTATTTGACGGTCTGGGTCGGTGTACAGCCACAGCCATCAATCTCAGCCCTTCGCCCACGTCATCAGTCCCAGTCCTCAATTCCCAGTCCAGTCCTCAATTCTCGGTCCAGTCCTCAATTCTCAGTCCAGTCCTCAATTATCAGTCACAATCCTCATTCCCAGCCTCAGCCCCAGTCCTCCGTCCCAGTTTTGCCCCTAGTAATCAGTCCCAGTCCACGGGTCCAGTCCTTGTTCCAGTCCTCAGCCCTACTTTGGCGTCATTCAGGCAGGCGGCCGGTGCCGCTCTTCTGAACACGTAGAAGCCGATGCCGTAGGGCGGCAGGCTGAGGGTGGGTCCCGGTGCGAACAGTGCTGTGGGGACTGTCGGCAGGCGGTCTCCGTTGAGCTCCAGCAGTTTGCCGTTACACATAATCCCCCTAGTGGTGGAAGGAGGAAACAGGGTCAGTGAACGCCGAAATGATGCATTGGGAATACTACTTAGTTGATAGTTCGCGATAAATTTCGCCAGCGCAGGGACAAATGAACATGCTACACCTTCCCAATCGCATATAGCCACCAAAACTACCGAATGCTTGTAAGAAAGCCAAGAAGGGTACCATGGTGTCAGGTATACTAACTTTGCCGTGAGATTGCCTTCGGGCGGCGTCATCTCGTACTTGATGCCGCCCTGACGCAGGTTTTCGTCCAGCTTTACCTTCTGGGCCATCTCAGATAGGTTCAATGTGAAACACGTCACAGAATCTGCCGGGTACACTGAACATCAGTAAGGCATCGACAGTCGACATTCAACACTCATGTTTTGCTTTGTCATTTCCCAGCAGACGACCCGTTAGACGGGACTCTAGATGATTGTTGAGCTACTTCAGTGCAATTACGATGAATCGATCCCGATACGGTTAATTGTATCGTAGTAGGTACATGCCGAGACAAAGTGTTGCACGGAAATAAAGGATGACCCATAGAGCTATGACTGACACAGACACCGACAAGAAAGCCAAGCGCGACGCTCGTCCACTAACCATCTGGGAGGAACTGGTGGCCGCAGTGGCAGTACATGCGCACCGTGTCGGGGCCCGACACCCTAGTCTGCAGCACGTGGCGTCCCACCACCAGTTTGTAGATGTAGGACAGCCAGTAGTCCTGCCGGGCGCAGGGTCAGCTGCCTTAGTTGGGCTGTGCAAACCCGACGCACAAGGGCCACGCATCCTTCCAGTTCATAAAAGTGAACCAGGCGACTATTTTCAAAGGATTAATGACGATCGTGAACAACCAGCACCCGTCGCATGCTCTCTCTCTCTCTCTCTCTCTCTCTCTCTCTCTCTCTCTCTCTCTCTCTCTCTCTCTCTCTCTCTCTCTCTCTCTCCTCTCTCTCTCTCTCTCTCTCTCTCTCTCTCTCTCTCTCTCTCTCTCTCTCTCTCTCTCTGTCCCTTTCCCTTTCCCTTTCCCTTTCCCTTTCCCTTTCCCTTTCCCTTTCCCTTTCCCTTTCCCTTTCCCTTTCCCTTTCCCTTTCCCTTTCCCTTTCCCTTTCCCTTTCCCTTTCCCTTTCCCTTTCCCTTTCCCTTTCCCTTTCTCTTTCTCTTTCTCTTTCTCTTTCTCTTTCTCTTTCTCTTTCTCTTTCTCTTTCTCTTTCTCTTTCTCTTTCTCTTTCTCTTTCTCTTTCTCTTTCTCTTTCTCTTTCTCTTTCTCTTTCTCTTTCTCTTTCTCTTTCTCTTTCTCTTTCTCTTTCTCTCTCTCTCTCTCTCTCTCTCTCTCTCTCTCTCTCTCTCTCTCTCTCTCTCTCTCTCTCTCTCTCTCTCTCTCTCTCTCTCTCTCTCTCTCTCTCCCCCCCTCTCTCCCTCCCTCCCTCCCTCCCTCCCTCTCCCTCCCTCCCTCCCTCCCTCTACCTACCGGGTTGGGCGTCATGTCGTCGCTCAGCAGTCCGTAGTGTCCTCCATAGAGCGCCTGACGCACCACCAGGCTAACCCCGTGCCGCGCCGCGACCCCTAGCTTATCCATCCACAGAAACCCGGCCAGGTACCGGTCACTGAGGCCCGGCGCCCCTCCGCCCCACGCGCTGGCCGATTCTGTGATCCAGAGGGGCGCAGAGGGCCCGGCGGCCCGCCGCGCGGCCCCGATCTGCCGGCTCAGCAGGTCCATGTGTGTGGTGTTCGTGAAATCGGCAGGAGTCGCCGTGCGACCGTTGAAGTAGTACCTGTCGGACGAGAAGAGAGGGAGCCATCAGTAACAGTTCACTGAAACATATACCGATATTGTCAAGCATCGCTATTCACAATAAGCTCATAGCCAATAAGCGCTGATCTGGTACCCACGAGCTCCAACCCAAGCCAGTGGTCCAAGACCCCGACTACCCTATGTGGTGTCTGTCCCTTGCCCAATAATGAAGGACCACTATCCGCTATATGCAGCCTCTACCCATCACTGCGGGGCCCTCGCCCACTATTGAAGTGTTCCATACCCATATCCCACCACTTGCCACCCTTTCCCACCAGTTGCCACCCTTACTCACTGGTGGAACGTTACAGCATCCACAGCTCCACGGCCCGTCTCGAGGAATCTCCTCAGAAACTTCTGGGCGGGCAGATGGAAGGGCCGCTCCTCTAGTCCCGCGGGCCGGGACAGGGCGGGACGGGTGACATCTGGCCCCACCAGCCGACCGGACGGACCCAGGAGACTGCGCAGGCGCACAAAATCGGTACCGAGAGTCTCTGGGTCGACGGTGTAGTTGAACTTGTGACGGTAACTGTTGGGCTCTGCGGAATGCACACGGGGATATTAGTGTCAGGAATGTAGTTACTAGTTAGGTACTGAGCGGGCCGCTAACCCATCGCCCTTGAGGCCGATCAACGTCGCCGCTCTGCCGTCTAACCGAGCATTTTAAGGTGTGCCGTTTCACATGTAACGTAGCTGAAGGCTGCTAATTTTACTATTCCAAATCGCACTTATCCACGAGCGGCTGCTCTCACCCCAGCGTCTCTTACCGTTCCCCAGTTGCCACAGTAACGACACATTCAGCTCGGCCTGCAGTGTGCTGATGACCTCCCTGGCGTTGGTGTCAATCCATTGACCGCTGGCGTCCCTCAGCAGTGAGTTCAGGTCAAACAGCAGTGGTAGGCGCAGTGCCGAGACAAACTCCCTCAAAGCTGACCAGGAGGACTCTGAAAACGGCGATAGCAATGTGGTGAGGTGCGGGCATGCACACTTTTTCGGCTCCGCTCACCCCATCTTACTGTCTCTGCCTTGGACTCATTCTCACTTATAACACTAAAACATGTTAACCTCTCACCCGCCTCCTCTCACTCTTCACAGCCTCACCGGCATCTAACCCCGTTCACATCTCCGTCCCACCTATTCCCGGTCTCCTCTCCCTTACTTCGGTCTGCTCTTCACTTACTTCGGTCTGCTCTTATCACCTAGCCTAGCTAGCCCCGATATTGGTTTCACCAGCTAGCGCTGGTGAGAAGTCTTCCTCTCACGTTCACGTTTCCTCTCACTCTCGCGTTCTTCGCTCTCCCCCTCACTTCCACTTCTCCCTCCCTCCCTTACATTCTCTCCCTCTTGGTCTTACTCCACAAATAAAGTTATCACCTGTAAACTCAAACGGTGTCGTCTTCTTCTTTTGGAAGGGGCTGCAGCGGCTCACGTCTCGGAACTCCTCCACCGGGTGTCGAAAGATGAGGCAGTCCGCGTTCGTACCGCCCACACGTAACACGGCCGGACGCAGCGCTCCGGCCAGCGTGCGGAGACGCTCGGATCTGCGAGAAATAATGCGATGCGATGAGCGATGAGCACTCGAATGATGCTGGGCACGGATTAGTCTGAGGACCCCAGAAGGGTTTACACATGATCAATCTCTGAACGTTTTCGAAACAATGTCGGACGATTGAAGATTACGGCCCACGGCACCTATCGTTTGTGTGCACTCATCGTTGCTGACCGACACTGACAAAAACAAACAAAAAAAATGCGAAAGACGTCATATGATGCAAGCGGATGCTCCATGTGACAATATCTTGTTAAGAAATAAGAAACTGTGGACTCTTGTAAGGTGGGTCCATCCCCATGTCATTAAGTCCTGGAGGTTTTCTGATATAGGACAGGGGCACAGTGTATAGTAAAAACCACAGTTCTCACCCGAGATCGAGCCGGCTCCAGTTCTTCTTGGCAAGTCCGTCATCGAGGGCGAAGCTGAGAAACTCCCTCTCCACCGTGTTCACGAGCTTAGGACCCAGTGTCACCTTCGCTGCACTGCCGGCTCTGGACGAAACGGAGCTAACCGTAGCCAACAGCGCTGCTGCGATCAACAGGAGCCTCATGGTCGACTAGTGGCGTGCTGATCCGACAGGACGAGGACACCCTCCTCTCGTCAGATCTTCGTTCCCTCAGACAAGCCTCCCTCCTTCCCTCCGACCGGTATCAGCGGTCCTGTGACGGCGCTCCCCCGACCACGCTCCCCTCACTGACACGCAGCGGCCGACTGGTCCCGACCGGTGCGCAGTCCGGCAGTGTTTGGGGGGAGGGGAGGGGGAATAAACAATCGTCGGTGTCGCGAGCGGTGACCCGACGGGCCCGGCTCGTGCAGGGCTGGAAGTGCGGGCAGTGTCGAGAGGAGGGCGGGATGTGGCAGAGAGCGATTACATGAACGATGCCGATTAGCTGTAGTAAAATGGATATCGTACTCTGCTAAGGCCTTGAGTCAAAGAAGTTCATAAATCATATCACACATAGCAATCTTGTAGCGTACATTTTGACATGAGACAGTCGGTCTCTTCAATAGACAATACCTACAGCTAAAGCAAAACAGTGATGAAGTGTATTGTATTTATTGCATTAAGTAACGACAAACGTGCTTGTGTAGAGCACGCACAGCCACGTAAGTCACGAGCAACCTCAGTGTCACTAACACCGTGAAAACCCCGTAATCCAAGTAATCGTCGCTTATTACAGGCAGTGTCACTGAAGCAAACGGTGAGACGCTGATCACTAATAGCAGTGTTCCTCCGGTTACCTATATCTCGTCAAAGTGAGTAATACTGGTGATTCAGCGTAAATGATCGATCAGAAGGCACTGATTCAAGCACTGGGCCAGGTACCCAACGTCGTGCTCCCGTTTGCGAACCGCCGTAGGCATATTTCAGATCTTCGATGAATCCTTATTCTTGCTTCTCTCAGAATCTCCCTTGGTTACACTGTGCGCTGTTAGGACCCCTACTTGGAGCCCTTCTCGAGCTCATATCTCGTTTACTGCCCAGGTTGCGCCCTGTTCGGTGTCCTCTTCAATCCTCTCTTTCCCGCAGTTGTCTGAACGATGCTACCTACTGTCCGTTCCGGCTAAATGTCTCGCGTCATTTTCAGACTGCTGTTCCTGTCCTTCCCTGGCTCCTGTTCCACGCCGCTGTGCTGATCTTTGTCCCGGCTATGTAGAGTTATTCCGCGTCCTTTTCAGGCTCCTGCAGCTCCCTGTCTCCCTACTGCGCGTCCTTTTCGTACTCCTGCACCTGGCTGCTCTGCAGGTGCCTGCGCCTGATGTCGGTCTCCGCTCGTCGGTTTGCCCCGCGCAGACAGAGTCCCTGGCTGGGCGAGACGTGCATCGCCTTCAGAGGCTCGTCCTCGGCCGCCATTAGCTGCAACATGTGCACAGACACGCTGTTATGACGTCATTACGACTTGTTGATCACATCAGTCGTCACGTCGATAGCAAGCAGACACACTTGCCGTCCAGTTTGCCCGATACTGGCACATCGGACTATCGTGAGACGAGACACAGACCGTGGACATACAGAAACTGTCCGCCTTCTCAAACGGAAAAAAACAGCAACGCCAGGCTCTCGTCTCATACAAACTTACACACCAGGAATAAATGCTAAACAAAGTACTTAACCGAAATCCACAATTTAGCCAGAGTCCACACAGTACCATGCGATCTGTTGAACACGAGGGTCCCCCAAATGTCACCCGGGCCTTATCATTCCCCGTTTACTACCGGATCCACACAGAAGCGCACCTGTATGAGCAGCATGCGTCGGGCTCTCTCCGAGAGATTGGCGTAGCTGCCGTGTACCAACAGGTAGGAGAAGATGAGCACCTGACCGCGGCGGGCCTGCAGCGGGGAGGCCGACGCCAGGGGGAACTTGGTCTGTAACAGAGCCAACAACTGTTAGACAGGGTCGTCTAAAGGGGGAACTTGGTCTGTAACGCACAGGGGTTCGGGCGGACGGACGAAGGAGCGGTCATGGGGACGGAAAGAGGGCGCATAGCGGGCAGGGGAGGCATAGGAGGGGTCGGACCATGTAACCCCGCATGACTCAGTCACTGGGCAACGGGCATAGTACGCCTTCAATGGCATTTCTCGGAGAGGCGTCCAACAGCAAACCTTATATTCACGTTTATCGTTTATCGAGCGTTTATCGTTACATTTATCGAACGGCGTGAACCAGAGACAGCACGAAGAGGCTGTCCGGCTCAGTCTGACCCGACCCGTCCCGTCCCGCTCCGACTCCTGACCCGACCCAGCCGGTTCCGCTCAGTCCATCTGACCTGATCCACGTGGTGATAGCCGGGGTCGGAGCTGCAGTCAGTCTGCGGTCCCTGCCGGTGGGAGCCCGGATACACCGCCAGGCAGCCATTGGATATGTCCGAGTCGTCCAGGTGGATGAACACCGCCACCATCGAGTCGTGGCGGAACGGGAAGTAGTGGTAGTCCTGCCGGTCGACAGAGGGCAGGGTGTGTCAGCAGCGAGCGAGATCGTGAGGCTCAACGATGGGAAAGCCCTCCACAGCATATGCGGGCCAAAAAGTAACAACCCCACCAGAAGGGAGCCAGAAAAAAAACTGAAGAGCAAATACAGGTTAAGAGGCATAAGGTGGATGCAGCCGCAGGGCGTAGGCTATCCTCGTCACGAGCCTAGTGGGTCTGACCGAGTTCAGGCACGTCAATATGTCTGATTCCGGTCTCCGATTACCTAGATTGCTCACCCTTCCGACTGGGACACTTGAGAGCCTAGGTGCATGGGCGGGTCACATAAGCGCACATCCGGGGACATAGGTACTCGACAGAAGTGTGCCTTAGGGGCCCGGTTGGTCTGAGGACGTCCGTCTGGCGTCTGCCAGGTGTCGATTATCTCCAGTCCCCACCCACCTGATGCATGGGATAGGGTGAGCCCCGACCGGGCGGCTTGACGTGCGCCTTGGTGTGGTGCAGCAGGATGTTCTCCGTGTTCATGACGTCACTGCAGGCGTCCAGTAGTTTCCGGTGGGTCAGCAGTCGCAGGAACACCGCGTCGTGGTACTGCAGGTTGTGGATCGAGTGCACCTGGGGGGACAAACATAACAGCACTGAGCACACATTTAAAGTTATGACGCATTGCCGTTTGCTCCCTCCATGCTACGCGCCGAAATAAACGACACGCTCGTTCATGGTCCTTCCAGACCACGTAATTAAGCAGCAGCTGACGATACGGCGGTCCAGCCACGATGCTAGATGCTGTTTGACTGTTCATCATTTTCACTCTAGAACAACAATAACAAAGTCATCGTGGATGGATCATGACACCATGGAGTATTATTTACTCCCCGATGGCACTGTGACTAGTCAGCTGACTGTCTGGTGGAGCGAGGGGCGACCAGTTTCAGCAGCCATGCCTGCTCTTATCCCATCTCTGAGAAGACGATAAGCTTATAGCGTAGACAGATAGGGATTTTATGCGAGAATGGCCGTAACTCAAGAGTTTTACGGACCGTATGCCCCACCCTCATACGGAATAGTTATACCGTGTGAGGATGATGAATTCTCTCAGCTACACCCACTACGAGTAGGGTAAGATCCGCCCCTGTCGCCTTTCGATTATTTATTCTTACGACGATTCTTACCGTAAACCCGCGTCCCTGGGGCATCCCTTTTCTCTGCCAGTCGCCCGACCACGTGCCTTCCATCTGACTGTTAGCCTCCAGCGCCCTGCCGAGGGGGTGACAAAGTCCGATTAGCAGCAGCAACGGACGGTTATCACCGACTGGGGCGGAGAGCGAACAATTACAAAATTACGGCTGTGAGATAGACAAGGTAACCAGCCGAAGTTGATAAAGTAAATAAACCGAGAGGTGGATGAATGCCATGTACGGGTGTCGTGTGCCCTTCTAGAGCACCACATACAACCTGTGGCGCCGTGCATTACCCAGGAACTCCGTAACAGTTTGTGCACCCACCTGAACCCGCCCAGTACACACCGGGTGCGCTGTACGCTTTAGTACCAGTCCCTGTGACCCACCTGGCGAACACGGAGTCATAGGCGGCGCTAATCTCATCCACCTCCTCCGTTGTGAAGACGTTGTCCAGCAGGACGAAGCCGTCGGCGTCGTAGGAGCGTTTCTGCTCCTCGGTTAGCAGCAACATAGCGATGGTGACAATTCGTCTGACGACGATTCGTCTGAGGATAGGTATGGAGCGGCAGCAGCGTACGGTCAACGGGATTCGGTCTACATATATTCAGTTCACTGTTCAACATATGGGTTACATTGGCGCAGTGAACATAACTGAGGATATTTGACGGTACAATATCAGATAAATCAATAAAACTGAAAAGAAATATAGGTAATGAATTAACTTGCTCGTACCTGCAATGATCCTCAGCTACCAACACCCGTTGCCCCCGCGGTCGTCGCACGCTGAGCTCCCTACGCGTCAACTGAATGAGGACTGAGGCCCACCACCCTCCCCCTCCCCTCCCCCACCGAGTCGTTATGTCGTCGTCGGCTGGCGTGCGGCGAGGTGCAAGTTTGACGCCTCGGTGTCCCCCACTGCACGATAGACAGTTGTGCTGACGGGATCAGAACGCGACTTGCGCCAGGGTTCGGTGTTATACCTAAGCTCTACAGAGTGTGGTGGTTAACGTCATGTCAGTTTGTTTACAGCCCTTCAGTTCGCCAGCCGAGGGAGCGAGCATTCCCGTGTCGCTTTACATTTCGGCCGTAGTTCGATCTGGCCCGGCTCAGCTTCGCTGTGACGCAGCAGTGTAAACTGAGCAGGTTGCTAGGCAACAGAGGCGCGGCAATGGGCGTGGCGTCGTAGACATTGTCGGTAGAGGGTATTGCAGGCAGCGCTTTGAGGGGTCAGCTGTAGGTACCAAACAATGGGAAAACAAGGCTAAGGTCTCAGTGTTAGTGTGTGGAGGCGGTAGGGCTACTATGAGAACAGCCACACAAGGATGCCTTTTGCGCGCAATTGAACTGGCAACGATAAAAATAGGATAATTGAGTATCGTGATATAAAAAAGACCCGATAGACTTTCCGGATTTGCGCAAATTTGCACATACAAAGGACTTTCAAACAATATTTGTAAGCAAAGACTATGTATTCCCAATACAAACTGCAGGGTGCACGCAATGAACCGATTTCACAAACCCAGATCACCGCTACAAAATACTGGCGCTGACTCGAGGTCGAATCAAATTCAGTAGGAGACTGAAAATGCCTCCCCGGTTTGGCACTTAAGTATGAAAACCATATTGCTGAGTACGTGGTACCCCAAAGTAATATCAAGAACGGTGGTTGAGTAAGTTAAATGGGCAGACATTATATGTCGTACCCGCAGAGAGCATTTTACGAGATTCTGAGTATCTTGTCTTTCAGACTGGGAATGCCCAACAATCGAAAACGTTTCTCTGAACGCAAAAACACATGCAAACCACATTAACCGAAAATCGCCAAAAACGCAAAACATCAAAAAGGCGCCAGAACAACGCAACGCACGTCATGTAACGAGCCCCGTTTTAACCCCTAACAGCCGTTTTTCCCAAAACTGTGACGGCAGCGACACTACCCGTGTCAGATCACCTGATATCCGCTCGGCAGTCGACTTTGCCGCAGGTATCTGAGACCCTAGTATCCCCCGGGGCTTGGTTAGAAGCTACCCTCGGGGGTCGGGAGACTGGCATCTAAGCGCGGCTCTCAGATCTCTCCGAGGCCCGGCAGCGGGAACTGGTCGGCAAACTGCTCGACCTGCTGACGCAGCTCGGCTGCCGGCGCAGAGAACTGCTCGTCCTCGGCCAACACGCGACGGAAGTCGACCATCTTCACACCCGAGACGGTCACCACCCGTTTGGCCAGCTGCAAGGCTGGGAACACAGATGGGAGGGGCGTCACTACACGCTTGGCCAGCTGTAGGGCTGGGGACACGGAGGGACGGGATGTGTTAGGGCGGGGCGTCACCACTACGCGCTTGGCCAGCTGCGGACCTGGGGACACGAGATGGCGTGACAGGATGACGGACTGGGGCGTAACACGGCAGCATGGTGCGTCACAGGGCAGGGGGCGTAATATGGCGTGATGGAGCGTCACGGGGGGGGGGGGGGGCGGCGTCACAAGGCGAGGGAGTGCGTCACAGGAGGGGGGGTCACAGAGTGCGTCGGGGCAGCTCAAGGCCGAACAGGACAAGGCACGGCGGGACGCGGGCGGCAAATGACGGGCCGAGATGTCACAGAGCGAAGCACTAAGCAGATGCCTAACAGCATGTTTTTATATGGCGGAAAACCTAACCCTACAGTGTCAATACCGGCCCGGAGAGGTAACGGGTCCAAACCTGGCTTGTGTCAAGGAACACCCGCACCAATCTGATAAACACAGGTTATACGTACTGTTTGGTCAGTATCGCGTGATCTCCATTCGGGTAATGGCATCCATTACCCGATAAAAGCCAGTCTAGATAGTCTGCCCATTCCCGACTTAACTACACGACTCATCCGCAAACACATTTGGATATGGAACTGCATGGAAGGGAGAGGCCAGAGGGGGGTAATGAAGGGGTAATGAAGCGCAGGGGATGTTACTAACCTCGGTCGATGAAGTCCACCACCGTATCGATGTGCTGTTCGGTCAGACCGCGAGTGGTGAGCGCCGGGGTGCCCAGACGCAGTCCACTCGGATTCAGCGCCGACTTATCGCCCGGAACTGCACGCACAGCAACAGAGGAGGCCATGAGAAACACGCACACTGGTACACGAGCACTGATCGCCTTCCTGGCCATGACACTTGAGGTGGTTTAGGTTTGCGCGTACCGGTCATGTCACACTGAGGCGTGTTACTGTTTGTTATGATTAAGCATGGTTGACAGTGGCTTCGAAAGTTGGAAACTGGAATTAAAGACTAAATCATAGACGTAGAAACCTGCTAACTCTGATCTGTATGTCTCAAGCCACTGTAGGTAGCCAGGCAAATAATATCTTATATCGCAAATAATACGTCTGTTGGTACGTCCAAGAATCCCGACTGTTGGAGAGATAACGAAACGGCACGACGAGGAGAGCTCATTCCGAGCCTGTTTGTAGCAAGGAGAGTTGCGTGTAACCAGTAACACAGGTGTCGCTCATGCGCTTCGCGTAGGTGTCGCACACACCTGTGTTTTTGTGTGAAGGTACTACCGTGCCGTTCCGGTTTTTTTGTGTGGAGGTTTTACGGTGCCGTACCGGTGTTTTTGTTGAGGTGTTGCCGTGCCGTACCGGCGTTTTGTGGAGGTTTTACCGTGCCGTACCGGTGTTTTTGTTGCGTTTTACCGTGCCGTACCGATGTTTTTGTGGAGGTTTTACCGTGCCGTACCGATGTTTTTGTGGAGGTTTTACCGTGCCGTACCGGTGTTTTGTAGAGGTTTTACCGTGCCATTGCGGTGTTTTTGTTGAGGGTTTACCGGTGTTTTTTGCGGAGGTTTTACCGTGCCGTTCCGGTGTTTTGTTGCGTTTTACCGTGCCGTGCCTGTGTTTTATTGAGGTTTTGGCGTGTCGTACCGGCGTTTTGTAGAGGTTTTACCGAGCCGTAACGGTGTTTTTGTCGAGGTTTTACCGTGCCGTACCGGTGTTTTGTTGCGTTTTACCGTGCCGTACCGGTGTTTTGTCCAGGTGTTACCGTGCCGTACCGGTGTTTTTGTTGCAGGCGATGGCCGCCGTCTCCAGCAGCAGCTCTCCTTTGGCTCCGGTCAGTCCGGTGCCGCGCAGGTCCACCCACACCATGTGGTTGTCAGTACCACCCGTCACCAGACGGTAGCCGCGCTCTGTCAGACCGGCGGCCAGACGGCGCGCGTTGGCCACCACCTGGGGGATGGAGAGAGGGAGTTAGCACCTCAGTGAGCGGTCGGGCAGCTCATGAGGGAGGGCCGTGGCAGGAACTGAGCAGGGAACACAACCTAAGGGTAGAGAAGGGATCGAACTTAAGGACAGAGGTATGGCCATTACCTGAGATAGCCAGTGGCAGTCAGATTCAGGACAAGCTATCAGCTCAGCTAGGACAGATAAATGGAGACCAAGGACAAACCACGATGAAATCATCACTATTGAAGAAGAAAAGGAGCGGGAAAGTCGGTTAAAAGTAACTAAGTAAATCAACGTTTTCTGCGAATCGGACAGTGAAAAACTGGTCATGTTCTTTCAACGCGATCGAACTCCCTGCATCACCTGTTTCTGGTACTCCTTGAAGTAGGGTGTCTGGGCCTGCAGCAGGGCGCAGGCCACGCCGGCGATGGCGTGGTTGTGCGGACCGCCCTGTAGGCCCGGGAACACCGCCTGGTTGATCTTGTCCTCGAGGTCGTACATGATCTCTTTGCCGGCCTTATCCACCGAGCGAACACCTGTAAACGTACAGTGCAGTGTTGAGAAAACGGGTGAAATGTGCCAGTTGCTGGGGATACATCCATCCGAGGAACACAAAACACATTTCATGGAAATGCCGCTTATGTGCTTAAGTAACGCACTAAATAAGTAACACACTAAGCGGCTTTCGTTCCGACTTCAGATGTCCGACGATGTCGTCGCCTGATAAAAAGTGAATGAAGTTTGCATTTGAAGCTACCATGTTACAATCAGTAAATCAATATATCGTGACAACATGTGAACTCAAAGTTCATCACCGTATTTTATTTACCGAAAATGTAAGCGAAGACGACAAGGAAAACTGATATGTGATAAATCTTCGGAGCCACCCTGTCTAATTGCGTCACCCACGAAGAGACGCCTTCTCACCCTTCCTGAAGAAGATCAGCCCGGCTCGCGGTCCGCGCAGCGTCTTGTGCGTGGTGGTGGTGACGATATCACAGTGTTCGAACGGCGATGGCGCCTGTTCTGCGGCCACCAGTCCGGACACGTGAGCCATATCGGCGAGGAGCAGAGCGCCCACCTCATCGGCGATACGCCGGAACCGGGCGTAGTCCAGGTGCCGGGGGTAGCACGAGATGCCTGCCGGGCGACGGAAGGGTTAGACGTCTCAGGAAGTTACCGACAGGCTTTGATGACACTGGAGTTCGACCTTCAATCGCTGTCCTTAGATCACCCCGCCCCACTCACTCGCTCAAGGTTTTGTGTAAATTAGCTCTTGGCTGGTCTCAACATTTCCTGACCCGTCTTGTTCCCACAGACAACTACCACCCGGCTCCTGTCCCCCGTTCGCTTCAACACAATGCCCGAGGGACTAGCGGAGTCCATCCAACAGGACATTCCCACAATTGGTGTGAATCATTCCTTCGTTCAATAGCCACCCATTCGCCGTTCTTTATCGAGTCGAGTCTCATCGTGGCAATCACTTCATCGGCTTGATAATCAATGTGGTGTTTCCCGCAGCGCCCCCCTAGACCTCGTGCCCCATCAGGTCCACTTTCGACCTCCCCCTCTTCCCCTCGGTTTCTCCCCTTCCCCCACTTACCAGCTATGATGAGCCGCGGCTTGAACAGACGGGCGTTCTCAAGGAGCCGGTCGTAGTCAATCTCTCCCGTCTCCGGGTTCAGCTTGTATGGCATCGACTCGAAGAAGATGGACGTGGCGGACACCTGTTGAAGTCGATAGAGTCCGTCAGTACATTGATAGCCCACGACAACTTGAGATAGACGGCACGTCATAAAACTGATAGTCTCTGACCGTCGCCGGCTGTCATGATGCTAGTCAAGTGCGCGACAATCATAAAACTGATACGTACCGCGTACCTTTGACCGGCACTTCATTCAAGACCGTGTACAAGACCGTGGGCGACACATAAAACTGATACCTTTGGAGTGCCACCGCCCGTCAGCACATGCGTACCAAGGTGGTCATGGGCGGCATGTAAAACAATACACCATATTTTGTTAGGGAACAGCATAGATATGGGGACAGTCATGGGTGGGCCGTACGCAAAACGGAAGACAGCCATTCTACACACTACAGGTCAGGTAACGTTCATTTCACTCAATCTTCTACTGGGACCGGTACACTCCAGTAGTTGACGTAAGTTCTGTTAATCTGATTAGCTTTCGCCCCTCACTGATGACTGATATGATCTACATCCGTTCTACAGATTCATTTTCTATCGTTCCACACACATCGACAACTTTCGTCGTCAACTTTGCAGCAAAGGATGTCTAAGTGCAGTACTTATGTCGCCCATGCACACAGTATGCAGTTATGCACCGTCTACGCAGTACGCACCTTTTTATTTTGCGTGAAGAAGCCGTGCGAGAGGTGGCCTCCATCGGGCAGGTCCAGGCCCATGATACGACCGTGGGGCTCCACGACTGCCGTGTACACGGCGAAGTTAGCCGGGGAGCCCGAGTAGGGCTGGACGTTGACGCCCCAGCGGTCCGGGGTGATACCGTACGCATCCAGGGCGCGACGCTGGCACAGACGCTCCACCTGGGGAGGTTAGGGGGGGAGTTAGGGGGGACGGGCGGGAACAGTCGGTTGAGCGGACGGGCGGGGGGGGGGGTGTTTAGTCGGTTCAGTAAAGCAGATAGACGGAGGCAGTCGGTGAGGGGGCATGGCAGTGGGTGAGGGGGAGGGGCGGGACAGTCGGCGAGGGGAGGGGCGGGGGAGTCGGTGAGGGGAGGGGCAGCGCAGTGGCTGAGGAGGGACAGAAAGCTAATGGAGGGAGCGGTCGTACAGACGTGAGCGCGATCGAAGGCTCCGAACCACTTAGTCTCTGCTATCAACAGAACCTCAATATATTGATTAATCGCCTAATCTCCGCTATCAATAGAAGCTCAATATATTGACTCGGCCCACCTCGTCGATGTGCTCGTTGCCGCCGTAGTAGCGGGCGCCGGGCAGACCCTCGGAGTACTTGTTGTGCAGGCAGCTGGCCAGTGACTCCAGCACCGCCGTGGTGGTAAAGTTTTCAGAGGCGATCATTTCCAGGCCACGGCGCTGACGATTCTGGGGCAGCCGAACAATGGTGGTGTAATTAACGGATTGCATGTCGCATCAGCATCATCGCAGCATCGTATCATAGAGTCGTCAAAGTCCCTACGAATGTCTTGTAAATGTCACAGAATCGTTGGCAGTCACAGCTTGTCACGAACAATGATTCCTTATCAAGAAGCCCTCGCTCCCAATGACCGCAAAAACTTATCAAGCGAGTGCAAAAGCCTGAAGCACTGATAAGCGGCCTTGTGAAATGATGATGAATTGGCGTTCCCTACCTTCTCCTTCAGAATGATGGCGTGCAGCTCCGGGTCAGTAGTCTTGAGCGGCATCACCAGAGGGCTCTGCGCCCCGTCTCCTTTCTCGTTCGAAGCCATGATACTGGTAAAAGGAGAATGGTAACCTGTTAGGATTGTACGCTGGCTGTACTGAGTTCAGGCGAACGTTTTACGGTTTCGATTTTGTTTGCACTGGCATTCTTTCTGCGTCTCAATCTCGGATCCCGGGGGAGGGGAGAGGAGGTGGAGGAGGCGGGGGAGGGCAGCCCGCTATTCCCGAAATAGATAGCGTTCCGTAACTATGCAGTACGCACCTTGAGTCTTTCTAGGAGAGACGGCGTCCACGTTTGTGCTTACTGAGCTGGAACTAGAATCATATTGAAGCAAACTAACGGAAAAGCACTTATAACGCTTGGTGAGCAATATTCCCGCCCCAATCTCAGCCCTTTCCTTCAGACCCGAGCCCTGACCAGTGACCACATCCAAGCTGATAATACTAATTTGCTATCAGGGAATCTTCCGGCCTAATTCACGTATCGCATTCATCGCCCACCAGGAAAGACTGTACCCGACAAACTATGGTTCAGTTGAATGACATCACTGTTGTAAAGTCTACCCCCGCCCGGAATGTCTGTTCCTTTTCCAGTCCGTTGTATATCCCCCACTCTCACCTAAACAATTTAGTCGGCTGAACGCTCTGTCTGAAGGCTGGGATAAACATTGAAAACATAACCCATGACTTCTCTGATATGAATACGCTACGCGTCGAAATCCAGACAAACACACATTCCGGCTTTTTGATTATAACATGTGTATTTGATTCAGGCGTTTTATCGCTGTACAAAATTATACAAAATAGAACGTCAACGGCGGCTGACCGGCGGTATACGGGCGGGCTGGCCGTCCAACACTGACCGGGCTGCTGCTCGGGACACCACGCACTGCACAGGACGCCCTGCAGAGCACGTGGCGCCCGGGATACATTCCAGGCACTGAGCGGGTCGGTTTCAGCCCGTCGGGTCACCGCCCGGCCCTATCCGCCGTCCATACAGCCATAAACAACCCCGGCGTACCCCGCACACAGAGCAGCAGGCACGCGTTTACAAACGGTCAGGCGTCCCCGCACACAGCGCATGGGACATGCGTTCAGAAACGGCCCGGAGTCCCCGCACACACAGCAGAAGACAAGCGTTCATAAACGAGCGTTCATAAACGGCCCCGACGTGCCCCGCACACAGCAGCAGGCACGCGTTTATAAACGACCCGGCGCCCCGCACACAGATCAGAAGACACGCGTTTGTGAACAGGCAACAGCCCCAGCGTCAAATGCACGCAGGACAGGGGTAATATGTTTATGAACGGTTTCGTCGTCCCTCGCAAACAGAGCTCATGAACAGCCCGGTGTCCCTCAACACAGGGCATACGGTACATGCTAACGAGCAGCTCTGGCGTCCTTCAGACACATAGCAGGAGGTACACGTTTATAAACAGTTCCGGCGCCCCCGGCACACAGGGCGGAGGGTATATGTTTGTGAACGCCTCAGCGTCCCCCGCACACAACAGAGGGTACAGGTTAATCAACTGCATCGGCTAGCACATAGATCAGCGGGTAAGCGTTCATAAACAGCTCTGGCGTCACTCGACCACAGAGCACAAAATACGCGTTTACAAACAGCCCCGACGACCCTTGCACATTATACGGCAGAGAATACGTGTTTGTGTTTATAACGTCCCACGCATGCATCGTTCATAAACAGCTTCAGCGTATTTCGTAAATAGGACAGAGGGCATCGTTTACAAACAGTCCCGATGTCCCTCGCATGCAGATTCGTGTTCCTGAACAGTGCGGCGTCTCTCGCTCACAGATCATAACGTGTTCGTTTAAAAACAGTCCCAATGTCCCTTACATACAGGTCAGAGGGTATGTGTTGACGTACAGCCCAACAGACAACATCATGCGGACACAGGCACAGCAGGCGTTTGGAGAGCGGCGGCACAGACCCAGTAGAACAGAGCGGACCAAAATAGTGTCCTGGTCCGGTATGGTTTGTATAGTGTTTCCCCGTCTCGACCCGCCGACCGACAAGTGAATGGATAACACTGGGTTATGGAAGTACACTGGGAGAGAGGGGACAGAGCGCAGAGTAGGTACTGTGACAGACTGCAGCGACACAGGCGCAGCACCGCGGCCGCCCGTTGGGGCGGTCCGGGCGTCTTCAGACGGCCGTCTGAGCAGTTTCAGACAGCCGTCGGCGGCCCGACCCACGAGAGGCGAGCACATACCAGCCGCTAGGAGGAGCGATCGGTCCGCTTCCTGATCAGACAGCGCGGCCACGGCAGCGGCCACTCGTAGTGACGCGGCACCGGCGCGCGCACGTTGCGCTCGAAGTAGCGGAACGCCGGGAACCACCAGAGGCGGCTGAGGTAGTTGTGGGTGCCGCCCTCCTTGAGCGCGGCGTTGTTGGCCAGCGTGTGGTAGATCCAGAAGAGGCGGGTGGTCACGTAGTAGGCAATCAGCACGTCCACGGTGTAGTGTCCGCGCGCCACCAGCACCATGACCACGCCGTTAGCGGCGGCCAGCAGGGCGGCCCAGTGGAGCGGCCACCAGTGGCGCGGTGAGTACTCGCGCAGTACCAGGTACGCCATCGTCAGAGTCACCGTGTGGCCAGAGTAGATGTAGTCACCGCAAAACACGTGCTGGCCGTTTATGCTCAGACCGAAGCCGCCGAGCAGTTTCAGCACCCGACTGGCGACCAGCGCCGCAGACAGGTAGCCCGCCTTGGGATCACACTTGTAGTCGGGGTCCGGCTTAGGCAGCGCCGTCACAAAGTACAGCACTGAGCGCATCATGTAGAGCAGACCCATGAGGAGGAATATCCTCCTGAACACGATGAACCGGTGCCGGTGCAGCAGCACCACTAGGAACGCAGAGTTCACCAGCACCATGATGGTGATCTCCGACACTTTGAGCGCCCACGCTCCGGTCGGCACAGTGTCCAGCACCGCGTCCGGCAGCGGCGCCGTGTCCGGCACCCGCTCATGAGTGATGGCCAGTGAGGTCAGCGTCAGCACAAAATTGAACACCATCCACAGCAGCGCCAGCAGCGTTTTGAGCCGCTCTTTGGGGAAGCGCGGCGGCGCCGGTGTGCCGATGTTGACGCGGGTGGTGCCGTCTGCCGCGCCGCCGCCGCCGCCGCCGCCCGCCGTCGTCTGGTAGCCGTACCCGCCACTGGCCGTCTGGTCGGCCGCGCCGTGCTCCACGTCCGCCGAGCCGGGCCGCCAGTGGTCGCCACTGTGCTCATGGTCGTGTAGCAGCGGCCGGCTCGACAGGAACGCCTCGCTCTCGTCCATGTCGCCCTGTCTGCCGTTCACATTGGAAGAGGGGCTCGGGAAGCTGCCGTATCCTTGGTGAGGCTCCACGACCATTCCCTCCTGCTGGTGCTGTAGTCGCTCGGCGCCCTCGGCTCGCTCTGCCGGCTGTAGTCGCTCGGCGCCCTCGGCTCGCTCTGCCGGCTGTAGTCGCTCGGTGGCCTCGGCTCGCTCTGCCGGCTCCTGTTGCTCTGTCTCGAGCCGGTCAGTCCTCTCCGGCGGCGGGCCGGTGTCAACTGGCGACACATACAGACTTTGAACCCAGTGTAAACACTTACCGCAGTGGCCGAGATCGGAGTCTCACGCCACCCGTCTATTTAAACTCAGATATTTCCTTATCATAGGTAAGTGACCGATCCAGGGGAGAGGGCTTCTGAGCATTTGTCTCTCCCGCAGCGCCCGAGACTGACGATATTTCGTAGTTTTTTTTCTAACAGAAAACGAAAACTAAGAAAAAGAAAAGTCTGTTTCAAACTCTACAGCAAAGTATAAGGAAGTGAAACTTAAAGCTTGATACTACTGTCACACTTCCCACATGTTGTATATGATTGCTGTGCGGTTAAATGGAACTGTTACCCCACATCATGTTGGAGGTAATGCAGTGGTCCTCTTCCTCCAATAAAGACTAAAAATGCCATGAACACCAAAGTTGGGGGCACCAAATTTTGGTACCCACCTCAGCCACCAAATTGGGAGAGAAAGGGGCAGATTCTGCCTTTGCGTGACTGTGGCTTAAACTTCCCAATATTCACAGAAAACATCAGCAATCTTAAAGCTTGCATCATAATAGAGCTAGTTAAATTTTTCTGTTTGAGTAGAGTCCGGTTTCTCAGGTCAGTTTGATATAAGGTCGAACGTCAAAAGCACATGTGTCTAGTTTATCATTGGCTTAGGAATCTAGCTGGTGAAGGGCTGACAAGGTCAAGATAAAAATAAACCAGCTATTGAAGGTAAGGTATATGCTAAAGGTTTTGTAATATTACTCAAAAATGTGACCAGGATATTTTACTAGTGATTGGAGTGAAGCTAGGCAAAGTTTCTGTTAGGGTCAGGTCAAGTCAAGATCAGGTCAAACTAAGTCTAACTTTAAGGTCTACCTGTTAAGAACAAAAAGGTGTTAACCTGATGCAGTTTTTCATGGTGAATTCATTGGTGCTATTCCCATCTATATCAGTAGTTTATAACTCAATTTTTTTCCATTCTTGTCAAAATCAGTGTGACACACTGAAAAAACAGAATCTAAAAAATATCAGGATGAAATACAAATTCAAAGAAAAAATGATAGGAAAAATTGAAGCAGAATATTTAAGTTATATTGGCACCTAGCTAGTTTCAACTAGCACTCAAAAACTTAAAAAGTAATAGAAATATTAGTGGAAAAATAGTAGAAAACACAGAAACACAAAACACAGTATCCCTCCCTCCCTGTAGCCTAGTGGATAAGGCGTCTGTCTCCTAACTCGGTGGCGAGTTTGCGCCCAGGAAAGCTCCATTTCGTTTGACCCATCATGTTCCTATAACCAGCCAGCTGGCAACTGGCAAGAGATAGCCACACTAGATCCGGGAGGATCATGCAGCCATCCACCTGCAGTACGTTAAACTTTTGATTAAAATTATCACTGGTGAAATGGGCGCAGGTAAGGTTGGGTGGTGGGTCCGTGGTTGGTGCCATTCGCGAAAAGCACTGCTTGGCATGGCACCCGGGTCCGCAGCCACCCATTCAACCACTTGGAGAGTTGTTTTAAAAATGAGCTTAGCCCAAAAACTGAAGGAATCTGGAAGTGGCCCTCTGGAGTAGGCATTAGGTAGCCTCAAATCTGACCATTAACACTACAATATTACAATATTCTTAGGTATTTTAAAATTGACTTAATATTGGCTTGGATCTTATCAACCTGTTACCCTTACTTCAACCTCACTCTTTCAGCACAGACCTGAATCAGCCTGCAGGGGAAACCATCTGACTCATTTCGCCTTCCACGTAAAGGTTCTGGCTGGCTACGCCCTACGCCCCCGAATTCATGTTCAGGCTGAGAAGAACTTCTAATGATAAAGTCAACTGATACAGAACATGCTAAGAATTGACAGCACTGCAAAACTTTGTACACTCAACTAATCAGCCAACATAATGGCGGAAATGCGAGCCATCTGATAATAATTAATGAGAAACTAACCGCCACTCGTCATGGAATCCTCGCAAGGTCACATATAATTCGTTGGGAAATACTTCTGCGCTGTTCGTTCGCGATCATACCGATGCTTGGAGGCTGACGTCATAGTAAGGTGAGCACCAATCAACGGTCACTGTGGCTACTATTCCGTGAAAGTAGAGCTAGCGTAAACACCACCCACGGAAATCTTGTAGCAGCAAACAGAATAACCGCAACATTTCCGCCACTTATGACTCACATTCAAGAGTCGAGACCCCAAAATTAAAGCAACCAGTATAATGAAAAGGAAGCGCCTCCGACGAGTGGTATCGCATTGACAGATACCTACCAGTTCTCAACAATTAAGCTCGTCGATATTTGAGGCTGGATGCCACTCACACTTCTCACGTCTCACTACTTTGATTTACTAATTATCTCACAAATACTATGTCAGAAAAGAAGGGACAACCTGGAGGGGGGGGGGGGGGGGGGTAACAACCAAGTTACCAAAGCCACCAGTTACAATGGATTAGTAGTTATTTTCCACAATAATTTAGGAACAGTCACTTGTAGTTGTAGCGCTACTGACCTGCAGTGCGCTCGTCAGCCGTCACACAGTGTAGTTCTATAATTCCAGCGTTGACCTCCACGGCACTTGACTGGCTCCGCACCACTGTCCGCACCACACACTCCACACGAGTTGACCTTGGCTGACTGCCAGTCCACCCCAGTCGCAGGCGAGTCACTCCCTCAACTGAGCGCGCCAGATGGCGCCCGTGCTCGAAGGGGCAGTTTTATGACCCCACCGGACGTAGACGTCAGACATCCAATGCCCAGACACCCCACTCGGAACATGTGGCCCCCGGCACCCTCCCGAGCCGAGCCGAGGGCGAGTTACGTAATCGGAAGGCCACTGTCCGCCCTTGTTCCGTGCATACACGTGCTACCGGCGAAACTGAGGAGAATCATCGTGGTTGATAATATATCACTTGTCGTGAAGGACTGTTTGTATACTCTGAGTAAACAACTGTGTCGTCCTACTAATCAAGCACACACAATACCGCGACGTGGACCACACTTGATGTCATATGCCCGCACCAGGCGACCGATGACTGAGAGCAGTTTCGCATTCTGAGCATGACATATGTCCTAAGGCACCATTCCAGTTCTTTCAGCAAAATGGGTGAGCAATGCGTGCAATGTGAATACAACCAGGAAACCAGCAACACACCTATTGATACACAACAAATATTTCAAGTAAGATGCACTCACCATTTTTTGCACTGATGGACTCGTGTCGTGTATTTCTACCGATCATTTGACACATGCGAGCGAAACGCGGTGACAATGGTAATGCCAGTTTGTTGAAATATTGAAGTGAGCAGGACACCACGAGCATGACAACTAGGCGAACATACGTTCTGCTCTCTGCCGGCCTCACTGCTATCGATGGCGACGTATCGGAGCAGAGGTTTTACCAGAGCCACCTTCAAGTGTGCCCTAAAGGCGCTGCTGTTATCGTATCGCCATATGGGTACGATAAGCCTCCGAGTCGCGATTCGCGAACATCCCGGACGCGGTCGGTTTATCAAACCAACCACGAGACAGCACACCGAACAGTTATCTCTGCCGCGCTACAGTTCTCACACAGGCTCTGCGGATCGGAGCGACCGGCGCACCATCTACCGTCGTGATATGGAGACTGAAGTTCGAGGTCTTTCCACCGCCCATTCCCGGAGTCTCTAGTTCCAGGAGACATAACCTCCACACGTTCAGTCCGCCGACAAAACATCGCATCGTTTGATTGGTTCTTGATGAGTACCCGATAAGGGTGTCTGGGTGCGCGCGCGGAGGAACGGGCTACATCACGCCTACCTTTCATTCGCTAAGATAAAATACCAGCGTTCGCTCGAAAACGAACGCGAACACGCACACATACACACGCACGCTATCGTATCACATCCAGAGACTGCGAAGGGTACGCGATTAGCGGTGAAACATCGCAACCGGCACACGCACACATACACATACAGCCAAGACTGCCGCGGTCGAGTCTTGGGATAGAGGTAAAACGGGGCCATTTCGCTACACACAAACGGACAGGGCCACCCAGCGTCGGTAACGACTGGAGGGCTTCACTCTCGACCTATCGCCGGATTTTTGCCTTCGACGATACCTGTCATCCAGCCACGTTGGCTACAAGCGCCCGACGGAACGAAAATCGGTTTGTCGCTGGGTCATCCAGCGCAACACATTAGTGCTACATCGACTTAAGTGGGACGCCCGGAAAAGAGGTCACGTCACTCAGGTCGGGTGAGGACGTCCTGCTGTGGTCTAACGAAGACTGGGGTGAGGTCAGAGGAGGTCTGGGCGAGGTCACAGGAGGTCGGGGTGGGGTCGCAGGTCAGGAGGCGGCGCCCAGTAAGTTGTTGACCAGCGTGGATGTCAGGTCTCCGTCGCCCTCAACCAGCTCCTGAAACTGCTGGATCGCCCTGGAGAACACAGAAGACGTTTTAAGCATCTGTGTCCGCCTTCGAAGGCGGGGGAAAGAAGCTAAACGAAGCTAAACGAACGAAGCTAACGAAGCTTCGTTCCCCCGAAGGCGGGGGAACGAAGCTAAAAGCGACATTCTTTGCGTTGTTGAACAACAATACAAAGGGGCAACAACTCCATTGTAAGACCGGTCATACGTTAATTCGAAACATACAGAATCAGAATAAAAAATATGCAAAGCTTGTCCGGAGGTATACACCGACTTGCCATATGTCTACGTAAGTTACTAACAGATGTTATCCGAAAAGTTAACGGCAGTCACCCGTCAAATAAAACATCATCGTTAGTTTCTAGGCTTTCGGTGGTTACGTCCAGGGGACTGCAGCAGGCAGCTGCGGCTGATGTTTACCTGTGAATGTGTCCCGGCGATATGACGCCGAAGTCGTACAGCGACGCCAGGTGGAGCACGAAGTTGCGGTAGAGGTTGCGGTTGACGATGGTGGCTCCGTGCTGTTCGATGAACATGGCTAGCGCCTGCGGCATCTGCAGGTCGCCCACGAAACTGAGGGACAAGGGGGCATCATCAGAGGGTCTGCAGCTGGGGAGCGAGCTTCATCTACGGAGCCGTCGATACTGTATGGCATAGGTACACAATGTAATTAACATAGCAACTATCCAGCAGACTAGAGCTCTTCAGAGTTATTGGACTGTCGGTAACTATTCGCTTTACAAACACTAGTGCGTACGAGCCGAACGTCTGTCGAACCCAGGTAGCATCTGTATTACATTTGTCATAATGATGCAATCAAGCCATTCAAATTACGCCATTCAAACTGAAGACTGCGACGACGCCAGCATCATCGCCCCCATACGTCGACAGCCCACGGCACAGCCCGGTGTCAGCTTACTTGTACTTCATGACGTGCAGGTTCCACATGACCATGAGAGCCTTCTCGCCCTCGTTCACGTCGCTGAACTCGTAGATCATGCGACGAGTCTTGGTGCGCAGCCACGGGTGGTCGTGCTCGCCCTGAGAACGAAGACATATAAATAATATGATTGTCATTGTTACCAAGATAGTTACTTGTATGCCTCAGTGGAGAACACGTCAAACAAATTATTTTGCGTCACAACGATCACAAAATATGATAACAGTCTGATACATTCAGCAGCCATTAAACACAACCAATTAGGACGTTGTAGGGAACGCTTGATCATTGGTTACTGCTCACATCACATCCGGCTCGCTCACAGTCAGTGTAACGCATTGAACGCTCATTGCTCACCCTTGCGTACATAACACGCCCCTCCATCAGGGGAGCACTCCCACCCCCCAATACACCATGAGTACGTCATCCCTGAGCACATCCCTCCCGCTAGAGCGTTTCTTACCTCTGAGTCGTAGCCCAGCTCGGCAGGCGGGATGGCCAGGTTGGTGGCCGTCCGGTGGTACATCCGGTTGTGACCCGTCACGAATGGACGCATCCGCTCCTCAGTCTCCGTCTGTTAGGGGATAAACGGGGAGGGAACAATGTCACAGCGGGACGGGTCACATGGGTAAAACAGATAACAGCGGATCACAGGAACGTTGACTAAGGGGTCCCAGACTGTCAAGTCCTGCTATTTCACTGGTGACAATGTTGCGCTTTCATCGCATTTTCAATGATAACGCGTGCCAATGATCTAAATGAATGAAATCATGCCCCAAACACTTTGAAACCAACCAATCATACCCCCAGGCTACACTCAAAAGACACTGTGACCCACGACACTCAAAATCAGACTCAGGCAAACTAGAACAGCCCTGCCTGCTCCCAAGACTGCCAAGAAGGCTGGCACTACTATACTACTACGAATCGTTGACGCAAATCCGTGACAGCCGGGCTGTCAATATCACCCACCTGCTGGAACTCCGCCAGACTGGGTTTCTGCCTCCTGGGACGGCACACCAGCACTGAAGTGGAGGGTGTGCGCCTCCCGGGGCCGCAGCGGGCGCCCGGTGGACGCGTCAGGTCCAGAGGGTTCCCGGCGTACGAGCTGTCGTATGACTCGTTCAGAGATACGTCGATCCGGGCCCCCCGGGCGAACGGCTGGAGGAAACAGCGAGCGGTCAGTAATTGGCTGGTCATACACTACAGAGATACACGCTGTAGAAAAGAGAGAATGGGCGATTGCATGCCTAACAGAAAGCCGGGACTTGTCATGCCATTTTGTAAACATAAATAGACACCGGGCTTTGAGAACAGTACAATGGTATCCCAATGACAAGAAGTAATTTTCAGTGATGTTCAATGAAATCACATAACCTGACCGCCAGGTCATAGCATATCCATCAGCACTGCACCCACCGTATAGCAGAAGGTGAACCGTGCGTGGCACAGCTGGAGGTGTTTGAGCAGCGGATACAGCTTGCCGCAGTCCAGGCAGCACCAGGGACAGAGCAGGTCCTGACGCGCCTCTGTCTGCTGGCGCGCCGCCGGCCCATAGATGAACTGGTAGAGGATGAGCGGAGGGGTGGGCGGGGAGCCGGCGCCGGCCGGAGGGCGATCCTTGTCCACCGACCAGCTCTCGCCTGCACAGACACGGGAGAAGGTAGCGGTAACACCAGGCACACACAATGACCAATTTGCTTACAGACAGCGAAGATGGAGACAGCCAAGACATTTTCGGAGTCTGATCTAAGCTCACAATAACACCCAGTAGCATAATCATCAGCAGTCCAACTATTCTGGCCAGCTATCAAAAAGACAAACAGCAGAATTAGGCCCTGCTACGTACAGATGCAGAAATGCTCTCAGGAGCACATACACCACGTAGAAAATATTGCCAAGGCTTAACAGAAAATCACCTGCGATGCTCCTCCACCCGCAGCCGGCATCGCTTCCCCACGCGTGCCTCCACATGATTGCAGTGTCCCGCTTCCGACATCTCAGTATCATACCCAGCCAGTCCCAGATTCCACCCTCTGTCCCCATAACACAGCACGTCCCCCGTCTCGTCTCACAACTCACGGCTGTTGGCGCTACTGCTCGACTCCTCCTTTTTCACGGTGCCGCGGCCGCAGCGTTTGGCCACGGCCGACGCCGGCTGGTTCGTGTCGCGCGGCTGCAGCGGTCGCGGACGCTCCACAGTCGGCTGTGGAGGCTGGTTGGTCCAGGCCAGGCGCAGTTTGAGGGTGGGTGCCGTGCTGAATGCATCCAGGGGCACTGGTACCGGCTGTAAATGAATACAAGACGGACGATTTGTCAATATTTTGGCCCCTCAGCACAAGCGAACTTACAAGAGCGCCGATGATCAACGAGACTTCTCGGCGCGAATAGAAATATGGAACCGGCAGCTGTGTCGCGACAGCCGATCAACAAAATGGGACAAAAAAAAAAAACAGCCATGACTATCCGCCTGTTGATTCGTTTGATACCACAATACGTGCCCTACTAAACCCTCGTCTCTCTCTCAGTGCAGCTAGCTCCTCCTAACGTCCTTCCCGTCCCTAACCTTTCCATCGTCGAAGCTCTCCCAGCTGGTTTTGCGCGGACTGTTGGCTCCGGGCCGGCCCGGGGTGGCAGAGGCGGCGGCGGACGGCTGGCTGGCCGGCTCGGCGGTTAGGAGCACGTCGTACTCCCCATCGGTGAGTAAACAGCGGCCGGCGCGGTCCGTGACAGGCAGCTCCGCCCGCAGGGGTTCCGAGCTGGCCGCTGATGACGAGCGGGACACCTTGCGGCGCTTGTTGTTGGGCTCTGCGGGAGGCGGGGTGGTGTTATAGACGTATGGGATGCAGAGACAGAGTCACACAGTCCGCAGCTTGGAAGGCAGAAAGGCTAGCCTTCGCAATTTCACATTTCATTTCATTTCATGCACATTTCAAGCCTCGAGGTGCTTCCACTGACTGCACTGGTGCTGCCTTTTGCTGTGTAGTGGCTCCAGTGGGACAAGCAGCATGAAGTGTTGTGAGCGGCGACAATCAACCCATGACAGGCATACGACGTTCGCATTCTATAGGTTCAGCATCGAACGCTCATACCTCTCATACTCTGGAAAGACGATCGTGCTGTCCGCCCCCTAAGCTGACACCGTCACTATCTATTCGTCTGCGGAATCTGGACACTCACCTTCGTTTTCTCGATTGCCCTGCTGGGGAGAGACTCGCACCACCAGCACAAAGGTCTTTGGTCCGCTACCGTTCTGTGTGGAGAAACTGCAACACGGGGTGCACAAAAGGAGGCCAGTTAATATGAGTAAGAAAAACACCAATCAGTGAGTTTCAGAAGTTCATGAAATAAATAAAAGCAGGCCAGTAAAATTACGTAATATCGCGTTTCTACATATTACAGTGACGGATTCAGGCATACTAGTTATCATCGTCATAAGCCGGTAAACCCCTGACTAGCTCAGCCATGGATAACGGATGGACAGGGTGGCGTCTCCTCACCTTTCAGCCGGCACACACGATGTGGGTACTGTGGGAGGCGCTGAGGCGTCGCTGGGGTTCACCACTACCTCCGTCCAGCCGAACGAGGTCTGTGGGAGAGAGACACGGACTGGTCAGAACACATACGGAAAAGGGCTGATCGGGGCAAACGGTGGCAAGGTTGGATGCATGGAGGCATGGGACCCAGTAAGCCATCATTTGTGGAGCAGATAACAGCACATCGGCATTGATTGGTGTGTCGAGCCCGACACCGCAGTCCCATGAGTGGTAGCGGCTGGAGCGACCGGAAACTAGATAGCCTCCATCCCGGCAAAGGAAGCCCACATCCCCTCTACACAGTGCTAATCATGACTGCCGAAACACCACCCTCCCTCCATAACCACGATATACCAAACTGTGACCATAACTGAGATAAATACTTCAACCCTGCCCCTGGCATGACGGTGCCTGCACAGCGAAGGCAGCCTCTCTCTCCCCTCCCAGACTAACCGTGACGGCGGGAGCGGCGCCCTCCTTCCGTCGTTTGTGACAGAGCTTCTTCAGGGAGACCTCCACTCGGACTGATGAAGGAGGTGAGTCGTCTGTCGGTAAAGACATGGAGTGTCAGCTACTCGGGTAAAGACCGTAACTTTAACTGTAACTTAACTCGGGTTAAGTTCCAGCAATCGACAGTGAGTAGCCTGGCTTATAGTTTATACAGCGATGAATCGCTAATATTAGTTTGACAGCTAAAGCGATGAACAAAAACAAAAGTGAGCCGCTGATTAATGGCATATCTAAACCGTAAACATGATCAGTGATTGCCTGGTATGGTTAAAAAAGAAGAAGAAACAGGCAGTTGTATACGATTGCAGACAGTGCACATTGTATAACACCGACATTTCTGCACAGTCGAGCATCGACCCACATACTGACTGTCGCACTGCTCAAACTTATCAGGGTCGTCGACAGAATTAGCGGTCAGTTTCCACTTCTCACCCGCAGTGCGCTCATTTCGTGGCTTTTCCAAGCCAATAGGAGTTTGTCAGAGGGGCGAGACAGGGTCACCTGATCCAAAGATCTCATTGAATCCGAAGATTTACGACATGTAATTCAGCCTCTAGACCCTAGGTAGCTTATTTATATCGCCCCAATTAGCTCTCGAATTCTGTCGGCCAGCCGCCGGAGTTGCGCAATGTGACACCCTTCAAAGGCCGACGCACGGTCCGCGGCCGACAACCAGTTACGTAACCGGTCTTCGACCGCTAACTATCCAACGCACAAACACGGAAAAACGGGTCGGCCTCAGTTCACATCGACCGGGCGCCCAGGGACGCGTAGTCCGTTACGGAACGTGGACAGACAACTGGTGGAACTGGGCATCGGCCGGGCGCAGCGAGAGTTACAGGAAGGACCGCTCTGATAACGCCTTGACCGGGCCTCACTGGAGCAGTTACCGATCGTAGATGCTATTTGCGTAAAATGAAAGCCAATAACATAAGAATAACCAGTAACCTCATAATATAAGTCAGAAATAGGAGGCAAAAAGTAATATTTAATCTCGTCGAATATTTCGCTCCTGGAGCTTTATCAGCGATAAATACAGAAAAAACGAAAAAAGTTTTTTCTGTAATTATTTAGGAGCGAAATATTCGACCATTTTAAACATAACTTTTTGGCTCCTTTTTCTGATTTATATTACCAGTATAACGCCTTTTGGGGCGACTAACGGAGCGAACGACAGGGTGGGCCTTGCACGTGCGAAATTGCGAGGGGTACCTCCAACTGACTTGTGCACGGCACCCTACTAACCGGTCTCTAGCGATGTGCCAAATTTGGGCACAATCGGTCCAGCCGTTCTCGAGATCTGAAAGCGGCACCCTGCACGTGCGCACGTGCAGAGTGGGTCCCAACTGACTTGTGCACGGCACCCTACTAGCCGGTCCCTAACTGTGTACCAAATTTGAGCGCAATCAGTCGAGCCGTTCTCGAGATCTGGAAACGACCCCTGCACGTGCGCATGTGCAGCAGAGCCCCAATTCTGGCACATGGATATGCATTATGCAGTGCCTAGTGGGTGCCTACCTACATGCCAACTTTCAGCGCAATCGGCCAAGTAGTTACCGAGATATTGCAACAATTACAAAACGGACATCCCTTCGTTTTGCACGTGGCACGTGCATAAGGGGTCACCCACATGCATCAGGAATAGTCCAATACTTGGTAGAAGGAATGAAGCTACCCTACAAAAATTACCGCGTGTAAATCGGTCAAGTGGTTGCTGAGATATAAGCCTCGCAAAAGCGTGACCACGGCAGGCCGGCCGGCCGGCCGCTCATACTCAGAAATTTCCGTTAATCTAAGGAAAGACTACGCTCGCTTCGCTCGCTCCGTAATGAGGTTCCTGGTTATTATTATACCTATTATTAATTTTCATGAGCCTCAAGCAGAGTTTCATCAGATACGAGACGCAGCGCATCAAGGTGCTAGAGCCTATCCAACGATCGTCGTCATGTGAAATCCCGAGGGTTTCTTCCCGAGGACTCGACTGCTTCCCTATCAAGACCCGGAAGACCTTTACAGATGACAAAATGCGGACGTAAACAGATTTTCTATTTGAACACGAGCGTGTCTTTGCTGACGTATTATCTGATGTGAGAAATGTCTCGATACTGTGCGGGTAGAATATAAAAACGTACCTTTGCTGACGTAGTATCCGATGTGAGAAATGGTCAGGTACTGTCCTGGGGTGCAGTTTGTCAGGTCGCTCTGCTTTTTCTCAGCCTGAGGATGGCACGGCGGTGGTCAATCATCGCTGGGGAAACTACTTGTTTTCAGGCCCAAACAAACGCTCATAGACGAAAACATAACCAGACTGCCAAAAACACGGACATTCAGAAGCGAAATAGAGACATCCTTCTGAATCAGCTAAACCGACCCAATAAGCTACACCAGCCTATCCCACCGGCAAATAAAATGACGCGGAAACATCAGCGACTAGCATCCCAACAAACATCCATTTTCCATCTCAACACAGAGGCAATGGATTAATGACGAAACACAAAACCTCCCATCAGTGATATGTGGACGCGCAGACTGGATCTCACCATGGCCAGAAGAGCATTGACTCGGGTCACCTTTGGCTTGACCCTTCTGGCTGAGGCGCGCCGCATATACAGCAGATTGCGGTGCAGAAACAGAGGCTGAAAAGCGAGAGACGGCGTGAAAAAAATGGTCCAATCGATAAGCAAAATTTCGAAGCAATATTTTTACTATTACATCAGATTTGTGTAATGCAGGTATGTAGTGATGAGAATTGGTACTCAGCATTTTCGTGAAACAACACTAACGACTAAGATAAGTTGCTGAACTGATGCAAGTTGCAACTTCATAGCATTACTTACTGAGACGAGGCTCCTTGCTCTCAGGTACCTGTAGATCTGAGTTGGTTCTGAAACGATGAAAATTCACAGTTCAGTCTAGTTATTAAATGGCATAAGCTGTATGGTGCATGGGCTTAAGTGTAGATGAAGTTCGAATGGTAGGTTGGTAGGTTTTAGGTTGGTAGGCTGTAGGTTTGAAGCTGGTAAGCTGTAGGTTTGTAGGTTGTAGGTTGGTAGGTTGAAAGTTGTAGGCTAGTGGGTACAAGGCTGCAAAACGTGGCAGGTTTTGACAAGATCTCGGAAGTGCACGGGGCCTCCGCTAGCCTTACACAGGCGTGCATTACAAATCTCAGGCATGCAAGGCATGGCCCAGGCATGCAGGTGCAGGCGTACATGTCTGGAGAGCTCTCATTCGAAACTTGCTAATGAAACAGACGCGAAATACGCAGACGGACGTCTACGTAACTACCGCACATTTTTCGAGCGCCCAGCGCTGTTCATTGGGATCAAATGTGCTAGTATGACAGATCACTAGTCACCAATTCTGACGTTTTTACTGCAGCTGGCATATACGCGGGACAGGCGTGGAGGAACCTCTGTCGGACGACGGACGATCGGTCGGACCCCTCCCGACCGCTCGAAATTGGACCGAGCTAGAGCCTCGCGGAAAAAAAAAACGAGCCACTGCTCGTGACAAGAGGGAGCAAATGCTAGCCGATTTTGATATCTTAGGTCATTGGCTGACCTTCTGGGTCAGGTCAATGACCTATTTGTTAGGAAAATCAGGACTTACTAGATTTTTTTTAAGTGAAGCAAATTGGTCTTATCTGGGGTATTTTTGGTGTCCTGATTCTGAATTGCATGCTAGTTTTGATTGATAATGCATGTGTGCATTTGGGTTAGGTTGGGTGTGGGTCAGTTCAGGTCAACCAGCATTTGTCCCACAAGTTGTTCTTGACAGCTATTTACCAATGGTGCCTCTGTCCATGCTAAATAGTCTCTTAAAGTAGTTCCCAAATCCTCAATGAATGCTTAATTCATTATCGACTCTGAAAACTACTCAAATAAATATTAAAAATAAAAGCGAACCGGGATCACCAAGGTATGAACTGACTCTGAGTCAGTCAGGCGCATTGGAACTCTACCCCAAAATAAAAATGATGGTTAGGTGATCTACGAAAGACATCACTGACTGACTTTAGGATTAGAAGTGTTGCTTGCTGAGGCATTTTCAATGCTGTCTGGTAAGTTTCTCTACAGTGATCAAGATCGTGCTTGTGCAGGGCTTGTAAGCTTGAACTTGAAATGCTGTGTGCCAGGCGTGCAAATAACAGACACGTGCAATCCTACTTGCCAGGCATGCATACCCAACAAACTGGGCGCACCTCAAACATCCACGTGCCATGCATTGCAGTCTCAGTCTGGAGTACCTAGGTAAGGTTAGGCCAGGTTAATTAGGTTTTTATCTTCCTAGTTGCAGTACTTCATCTACACCTATACTGTATGCTCCTTCAGCATCAGGTCTGCATCAAACTCATTGGTACCGTAAACCGGGGTGACTTTGTATCACTTTTGACCAGTTTGGTACAATTATCAATACGTGTATTACCAACTCCGATATCCCCGATTCCTGGAAACATTCCACAGTCCACCCCATCTTCAAATCAGGCAGCCCCTCGGATCCCACCAACTTTCGACCAATCTCATTAGTCCCCGTGATTATGAAGGTTGTGGAACGCCTCGTACATCAACAGCTTTACCAATACCTCTCAAATAACCATCTCCTTGCCTCCTCGCAGCATGGTTTTCGCCCCCGACACTCCACAGAGACCGCTCTGCTGTCCGTCACAGACCAAATCCTCGCAGCCTCTGATAGGGGAGAACTTTCACTGCTGTGTCTCCTTGACTTAAGCAAATGCTTTGATGTCATCGACCACGAACTTTTACTTCAAAAACTGGCCATGCACGGGATCGAGACCTCTTGGTTTTCTGCTTTTCTCACGGGACACACCCAGAGCGTGTCCCTATCTAATGGCGCCGGAGGTAGAGTACTGTCTCGGCCGCTTCCAAATAATATGGGTGTCTTCCAAGGATCTGCCCTAGGACCGTTACTCTTCACCATATTTTCGAACAACCTCTCGCTATACGCAGGTGACGCCACCGTTTTCCAATATGCGGACGACACCCAGGTTCTAGTGAGCGGCCGTGCCGACGACCTCAGATCGCTTATCTCTCGCATGGAAGCTTCACTCGCATCAATCAGTGACTGGTTCTGTCTTCACGCCCTCAAGCTAAACGCAAACAAAACACAACTCATGGTTTTTGGCAGCAGACAAAATTTACGGAAGGTACCCGACTTCAGCGTCTCTCTTCGTGACTCTGTGTTGCAGCCAAGCGAGCAGGTGGGGAATCTGGGTGTTGTCTTTGACAGCGCCCTGTCCTGGGAAGCACATGTGTCCGAGCTTAGTCGTCGGTGTACTGGCTTGTTGATCGGACTGTCTCACGCACGAAATTGTCTCCCTGACGGTGTCATTAAAGTTCTCGTGACATCTCTGGTCATATCACGAATCAACTACTGCCTCACTGTGTACGGTAACGGGACTCAGAAAAATTTTGACCGACTCCAGAAAATTTTGAACTTTGCCGCTAGAGTGATCTTCGGACGGCGTAAGTTTGACCACGTCTCGGACCTGCGCGACAGACTTGGCTGGCTATCACCAAAATCCATGTCAGATTACCTGACACTCACGATCGCGCAAAAGGTCATTAAGCATGAAGAGCCCGAGAACCTCGCTGCACTGTTCGTCCCTAATCAAAATTTTCGAGACAGGCACACACGGCAGGATCATCTCCTTCATCTTCCCCGACCGAGGCTTGAAACCGGAAAACGGCGTTTTGAGTACCGCGCCGCGGCGCTGTTAAATAGCCTCCCACCCCAGGTAGTGCAGCTGCCACCTGCCAGCTTCGCCCGGTCTGCCAGGGCCGCGCTGATTAACAAATCCCCGCTACGCCGCTGACGAGTCTGTTTAGTAGTAGACGAGGCATGCCGCCAATAGGTGGACGATCTGTTTGTGCTTATGTATATATATATATTGTTTGTCTTATGTACATATGTAGATGATTATTGTCGCGGCCCCATCGATGGATGACTGTCGTCTAGTGCTGAGTGTTCTTCCCCCTGCCCGCATGACTGTTACCCATTATACTCGGATCTAAGCCGTAATCGCCACGCCATATGTGGAAGGCTTTTGGTGTCAATACATACATACATACATACATACATACATATCTTGTATATCACTTGAGATTTCACTCTGGAAACTGTTTCATCATACCAATTGGACAATTCTCTATCTAACTGAGTACAATAAATGCCTTGAAATTTATCATAAATATTTTATTTTTTTACCAAAAAATTGATCATTCTCACCCAGACGTCGGGGTGACTATGATCACTACATTAAAATCACCTTATGTGTGCCATAGGAGCCCTCAGAAGGGGCTTGTGTGATAAAATTACATGTTTTGAATAAAATCAAAGGCTTTGCTTGACAAAAACTCACACATTTTACAGTAAAACTATGAATCATTGAGGTATTAAAATAAAGTTGCATGCTCTGGGTCTAAACTGACATTACAGAGCTATAAGCAGCAAAATTAGCTACTTTAACCTCTGACTTCAAGATTAAGTAACAGTCACAGATGTCCTAAGCCACAGGCTACCTGTTCTACATCACACTTTGTCTGCTGGTGGCTGTGGGACCACTTGCCACACTGTTCATGCCCCTCCCAGCTGATTGTCTTTTTCACTTCCCATTGACGCTCCAATTACCACTGAGATAGAGCAGCTCAATGCTCATCCTCCATCATCAGTATCTAAGCCTTTCCTTTCTCTTTCTTTATCTGGGTCTTTGTCATCTTTACCATTATTTTTGCTGGAGATGCTAGCGAATTTATACTTCATGCCAATGACAACAAAAAAAACAAGCTGTGACATGAACATGATTATTCTAACTGGGACCCAAAGTGTCTGATATAATGCTTCATTGCTTTATTTAACTATTGGCATAGAAAATACAGTTCACAGCAGCTAATTGCTCATTTGAGGCCCAAAATTGGTCTATGATCAAAGTCACCCCGGGTATCATTGTCACCCCGGTTTACGGTAGTTAACAGCCTTGCACAAACATTTTCAAAGATGCACATCACATAGGTAGTTTAGCAGGTATATATTAGGTTATTAGGATTTAGCAGGTATATTCAACTATACCTACTAACTACCTACCTACATAACAAAGACATTGCGCCGAAAACGTCAATACTCACTTTCAAAGGCTTGTAAGAACATTTCGTGATCATGATCTTGTTTTACCAGGTCAGTAGACGTTCGTGAGTTCTCATCCTCTCTTTCACGCTTCTTTGGGGCCATTTTATTGAATAATTTTTAAAAATGAAGGGTACCGCCGACCGCCGACCGCTGCGACGCCCACACGGCGCGCGAAGCAAGCGCGAAGACAACAAAGGTCAACAATGCGTAATATTTGTCAAACCTTCATTACGAAATTATTGACAATTTTGTATCAATGACGTCATTTTTTTCTAAGCTGTCATGTTGGTCATTATGTAGGGTGTCAGCGATTGGAAAATGTTTAAAATATTTATCCATTTATGTTGCTGTTATGTTGTATGTTGCTACTTTATGTTGCTGTTTATGGTTGACTTGAATAACACTGCTGAACACGCATCATATTTGCATATTTTTTGCAAAAACCGCAAAAAAAAATTGTACAAAATTATTTTCGCTTCAAAGTCTGATGACGTCATTTTGAGAGCAAATCTTTTGAAAACTTATAGCATCAACAAAGTTAAAAAGTGCATGCATGCGCCCACGGTCATAGAATACTAAGGTAACACGGAGCCGAAGCTTCAAGCCAGGGGACACGGGAGGCATGCCGTCAGCTGTCCATTTATAAATAATCGGTTTCTTTGACTTAATTTCTAATGTTTTTCTGATGTTTTGCATCAATGAGGTACATCAAAAATTAAGTTTTATTTTTTTTGAGGTCGAAAATATTTTTTTGTCCAAACTATCCCCGTTTAAAGAAAATAGACAAGGGGAGAGTTTACCCAGGACCCTATGGAGAGAGTCAACCCAGGGCCCTATGGGAGAGAGTTAACACGTGCTTCTATGGGGCGAATTCGATGCAACAATGGCGCAGTAGCGACATTACTCTTGTTCGATGTTTTTCGGACGGCAAAGATTCTACGCCATTCGGCCAATCACATTCCATAATTGCAGCCGAGCCCCCGTTGATCTAGAACGGGATTGGCCGGACGACGTACAATCTTCGTCGTCTGAGAGACATCGAACGAGGGGTACATCGACTGAACATACATTGCGATTCAATATTCAGTATTTTATGACCGTGATTGCAATCCAAATTTGCATTTGAGCTCAGCAGTCGAGTGTGGTGCCAAAAATACCAGAAGCGATGTCCTATATACGGCCTTGACCAGAAGTGTTGCATGCCCTGGATGCAGAACAAAAAGATTGAGATGAGTGGATCAAGATGTATCTTTCGTGCAGATGTATCAAGATCCTTTCACTTAAGATCCATGCAGGTGAGGTTCCAGTGAAATTTGAATTCGATAGGTAGCTATTTTTGATTTTGCTTTGATACTTGTGGTAAGGAAACATGATTATGGTTGCATGAACCGCCCACTGCTCATTGCTGTCTTGTCTCACGTTCGATATCCGATCACCATTCTTAAATAGCTCACCCCATATGGAAATCAGGTTTCAGGAGGCCACTAGGCTTGTGGGGCCTGGTCTCAATGAGCTCCCAGTGCTAAGGACAGTCAGGCTCATATGCTGGGTAAGGTCAGGTTCAGGTAGGCCAGTATGCACTCTGCAAAGCATGGCAATTTCGACAAGATCTCGTCTGTGCTGGCTTGTCCGGCTGGTGAGGCTTTGGGGTGTGGCGTGGATTTTGTGTAGCGCGGTGCAGATTTGGTCTGGTGTGGTCAGGTGGTGGGGGATGTAGTGTAGTGCATTTTAAATGTGGCTGATAGGTGTGCGGTGGTCAGAACGGACTGTGCCAGTGCTGGTGCCTGGTGGTCCCACCAATCACGGGGGTCATCTCCTGTTGTGACCCAGGGCCCAGGGGGTCTAGTCAAAACCTTACCTATTTCTGCTAACCTAAACCTATTTCTTACAAATTAGGCATAAATGTGATTATGGTATAATGATAATTAAACCTGGCCCTTTTTCAGGCGCAAGCTTTGGATGAACTTCTGCTTCTGCGGTCGGCATTCTTACAGGAGAACCCAAGATTCATTGTACCTACCTGTATGCATTTCAAAACTGAATAATTGATAGCAACAAGTAAATATTTGAAGTTGCAGCCAAATGCTGTGCCTTCTCTGCTGCAAGAGCTACATGTCACCATTGAAGCAAGGTAAGTGTTAAAAGAAATTGTTCACCTTCTGTGAGTAACTTGATAAATAAAATTTAAAAAGGTGTGTTAAAAATGTGATGAATAAAATTTAAATGTATTCTAATTTCTAACTTGGAATTACACACTTCTTCTAAAGGGATTTCATTATTTTAATGATTAGAGTTATGAACACTTACAGCTGAACAACCTATCAGCTGCAAGGGATTCTGCTCCTGTAAGTGCTCTCATCGCTGATTGGCCACTGTGTGTGTTGAAGAGGTTTCTGCTTGCTGTAAATGAGCACTAGAACATTAATTTAAGCACCAATATTCACTGATAAATGGTGAATATCTCAAACGGTTCAAATATAAGGCATACACAAATCTGCTCTATCAGACTGCTATCTCAGTTTAAAATCCCATGTTAAAGGTGAACTATTTCCTCGACAGGACCAGCTCGACTCCTGCAGTAGGAGTCCAGCCTCGTCCAGTCGTCGCCGCTCGCCAAGACCAGCCGGACTCCTGCAATAGGGGTCCAGGCTGACCCGTTCGTCCAGTAACCGCCGCTCGTCAGCACCAGCTGGGCTCCTGTAGTAGGGGTCCAGCCTCGTCCAGTCGCCGCCGCTCGCCAAGACCAGCTGGGCTCCTGTAGTATGGGGCTAGGATGGCCCGTTCATCAACCGGTCCTGAAGTCACATCGCCGTCAGCCAGCCGAACTCAGTACATAAGTCACCAACCCTGAATGTTGCCAGCCAAAGTCGGCAGTTTCCTTCGGACAGTCATCTCACCAGTGTTGTACAGTGTACGAGGTTAGTGACGCAGTTAAATGCGTCAATTAAATGCGAGGACGTGCGCTTGTATGCAGCGTTTTGTCATGTCGAGCTGCATGGGTGTCGATTTTCACCGAATTGAGGGTGCCCACTGCCCGGGCGCAGCAAATCCGCCGCTGCCTTAGCGGTGACCTTGACCCGCACCGTCTGTTGGGGCTCCAAAGCCAAGCCAGCCGAGCCGGCGGGGAATCTAAAGAGCTTGAGCACCCCCAACCCGGCGGAAATTGACACCTATGTTGAGCTGTATGGATGCGTTTTAGCCTTCCGCCGTGGTGGTAAATAGCAGCCTACATGCAGAATTAGGCAGGCTTATTAGCGGACTCATTATTGGATTCATTGTGTCACGTTTGTCGGCACGTGTAAGATGTGCTTAACTGCCATTAGCTCTCGGCCTGGCGACTTCTGGGGACCACGTAATGGGGAATATGACAATTGGGATCCTGTGCCTTAAGTCGGCCATTTACGTCCATGGCTATATACCCCCGTACTAGGGCTAGTTATGACGTATATAGGGATCCACGAGATCTTTTTTGATGAATGTGTTGTGCAGTGTTGAGATCCGCGTGTAACGTCACTGTTTGGCCAGTCTGCCCTCAAACGCGTCATCTTTACTCGTATTTTATTTACTGAACGTTTTGCATGGTCCAGTGGTTTATATAGACATCTTCCTTGCACTAGCTAGTTTTATGTGGCCAGGTTGATTGCCTGTCAGCGCGGTCACGCTGTCGTCTTTCGATTGGTGCGCTTAAATGCGGCGAGATGAATATAGGATTTCCTTTGATGCTATTTAGTACCTGCGCCCAGCTCAACTGGGGAAGGGGGGGGGGGGCACTGCCGACTTTTGGTCCCATTCTTTCCATGTAACGCCCATAGAGCCCATTGTTAAAATGCCAAAATCAAAGGGGGGCACGGTGCCCCGGTGCCCTCCCCGTTCCGCCGCCTATGCGCGAAAGTACCAACTACCAACAGTTTCCAGTTGTTTGTGTCCCAAAGTTTTTTATGAGTTGACGATTGGGCTTTTCCCATCGCTCGTTATGCAATTATTTTGTTAAACGCTCTAAAATTGTTTCTCTACAAGTCATTAGAACTTAGAAGCAAATAGATATTGATGGATACGATCTCAAGGGGGCCGATAAGAAGGAAGAGCGCGCGGCGCAATGATTGTGGAGCACAGCACACGATTAATGTGAGGCGCATTTAAGCGAGAAATAACTTCATTGAACAGAAATGAGCAGAGTACCAGCATTGAAACTGCACCAGTACCAGCATTGAAACTAAATATAAGATATCTCAGAAGGTTGCGCTTTTGGGGCCGAGTTGTGGTGCTTTACGCCGTACATCATGCTTAATGAATGTGACCGTCGTGTTTGTGGGATCCCCGTCGGTACTAGTCAGCCCCACGAATCGTGGTAGATCATAAAGATAATCTTCGCCTCCGGTTATGATTTTGATATATCTACGAAACGGGTGCTGGGTGGTACACGAAAGCAGCTTTTTCAGGTGAGTTGAAAGGGGAAGAGGTTCTTTGAATTACCATTTCGGACCATGGTTCTAAAAAGCGCTAGTTTAAAACTATTGTTATAATTCCTATCGTAAACCATCGGACGCTCGACGCTGCATTGGCATTGGTACGGTGTGCCGGTAATCGCTTCGCTCGCCGAGAATGATAGCGTGGCAGGTTTACTGATATGTAGGATTATCAAATAAATGTAATAGAAACGATATTAAATCCACTACCTCTTTAGAAGCTCTTGAAATAAACCTGGCTATCTGGTTGTCGAAGCCAGGCAAATTATATGCTTGGAATGGCTAAATGTCCATTGTCCATGACATCATTAAATTGAATTATTTTCCTTCTTAGCACTTAAAATACATTTCAGCGACACAAAACTCCCAAAAGTCTGATATCTTGCCCGTGGTATCTTGGTACGATCGGCGAGAACCTAAACCTTCCTACGCAATGTCCATGGCTATGCGAAGTCTAAGGTTGGCCTACATAAGCCTTGGGTTGGCCTGTTTATCCTGTTTCATATCGTATCTATGATAATAAAGTGTTCACGATCGCATAGCCAAACTGAGAACAAAATATTTATTTGCAAAACTCCAGCAATACCCCTCGCTTGATACTATAAAAAAATATTGCACACGATCATGCGAAGCCGTGAATCCTACCGCCTTTATTTAGCGCCGGCGTTCCCGCGTTAATAATTTCTCCTGAATCGGAGGACCAATAATCAGCTGACGCACCGTTGTTTTGATGTCGGCGGACCGTGCCAGCCTGCATGCGCCATGCATGCGCGCTCTGCTTGCACATTTTTTGAATTTTTAGTTATTTTGGGAACTAATCCTCAGAGCCCTCAGAGGATGGTTCTCGTGTAAAAGGGAGGCTTTAGGAGCGTTCAAGTTGAAGTGTGATGGAAGTGAGTACTGCATGCTAGGGAGTGAAGCTGAATAGGTACCTTACCCAAGCTGGCTTACCTTAGGTGTGCACGGAATTTTGAGGCCTATATATAGGTCTCAGTCACTCTCAAATAGCTTTCGCGCTGATGCCAATTTAACTTAATTGACTTTCATTTAATATTTTTATGTAGCAAGCTAGCCAGACTGGAAAAAAAAATCCATACCTACACTACGCTAGACACCCATGAGACCCTCATGCCCCGAAATTCGGCGCAAGCAATTCTGCGCTAAAATTCCTGCATAATTTGCGCCAAAAATTGGGTGCTTTTTTGCGTTAAAATTAAGCCACTTTTATGTAAAGCACATGTGCACATCTACCCACCGACCAAGGCTCAACCAGATGGAGCGTCAACCAACCAGATAGAGAGTCCCAGGGCCTTGGACACTCCCCTTGTTTGAGCGTCTGAATAAGTTTTATTTTTGCGGAAACCCAATACTACAATACGCTTAGTGTACTGTAGAGTCATGCTGTGAAGCAAGGCCCTTGCTGGAAATTCCAGGCCCACAAAAATCGGTGGAGCAGGAGCGGTGAGTATGAGGCTGGCGGGTGCCAGCAAGGGCTGGGCAGCGGAGTAGCATGTGCCCCAGCACATCAGCCTTTTCTCAGCACACGGCGCAGGGCAGCGGGCACCGCTTGTCTGGGCACTGCCGACACGCCTCAGGGGGGAGACGGCCGATCCGTTGCAGGTACTGGAGCGAGCGGTGCCAGTAGCCTGCCCTCACCTGGTGCACCGAAACGGCGTCCTCGGACCCCTCCGGGGATAGGGAGCGGCGGCGTGCTCCCGAGGCGTGGCTTGAATAGTGACTCGGACCAGTTGTCGCGCCATTGATGCGAGGCCACACAATAAACCATCCGGGTCAGCGTGCGGGCGTCAGAGGGCAGTGCGGCTGCTTGTTTCGCCAGGTCGTCCGCGCTCTCATTCCCCTCGATACCACAGTAAGCAGGAACCTGACTGCAGCATTATTTCATGACGCTCTGCGACATTAGCGTCGCCACGGGGGGCAAGCGGGGCAGCTTGCCCCCCCCCCCCCCCAACCTCGGACCGGGCACCCCCTGAGATCGATACAGATCCGATGAGATTTTGGAGTCGGGAAAAATGGGGGTACATTTCTGAGAATGCCTGTGAGGTCAGACTCGGTTGGAGCGTGAAGTTCAAACCAGAGTCGGAGTCGCAATTGCCAAAATCTTCAAGACTCCGACTCCAGACCCGGAAATGTCAATGCTGTGATTCATTCCTTGTTCCTAGTTAGTTCTGTATTACATTTTTTACTTGATTTTCCTAAGTTTTGGAGTTCTGGCACATAATTTTCGTTCAAAGCGTGACACGAAATCTTCAGGACCTTTCTAAACTCTCGTCAAATGTCTGCGACAGGCTCAAGTACCGTTCAAGTGCCGCATGGCTCATGAGCTTGCTTTTCCCACAGGCTCCTGAGGAGCTCCACTGAGCTCTAAGAAGCTTTCAGAGAGCCCAAACTGGCCTCTGAGAGTCCCACTGGTGTCCATGTTCTCTGAGGGCCCATACAGGAATCTTTGAGGACATTATATATACGTAGACCTCTGAAGGGCCACACGAATCTTTGAGGATGCTTTCGAAAATTTCTGAGAACCTTAACTGGCCTCTGATAGTTCAGCCAAACTTTTGAGGCGACAGACTTTGCTAACCCCAAGCCGGCATCTGAGGGGTCACAGCTCACGTGTCCCTCTGAGGGCCGCGAAACACGTTTCTTATGTCCCTACGTAGGGTCCCGGACCCCGAGGGTTCACAGTTCACACTTCACACTGTTATCCGAGGGCTCCAGGCTCAACCTGGGCCTAGTCTCCTAGCGCCCGCCGCCCACACTGGGTGCTGAGGGCCCCACCTTGGGCTCGGAAAGCCCTAAAGCACCACATACACGTAAATATTTGGGGTAACCCACGCCGATCTCCGGGATCCTAAGCAGGCTTCTGAGAGTCCACACTGAGCCTGAGTGGCCTGAAATGGCCTGGAAGCCCCAAGCCTATCTCTAAAGCCTGAAACAGACTCTTTTCGCAGTCAGGAAATCGCATGCGAGAGCCTATTCAAATACATGGAAGCACGCTCGCATCAATCGCACGCACTTCCCGCAAGCGATTGATGCGAGAAGAATTACAGGGTGGGGCAGAAAGATTTACCTCTTGATTTTTGAAAATATTTCGGTCCAGAACTAAGATATTCAAATGATTCTTGATACACGTATTCAGTAGCATGTACACATCTCAGCAACGGCACTATGAACCAATATGGCCACCTTTGGTCTTCACCCCTGCCCCGAAACCTCCCCCTGCGGAGAGGCGCGAGCGCCGCACGGTGTCCTCGTCGAAATTCGACCATACCGTCTCGATGGCCAGTTTCAGAGCGGCGATGCTGCTGTGTGGTGTTGCGCACATCTCGCTCTCCAGGATGGCCCAGGTGGTGAAGTCCATCGGGTTCAGGTCTGGACTTGATGGTGGCCACATGTCCTTGTCCCAGAATCCAGGCATGTGGGTCTTGCACCACTGTTGAGTGAAGTTGGCCGTATGAGACGACGCAACGTCCTGGACGACGACGTATCCGTCTCGGAACGACTGAGGATCCAAGGCAGAGCATGTTCCTCTAGCAGATGGACATAAACGTGTGAACTGACTTTCACACCCGCCTCGATGAAGATCAAGCGTCCTTTTGAGCCGTCGGATGCGACGGCAGCTCAAATCATGACACCAGCAGGGTTGTGGCGACCAAAACTGGCCTGGATAGCAGGATTAATGCTGCATGCACCATCTGCCCAGATTATGTCGCCTTGAGAGTTCATCTGGGGCTGAACCGTGGAAATATTTTTTATCAGATCAGAGGAAGACCTTGCTACCGGCGCTTCTGATTTCCTCCAATATCTTTTGGGCCCTGTGAAGCCGCCTCTCCTTGGATGCCGCCGAAATTAGGTGTCGACGTTGCATCGTGTACGACTCAAGGCTCAAAACGTCGTTTATGATTCTTCTGATCGTTTTGGGCGAAAAATCGAGGTCCTTTGCCAGTTGCGCATGTTTCGCCAAGGATTTCGAGAGGCATCTTCTGTACGATATCAACCAGCTTTTTGGTGCGGACATGTCTTGTTCTGCCTGGGATGGGCTTCGTCGACACTGTACCTGTCCCTTTAAGGCATTTCATTAGATTGTTAACAGTTTTCATGGCAACACCGAGCTGTTTTGGAACGCTTCGGACGCTGTGGCCAGCCTGCATCGGCGCCGCAATTTGGGCTCTTTTTGTAATCTTCGCCGTAGCTCATAAACAACCACGACGGAATTAAAACCGATCAGAACAATTATACACGTGTCAGTTGGGAAGCCGCATGCAAAAGCTTACTAAAATCTGTCCAAAACTTTTTGAGTTATGGGCTAAAAACAAACAGGTAAATCTTTCTGCCCCACCCTGTATAATGTATTTGAATAGGCTCTCGAATGCGATTTCCTGAACGCGGAAAGAGTCTGTTTCAGCCTTAAGGGATCCCTTGCCGCTATGCCGTGCGCAACTTTTGGTTCCGTTATACATTTTTTGTTCGCGTTTGCAGCGCTCCCCTTCACACGAAAAAAAACGAGAAACTTTTTGTTCACACTCGAGTGAACAAAACACTTCCTCTCACTGGAGCAAAGATGAATTACTTCCGATTCACACTTCCGACATTCACTCTCCGCCGAATGCCCAACTTAGCTACAATCGGTGGCTGTTGTTGTTGTTGTTGTTGTTGTTTGTTCCCCACGCAGCGGTCGCTACGTAGCCTCTCGGCTCTGGAGGTACCTGGCGGCTGGCGGCGGCCCCCAGGGCCGCCACCACACCGCTGCCTCGGACCTCCTCCTCACTCGGGTGTATGTTGCCTAGATGTCGTAGGCGTAGTCGCATCAGTGCTGGGCAGCGGAGCAGAATGTGTTCCGGCGTGTCTGCCTCCTCTTCGCCACAGCAGCGGCAGCCGGCCGCCCGGCACGTCAGCGAGTTGCACTGCGCGCAGTCCCGGCCGGGGTTCCTGCCGATCCGATGCAGGTACTGCGCAGATCCCGACCAGTGACCAGCGCGCAGTTGGTGCACATCAACCGCCACCTCTCGTGGAGTAGTGCTGGGCAGCGGTGCGGGTAGGTGGCCGTCCATCAGCCGCCTATACCAGCCGTCTGGCCAGTCGCTGATCGCCTCCTTTCTGGCCATCCGGGACGCCGCACGGTACACTGTGCGGACGTCAACCGGGACTCCCTGCTGTGGGAGGGCGGCGGCTTCCTTGGCGATAGCGTCCACCCGCTCATTTCCCTCCAGCTCACAGTGGGACGGCACCCATTGGAGGTGGACCCTTCGGTCCCCGTCAGCCACCAGTGCCGCCATGTGCTCCCAGATGGCGGCACCTAGAGGGGACGTCTGGGCCGCTGGTCCTCCTCTCAGCGTCGCAAGTGACGCCTGTGAGTCGGAGCATATGATTATATCCTGTTCGAGGGGTGGGTGCTCCAGGAGATGTCGCACTGCCGTCTTCAGCGCCACCATCTCAGCCCGGTAGCTAGAGCATATTTTTTCCGCCGCCTCTCGCAGAGCTTCCGTCGTTCCGTCTGGGTGCTCGATTAGGACCCCGGCACCGCCATTCGCCACTCCGCCGGTCGCCGACCCGTCGGTCCAGGCCCACAATCGGCGGCTCGGATAAGCCCTATGCATTTCACGTAAAACCTCTGCAATCTGCATGCATGCGTGATTGGAGGTTTTAGCATGGTGATCCGATTAAATGGAGTGCTTTTCACCTTTTTCTGGGTGATGATCATGAGCGACGAGCGTCTGCAGAGGGGCCCTCTGCAGTGCGTCGCATAATGTCAGCCACTGTAATTTTACCGGTCATTTTGTCCAGAAATTTCAAAATTTCGAATTTTTCTGTAAAAAAGCTATATGTCATAGCCAGAAGGAAAACTTTGCCACCATCGGATTCTTCGCACCATTGCGCGTCGAATGATATGTAAAACAAGTGAGTACCGACTGGGGAAAGGCAAGATTTAACACAAAACTTGGTTTTGCCCCCCCCCCACCGAAAATCTCTGGCGACGCCTATGCTCTGCGATGTTCAATAGGTCTTTCATACCCACATCCGTCCCGAGTGTGGAGGCCTCACCTGGGCCGGGGCGGCCGCTCCTCCGTTGAGTAGACTCTGGGCGGCTCGCCAGTTCGAGGCTCAAGCAGTCGACGACCGAGGCGGAGACGTCTTGTCCCGAACCCTCTCCAGACCCGCCCGCAGGGCGCATCTGCTGCTAGATTGACCAGCGTGCCGAGTGACTAAATTCGGTGACCGTCATTCACCAAAAAATTATGCGGCCGCCCTGTGCCGAAAAATTCTGTTGCCGCCATGCGCTGAGTTCGGCGCATGCAAAGTTACGCCGGACGTGCGCTGAAATTTTCGGCGCAATCCCGCCACTACGCCGGACATATTCGGCATAACGTGTATTTTTTCCCAGTCTGGCAAGTTAGTCTTTCCTGGTTCACATTCCATGAAAATAATATCAACCCATTTCAAGATTTGTATCCGAGCGAATCGCATATTTGGATGTATTCTTGTCATGAGTGGAGTTGCTATGACCTGCTATAGATAAGCAAGCAGGGCACCACATGATTGGTAGGTACACTGTACTTTATAAATCAGCACTACTACCATAAACCAGAACTGCAGTGGAACCATGAGGATCCACACTACACCGGCTGAGCGACTGTCTTTTTTGCAATGGTGCACTTCCCATTGAAGCTGTAACGAATGCTAGGTCACGTCGCATACTTTTACCACTGCAAAATCAACAATGTCAAAGTTCTTGGGTCAATCGTTTGCGATGCCCTTCTACAGCACATGAGCACAAGTGGGCTGCTCAACAGCACTCAGCACGGGTTCCTCCCCAAGAGATCCTGCGCCATACGCCGGCTGATATTCACTACACCATTCAGCCGGGCGCTAGTCCAAGCTTGGTGCCAGTTACGCCGGCCAACATTCACCACACCACTCAGCCGTGCGCTGGTCCAAGCTTGGTGCCAGTCACGCGCAGACAGGAGAGATTCAAAATTAAGAGAGGCCAACTGGTCTTCACCTCTTCAAAGTTGTTAAATGGCCATGCAGTCTTGTCCTTCAGACAATAATTATTTAGGCCTATGCACCACCCGGCATTGTAGGGTGAACGCGACACCCGGCGTGAGAGGGGGTGTGGGGATTGCCTCCTAACCCGCACGATAAAGAACCCATGGTGTAGTTCGTGAAGAGTAGGCCATGTGCCGGCACCATGGCAAAATTAATCCCAAATCGAATTTATTGTCTTGATGGAGGACAAAGTGGTATCTTAACAACCCTTTAAAGTAACTATAACGTAAAACTTATTCTAACAGTAGGTAAAGTAAGTCCCAGGATCCCACTCACCTCCCAAGAAAGCCACAACGCGTTACCGAGCACTTTAAAGGTCAAAATTTTAGAACTCACACACTTAATTAAAGTAAATGAGCACTTGCAATATCAAAATTCTAGCAATTCGATATTTTTCTAGCAAACAGATTCTTTACAGGCGGCCGAATGTCCAATGGACAGGGACGCCTTAAAACCTCATTTTCACTCACTCACCATCCTGCGCCACTCAGCTGATGGAAGCCTTTGAGGAATGGAGCTCTGCTCTCGAAAACGACGAAGCGATTGACATATACCTGGATTTTGCAAAGGCCTTTGATTCCATGCCACACAATCGTCTGATTCACATGTACGCTTACGGTGTCAGGGTAAACCTGCTGAATTGGATAGCGGCTTTTCTGGTCGATCGTCGACAGAGGGTTGTAGTTCATTGTTGAATTGTATTTCATTCCAAGCTTGTAATTAGCTGATTCTGATAGCATATTTCTCGTTCCCTGTTACAGAATGGCGGAGGATCAAGCAAGTCTGAACAGAAGCAATAGTCTCGAACACTCGGGTGGCTTTTCGGAGGTGAGTCAGTGAGAAGGAACGACGTATGTGTTGTGTTTGTATGTGTGTGGGAAGGGCCGGAGGGGGGAGGGGTTCGCATAATCTCTGCGAGAATATGCGATAATAATATGCCTTGCGTACCTTTTGGAGATAAACCCAACAATTTGTAGTTTCGGCCGGCTTTCAACTCAGCGAACGTTTGTGTAACCGACATCCGTTATTTCAGGCAATGCTTCACTTTAAGAGGGCAGCAGTGTTCAAACGGAAGCTGGAGCCCAGCTACAGTTTCTGCCTGCACAAGCACTACTGTAAGGCTGCCAACCGAAGCAACAAGATCCACTGCGACTGCGGCGAAACTGAGGATGGTAAGCTTTTCACGAATTAACGCAAAATCCTCATGATGGCTGAATTATGTCGTTGCTCATGTGAAACCGTCTGCTACGTAGCTTTGATGGTAAAACATCGGATTCCTGGTTGTGCGAGCCCGAGTTCGAGCCGTTCTGTTGATGGATATATGAAAACTTCAGACGGAGATCGTCTGCACTTTTTTAGATCAGCTGCAACCAGTTGAAATCAGTTGAAGTGGATAGGCCACGTCCTTTGGGCTCCTTCGTTCTTGGCATCTAAATTCCCCCGTTACCCGGCATGGCCCGATCCGACGATAGGGAGAGGACCTTCGCAGCAACCGCTGCTTAGGATGGGCTCCGGCGGTGTTAATTTGTCCATAATTGAAACATTAAGCCATATTTACAAAAAGCTACTAGTTTTAGCGAGGTGTTTTCTTTATTTTTATTTTCAATGAACTCTGACAGTAAAGGCTATGATCAGGGTCTAGTTATTGATCCCCGTGAATTCTGCCGCCCGCTACCCCACACTGCTGACCGGTATCCGTCTATCTCTCAGACCCGCTGGCGTGGCACTGGGACCGCGGCCGGTCGACGCGATCGGCCACCTTCCGTCCCACGCACGTGGCGTGCCACGAGACGCTGTCAACGGGCACGGCGCTACTGGTGGGAGACACACCACTGGAGGCCGGCGGTCACCACTACTTCGAGGTCAAACTGCTGACCGACCTCTACGGTACAGATACGGTGAGAGCCACACTGCTGACCGACCTCTACGGCACTGACACGGTGAGATCAAACTGCTGACCGACCTCTACGGCACTGACACGGTGAGCAGGCCGCATGGCTGGAAATCAATTCGCTTATTGGGCGTCGTGGGTGTGCTTTACCTTCTACTGATAATGATGTTTGGTGTATGGTGATGTGTTTTTCATTACCACTATACTGTGACCTTGATTGTAACAAAACCGTATTTTTTGTTACAGTCTTGTTTTCGTGTTAATAGTTAGTTTCGATGGCTCATCCAAACAATATTTTCAAGGCATACTGAAGGCGATGCAAACAAACTCCGCTACCCAGTACCCATTATCTACTCACTCACTCACTCACTCACTCACTCACTCACTCACTTCTCTCCCCTCTTTCCCCCTGCAGATGGTCGGTGTGTGTACGGACCAGTTGGATCCGGCGGCGGGCGAGCAGCGCTTCGTCAGCCTGCTCGGAGCCGACAACCACTCCTGGGGACTCTCGTACCACGGTAAGTACCCCGGCCCTGATTCACTCTCTTGGTGGAGCCTCGTCCTTAGGAATAAGTCGTGACAGTAACTGATGCTCGGTGGATCATGCTATATAGTGATCCATCGTCTGTGTGATACATGAGTCACAGCAGTGACCCTTTCCCATGACCGTGGCTGCGTTATCCATTCGCCAGACACTCGGCACCCCTGTCGCATGTTGCGTGACCTCCAGGCTCCAACACGTTGTCGTGACGTGTGACGTATTTCCCGTGACCCTTGCTCGTGAGATCTCATAACCCTAAACCGTTCTTAGCTCCCTGACCTGGGAGTGGGACCGCGTGTTCCTCAGGTAAAGCGCAGCACGGCGGCACCGGCTGGTCGTACGGACCAGAGTTCGGCAAAGGCTCCATAGTGGGCGTGTATGCCAACCTGCGCTCCGGGCAGCTTGAGTTCTTCCTCAACCGGCGCTCGCTCGGTGAGTGCTTGCTTCCTCCGAGATCAGGGTGGGAGACCGAGCCTCTGCTGTTGGCACTAAGATGGTCGCTTGGTTAGGGAGGGTCGGTGGCACATGGTGTGGAAACAAATCAAAGGAAGTCGAAGCATTGGTAGTAGGGATATTCTGGATGAACACATTGTGGTTGTAACGAGAGTCGTTTGTTGTTTGAAGTTTTATTGGTTCGTTTTATTTTTATTACCTTATGTTTTGTTCTTCATATATAAGAATTAAAGTCCTATCTGTTATACAGTGCCATGAGGATAACTTAGTCAAATGAAAAATTTTACCGATAATGTGCAGTTAACTAGCGCTGTGTCTCCGCGATGTAACGATCTCTGACACTGTGCGCCTCACGCCCTCAGGTGTGGCGTTCACCAACCTGCCGTGCGGGCCCGGCTCCGGCGTCCGCCTGTACCCGGCCTTCTGTACCACGGCGGCCAACACGTGTGTGCGCCTCGTGTCGGCCGCCTCAGTACCCGACTCGCTGCAGTTCCAGGCCACGGCCGTGGTCACGCGCAGGTGAGCCGGTTGAGTAGCATTGGGAAGCAACTTTCTGTGGGCTATGTATTTTTTTATGTGTGCTTGATTGCGTCACCATCCCCTTGTATTTACTTTTTCACCTACTATGACACGAACTCAAGAATAGCCATGTTGTATGGATGAGTAAGTGTTCAATAAACAATAAACAATAGCACCGGGAGCGCACTATCCTCAGTCAAGTCAAGGCTTACCCCTTCCATTAGTGTCTGGGCCTCGGGATGGGCCAGTAGGGTCGCAATGATATATGAAAACTGAAATCGAGTGGTTTTAACGCGATTCCCGCTATCGTCATGCTTGCATTATGCGCAACCTACATCTCTAATTCTTTGCGACGACTTTCTTTCTGTTCTTCGAGTGCCTCTTCAACGACTTTCTAGTTCTGTCTGTGGCATTCAGATGAGTTTTATGTTTATTTTGGGAGATACGTTGATTACTATACCTACAATCGTCAATTTCTTCCAGCGTGATGGCCTAATATCTATGGCTAATATCTAATAAATCTATGGCTGAATGGGTATCTCCGTTCAATGCAGCAGTAATATCTTTGCTTTTCCGTGTATCTGGCGTTGTCAATATTCCTCGCCCTAATAAATGCCTTGTGCCTCACTGTGTCAGCGTCCTGCCGCACTGACCCTGTGCTCCCCCGCCGCAGCCTGCCGCGCTGGTCGCTGGCGCTGCCGGCCGCCCTGTGTCGGCTGGTGCGCCGGTTCGCCTGGCTCGAGTACCGCCAGCCGGCGCAGGCGTCACCGGGCGATGACGCCGTGCAGCTGCTGGATGACTCCCCCGCCCAGCAGCCCGTCCGGCCGCCACCGACGTTGGCGGTGACCGCAGGTAACACTGCTCAACTCTCTGTCGGCACAAGGCTTTACTTATTACCCCAGTTTCTCAATAATCGGTTGCACATGCATAAATTTGTTTCATAGATAGATAGTTTATTAGATGCCTCCACTGGCATGGATTTTGTGGCATGCACGTCAATCACACAAGATAAAAGGTAAAATACATGACAACCGGTAAACGACCTTGAACACACCATTGTAAACATGCATAAAAGGAGATAAAAACAAAATGCTATAACACTAAAAACACAAATAAAAGTATATACACTACACAACACACGACCATAAATCACCTATTGTTCCATGTGGAAATCGCGCGATACGTAAAGCTGCGCCGCGCAAACTCGGTCCTCACTCTCGGTAGCTGGAGCAGGCCGTTGGCCACCGCTCGGGTTTGGCGGCCCGAGACATCGCTTCGGTGGATCAGCTGCCCAGTCAGTGCCTCAGCCCCACATGCAGGGTTAAGAAGGCGACATATGGCAGCGATGTCCCGCTCATGCACCATCTCATCGACTGTGGGCCATCCCAGCTCTCTAAGCGCCGGTGTCACGTGGTCTCGCCGTGACAGTCCCGAAACGATGCGAACGCCAAAATTGATAGCTTTTTGAACTCGTGCTTTAAGTGAAGCCGAACAGCTGCCCCACACAGTCAAACAATACCGAATATGAGGAAACACAAGCGCTTGTACGAGAAGTTGCCGTGTACATTTTGGTAGTTTGTGCCGCAGTCTAGCGATTCCTATCAAGATCATGTTACAGCGCTGGACGACATTGGAAACGTGCTCGTTCCAGGCCAAGTGCTGGTCTAAGGTGACGCCCAAAATTTTGACGCTGTCAGAGGGCAAAATTTCATCATCGCCAAAGCAAACAGAGAAGTTGGTGTTCACAGTCTGACGTCGAGATTTTAAAATAAGCATCTCAGTCTTACTTGGGTTGATTTTGAGACGATTTTGAGTGAACCAGGCCAGGACTGTTGCGAGGGTGCTTTCTACACGACTTTTTAGCGTTTCGGTCTCAGAAAAGGTTCCAGCGTCAAGAAACTGGCAGTCATCAGCGTACGAAACAAGTTTACAGTGAGGCACGTGTTGTGGTAAATCGGAAGTAAATATAATAAATAAAATCGGTCCTAAAATTGATCCCTGGACTACACCGTGGGTGACGTTCAAAAAGTCAGGAGCACCAGTCACAGTCTGAGATCGATCGCTCAGCCAGGCTGCAAACCACCGGCTGTCGATCCCGTACCAGCCGAGCTTGTCCAGAAGACGGCCGTGCTCGACGCTGTCAAAAGCCTTGGACGTGTCGGCAGTGACAAGTGACGTCACCAGGCCCCTGTCGATGTTGTTGACAGTGTAAGTGACAGCGTCGAGCAGGGCCGCCTCCGTGGACAAACCCGGCCGGAACCCGTACTGTTGCGGACAAAGCAGATGGTGCTCAATCAGATATGACATGAGTTGCGTGCATACAACGCGCTCGCACAACTTTGACACGACTGGGAGCACACTGATCGGGCGATAGTTATTGGGATCGTCTTTAGCTCCCTTCTTGTGCAACGGCACGACTGTGGCAACTTTCCAGGCACGAGGTAGGTCGTAATGACTAATAGACGTGTTCACAAGTTTTAAGAGGTGAGGACCGACAACTGGAAAAGTCATTCTCAACATCTCTATGGTTATGCCGTCGGATCCACAGGCGCGGCTAGAACTCATGCGCTGCAGCGCCACGGCGAGTTCGGGGAGTGTAGCAGGGTGGGGCGAGAATGCCCCGCTGCAAACACGCGGCGGTCGGGGCGGGAGCGGATCGCCTGAGTCCCGTTCGGCCAGCGTCTCCGCCACATCCGGACCGACCGACGCGAAGAACCGGTTCAGCCTGCCGGCCCACTCGGAATCCACCTGTGCAGAGCTCGTCGTCCTCGGCTGAGCCTTCTTTGACGATACCAGGTAGCGCCTGATGTGTTTCCACGTTAGCCCGCGAGGGTTGCGGAATGATGTGGCAAAGTAGGTGGCGCTGGCTCTGTTCAGCGCCACCTTCACTGCATTGCGCCGAGTTCGGAACTCTCTCTGGGTCTCATCACACGGGGTACGATCGCGGTCGAAGCGAGCCAGGTCCCGTGCAGCCATGGCCTCCCGGACGGCCTCATCTTCAAGCCATGGATAGCACCGCTGCCGAATCCTGACCGTCCGTAGCGGCATGTGTCGATCCAATATGGGGCGCCACGTGTCAAGGAAACCGTTCCACATGTGACTGATGGAGTCGGCTTCATACAGGCGGGACCAATCGGCCAGCAGAAGTTCTAAACAGAGTGCATCCTTGTTCACTCGTCTCGCACTCCGAACCGTTATAGTCTCCGGCACAGTGGGCTCCCTGAAGTCGGAGACCCTGGCCGTGATCAGGTCGTGATCCGAGATGTTGCACGGGATGACGGCCACATCAGACGCGCAGTCAGGCCGATTCACTACCAGGTGATCCAGTAGGGATGGACTCTCTCCAGGGCGCGTCGGCTCGGTCACAAGCTGAGTTAACGCCAAGTCACGCAGCAGCTGCAGGTAGGGCGTGACGCCGGGCTTGCTGGGCTGCAGAACGTCGAAGTTTGTGTCGCCAAGCATGTAGATCGGCCGGCCGCGGGCCAGGATGGCAGTCAGCTGCCGGTGCAGGTCTTCAAGCGACGCTGCTGCTGGGCAGGATGGCGGACGGTAGACGGCGCCGATGATGATGCTGGCTCGGCCGGTGACCTGCAGCCAGAGAGCCTCCAGCGCCGACCGCGGGGCCGGCACCCTGAGCCGCTCCACGCTCAGAGAGTGACGGTAGAGCACGGCCACCCCGCCGCCGGACCTTCCAGTCGGTCTGTCTTTCCGGCAGATGGCGTATCCGGGAAGCACCAGCATGGAACTGTCGACGGACTCGGTCAGAAAAGTTTCGCTGAGGCAGATTACATCCAGCCGCTCGTTCTGAATCAGGTGGCCAACGTCATCCATGTGAGCCGTCAGTGAACGAACATTAAGGTGGCCCACTTTCAGTGTGTGGGTCACTGGGCTCCTTGTACGACACTCCTTGCGACGCGGGCTCCGCTCAAGAACGTGTCGCGCCCATAAGCTAGAGCATTTAGGATTTCGTTAACGAGCAGACTCCCGAACAAGCCTCTTACCAACCGCCTACACCCGCGTGATGATATTTTCGGCGACCATACTCACAAAACTCAAACGCAATATGGTAGTGATATGATTTCGGTTAGGCTTAGGTAGGTAGCGTCTGTTCTACGGTCTGTCAATTAATAAGCGAAGTTGATATTATGTCCCACCGTTTGTTGTAAGCTGTGGTGTTGTAAGTTGTAACTTGTAAGTGTGGTGTTGTGGTCTGAGTTGTTGGTGTAGCTGACTGGGGCATTCCCGTCTCCCCGGCAGCTCGGAGCGGCGGCGCCGGTGACCGGCTCGGTGGTGACGGCCCGGACCTCGGATGGTCCCCACTGGAGCCGGACAGAGACACGGACTCGCCTCCGGTAGCCGTGGTGAACCGCGCCTCGCTGCCGGCCGCCGCCGTCGTCCCGTCGCGCCGTCTGCGACTGTACGTCTCCCCGGAGGAGGAGCCGCGGGCGGCCGCCGCACCGCCGGCCGCTGACGCCAGCCCGCCGCTGCGAGAGCGGCCCCGCGCGCGAGTGACGCTGGTGGCGGAGCGTCGCGGCCGGGCCCGGCGGAGGAGTGGTGCCGCGCCTCCGCCGGCCGTGGTGGCGCTGGGGCCGCCCGGCGGACTGAGTCCCAGAGTCGAGTCGCCGATTCCAGCGGAGGAGCTGCTGGATGTGGCCATGGTGGGATCACCGTGTGAGCTCGAAATATCGCTGGCGGCTCACCAGCCGATCACCGACGGCGCAGGAGACGGTTCTGCCGTGAACATCGCCTCTGCCACTGCTAGCTGCACTGGGAACATCGGTTATGCCACCGCTGCTGCGGTGGACATCTCTGCCGTCCATCAAAGCACTGAGCTGAGTCAGGCGGACCCGGCCATCACCGCCGTGCAGAACGCTCATCATAGCACTCCGGCCTCGGATGGGAGTCGTTTGGTCTCCGACGTAGCCCCTGACACGCTCCTTGTCAGGGGCTCCTTGTACGACACTCCTTGCGACGCGGGCTCCGCTCAAGAACGTGTCGCGCCCACTGACAGGGTCGTTACAGTACACTGTGTATCGTCCAGTGACGGGGCCATCGCTCCAAACCGTGATGCGCCCAGCGGCGATGGGAACATTACTGTGGACCGTGCCGCAGCCAGTGAGAGTAACATCGACAAGAGCTCTGACGTGCTCTGTGATGTAGACACTGCTGTGAGCGGTGACACGCTCCGTAACGCGCCCAGTGACGGGAACGTCTCAGCTGCACAACGTGACGGGCCACATCCACCAGCCGACAAACGCGTCAGGCGGGCGTCTACCGCTAGCTGCGGCTCTGTTACAGCGCGTAGCACCACTCGCCGGAACAGTGAGAGCCGTGAGCCGCCTGCTGGAGACACGGCACGGCCTTCCCGACGGAGAGCATCGAGTGCGTTTTACGCCGGCCGTGGCGAAGTTCCTAATAAAGAGACAGACATTTTGCGTCCAGTGGTACAGTCGCATTCGCGTGAACTGGCCGTGGCGGGCACTGTGCAGCCGAGCCAAAAGTGCAGTATTCCAGTTAGCGGAACCGCGGTGAAGTGCGATGTTCCGGCGACCGGCGACAGCTCGCGGGTATCTATACGGGTTGGTGACACCAGTGACCCTGTTGTGGGTACGGGGAAGGCTCCACCGCGACGTAGTCGGCGTCTGTCGGGGTTCGTGGCTCCCATCAGTGCCACTGTGCTGGGACGTTCCGGTGGGACCGGATCACAGGGTGACGGAGACGGGTCGAGCGCTGGTGACTTGGAGCGGTCGTCTGCGAGTCGTGGCTCCGAGGAGAGCCGTGCTGGGGACATAGCACGCTCAGGAGTTGTTGAGGAAGGTAGCAAGGCTGCTCCAGTGGCTGTGAAGACGAGACGACGGTTTACAGTCGTCAATGAGAGCATCAACGAACCCCCAGCTGTGAAAACAAGGCGACTTTCTCTGGCCGTCAATGAAACTCACAGTGAAGTTCCACGTGCCAGAAATAGTAGGCGGCGAAGCTCTATCGTAGTATCGGAAAGCAACGAGCTCCCAGTGGCTGTGAAAGCTAGACGACGCTCTGTGATCGCCACCGTAACCACCAGCGAGGCTCCAGCAGCCGCAAGCACCAGGCGACAATCTGCAATATTCAGTGAACGTGGCAAGGATGTCTCAGCATCTGTTGTCAAAACAGCAAGGCTTTCTTTAGCCACCACTTCAAGCGACTGCGAGTTTCCAGCTACCGTCAGCACTAGGCGACGATCTGCAATTTCCAGTGAACACTGCAAGGAAGTCCCAGCATCTGTTGTCAAGACAACACGACTTTCTTTAGCCACCACTTCAAGCGGCAGAGAGGTTCAAGCAGCCGCAAGCACAAGGCGTCGATCTGCAATTTCCAGTGAACGTGTCAAGGATGTTGCAGCGTCTGTTGTCAAGACAACTCGTCTCTCCCTAGCCACCACTTCAAGCCGCTGCGAGGTTCCAGCTACCTCCAGCACCAGACGACGATCCGCAGTGTCCAGCGAACGTGACAAGGATGTCTCATCATCTGCTGTGAAGACAAAGCGATTCTCCCTGGTCAGCACGGAGAGTAGCGTTGAGGCCCCGGCTGCTGCGAGAAGCAGGCGGCGCTCTGCTATCCCCAGCGAAGGTGGAAGTGATGTTCCAATTGCGGCGAAACCTAGGCGACTCATGGCAGATACCAATGTAAGCAGCAGTAGCGTCCCAGATCCTGCGAAAACTAGGCGACGCTCTACAGTCGACAGCGGAAGTAGTGATGACTTCCCGGCAACTGTGACGACCAGACGTTCGCTCGCCTCCGGTGAAGGTGGTAGTGGGGTCGCTGCCACGCTGAAGAGAAGGCGGCTATTCCTAGACACCACTGAAGTTGACAGTGATGTACCTGCCGACGTGAAGAGCAGGCGGCGTTCTGCAGTTGTGGGTAAAGTCAGTAGTGATGTTCCATCCGCCGCAAAGACCAGACGACGCTCTGCAGTCGCTGTCGTTTCAGCAGATATCGCGGATGCCTCTGCCGCTGTGGAGAACAGACGACGCTCTGCAATACCCAGAAAGGTTCCAACTCCTACCGAGAAGGGGCGGCGCTCTATAGTTCCTAGCGAACTCGTCAGCGATGCTCCGGCTCCTGCGAAGACCAGACGGCGCTCTGCAGTTCCGAGCGAAATCAGCAGCGATGGTCCGGTTCTTGCAAAGACTAGGAGGCCCTCTGCAGTTTCGAGCGAACTGGGCAGCAATGCTATAGTTCCTGAAAAGACTAGGAGACGTTCAGCTGTTCCGAGCGGATTGGGCAGCGATGGTCCGGCTCCCGACAAGACTAGGAGACGCTCTGCAGTTCTTAGCGAACTCGGCAGCGATGCTCCAGGTGCTGCGAAGACTAGACGGCGCTCTGCAGTTCCTAGTGAAATCAGCAGCGATGGTCCGGCTCCTGAAAAGACTAGGAGACGCTCTGCAGCTCCTAGCGAACTTGGCAATGATGGTCCGGCTCCCGAAAAGAATAGGAGACGCTCTGCAGTCCCGAGCGAAATCAGCAGCGATGTTCCGGCTCCTGTGAAGACCAGGAGACGCTCCGATGTTATTGGTATGGTCAGAAGCGATGTTGCTACAGCTGCCAAGACTAGGCGACTCTCCGATATTCCTGCTGCTATGAAGACAAGACGACGCTCTGCAGTCACCAGTGAGATCAGCAGTGAGGTTCCAGCTGCTGTGAAGTCTGGACTAAGTGCTGAGGCTGACAGTGACGAACAGGCTCCCACGCAGAAGGCAACAGTCGCCGGTGATGGCAGCGATGATGTACTTACCGCTGCCTCAGAGTCCACCAGTAAATCCAGCGAAGACGTGCCAACCGCTGCTCAGTGCCTGGATGTCAGCGAATCTCTGACCGAGTCTGACGCAAGCCCCGTGATCGGTCAGCGATGCTCTGCGCCTGATGAAGCTGACTCGTCCCGGGAGCGTCAGGTGGATGTCGCCAAGAGACGCTCGTGGTCAGGCGGTGCGGCGGCGAGCCGGGACTCGGACGGCGGCTCAAAGGATCGCCAGAGGCAGCGGCGGCGCCGCTCCATGGGTCCCGAGGAGCTGGCGGCCAGTCTGGCGCAGCGCGGCCCGGTGGCGAGACGACGGGTGCACCGCCCGCCTCCACTGCTGCCATCCGTGCCGGAGGAGTCCCTCTCGGAGTGGAGCTCACCACCGCGGGAGTCCGGAGTGTGACTCAGCGGGTGGTGCCGGCGCGTGACTCGTGTCCAGGGTTGAGAGTGATGAGATCGGGTGTGTGCACTCCACTCTTATATTTCTAGTGCCACGTCTCGTTATAAGTGTTATGTCGTTTTGTTTTGAACCGCTTAGGTTTGGTAAAGATGTATGCGATGGCAATAAACCTTTTTTAAGTCGAACTTGCCGGTGGTTGAGAGTTTCTTAGTGTTACTCTTACTTTTTAGTTTCTGCCCTCGGACCGTGTAGGTATAGTATGTGCGGTGGAAGTCGATTTTACCGAGGCCTAGACCTCGACTCGGCCTTACACTCGCGAATCCAGCGCTGCAATAGGCGGTGCAGGGGTGGAGTAACGCATTGTTGAAAAGTGTGTTGACAGTTGGCATGTGTTGACCATTTAGGTCCAGGGGAGGGGGTCAGAGGGCTGTTCACGGGCACCGCACACTGGTGCGTGCGGTGTGTGAGGTGGGTCCAGCAGGCGTGGGGGTAGGGGATGGGTAGGCGGTTCTGACGTCACGGCTGCGTACGGTGGACGGTTTCCTGTGGCGGACCGGCCACAGCGGTCGCAGTGTGCGGTGACGTGACGGAAGGCTGACGGAGGGACGCAGTGGGCGGAGCTTGGAGGCTGTGTGCGGTCCGACCGCACACAGGGCCCGTGAACAGCCCTCAGAGTCAGGGCTCGTCGTCTGGGTTGTCCAGATTAACGCGCAAGTTCCGGAGACCGGAACTCACCCCGAGGCCCCGGAAATATAACCCGTAAGCTTAAAGGGACCCTCCCACCTTAACATTAGTTTTGAGTTGAGATAGCCAAATTGGTGGCCATGGCCTGAAAATACCGGTTTAGGCATTCACAACATCGAAAAATGCTTTAATTGGGAGATATGGAATTTCAAACTTGCAGTTTTCGGATTCTAAGGGGCTAGTGCATTGGTATGCCCCCTTAGAATTTGTGACGTCAGCGGAGATCTAACGATTTTTAAATCTTTTACTAAAACGTTTGGCAGCACGCGGTGGTATATGCTGCTTTGCGCGCAACAAATGCCGCACTTTCAAATAAAGTCGCTAGGAACAGCGGAGATCCCAAAAAGTAAACAAAAGTAAAAGTCTAATATCTTGAAAACCGGTGAATATTTTTCGATGAAATTTGGTAGATATTCATTTTTGCTCTTTCTGAACCGAGCGACATCACTTTCATGCCAATTCATTAACTTTTTTGAAGGTGGGAGGGTCCCTTTAATCCTTTTTTTAATCCTTTTTTGGTCAAGGATTTTTCAAGGGGATAGACGTGTTTAAAGATGCTCCGCTATTTACCGTGTTTCATGCGGAAGGGATTCTAGTTTAGTGTTAAAATGTGTATGTAAATGTTGTTAATTTAACGTAGATTATTTATATTGTTTTGTTTTAGCACAAAAGTGAAAGCTGTGCCTGCTCTAACTCTTCAAAAATTGCATTTTTCTTACTTAAGAACATATTTTCGTATTTGTCGAGGTGGGCAGCTTGCTCTTGATTTTTAATCTGCACACTCGTGCACTCAGCAAGTCGAGGCACTTCTGCGCCTCTTGCTCTACTTTTTGAAATGGCAGCAAATGTCAAAACAGGTTGTGCTATAAGCACAATCAATCTATCTGACGACGACTCGGATGACTCCATTGGAGGATATGACATGGACAGTAAGCAATGGATCATTGCTAGAAAATCGAAGAAAAACAAGAAAAAGATCGTTGGATCCATACAGTCGCCTAGCAGCGAACCTGAGACAGTTGAATATGCTAATGGTGAAGAGATTAAAACGTGCAAAGGAGGATCTGATAAGCGTTGTGGGAAGCCGATAGAAGATGACAGTGGTGCGCTCTGTGTTACTTGCGGCTTTCTGTTCCATGCAGACTGTCAACAAATATGCGGGCCAGCTATGCAGGCACTACAAAAGTACAGTGTCCTATCCTTTGTCTGCAGCTTCTGTAAAACTGGCAAGATAACTCAGGACAAGATGAGGCAGAACTGCACCGCCATCGAAACCAAGATTGCAAACTTGGAGCAAGCTATTGAGAGCAACACGAAAGCTCTCAACAAATTATTATCAGCCCACGAGCATGAAGTCAAGCAGGCAGTCTCTGCAGAAGCGCCCACACTGCAAGCAAAAACGTATGCTGAAACAGTTCGAGGAACTTGTGACCAAGTTCTCAAGACAGTTACAGACAAGCTCAAAACCCTGACCAAGGAAGATCAGTGGAAGAGAGAAGAAAACATTATTTTGCACAACATTCCGGAAAGTAGGGCAGCTGACCCAGCGGCGAGACAGAGATACGACGAGGACAGCTTCGCAAACATAGTTCATGCTTTGCTAGGGGAATACCAAGATATCCAGACTGTCAAAGTATTTAGACTCGGCCGAAGGAATGACGCGGGTCAAGTTAGAAGAGATGGAACCCACACAGTCAACACGACAAAACCGAGACTACTTCTTGTAAAGCTGACAAGCAAAGACGACGTGGAGCGACTGATGAAATTGAGATACTTTCTCAAGAACTCAGGCTTCGCGAACATTTATATGAGTCGCGACCTCCCACCTGAGGAACGTGAAATTCAACGCAAATTAAGGGAAGAGCTGAACGTGAAAGGGAAGACCACCCACCGTATATTTCGGGGGCGTGTTGTCCCCAAAGACCAAAGAGGAGAGGAGCTCTTTGAAGAAAGACAAGGAAGACGTTAAAGGAAGACAAGAAAGGGTCTGTGACAGCTTAGATAAAGACCCTGATGGTTGCAAAAATGTTCAAAGCTCAAGATTATCTTTCAAACTCAAAGTTGCTTTCACAAATGCTGATGGGATTGGTAACAAGTTACCTGAATTACATCTGTACCTGGAATCCTTTAAGCCCGACATACTAGCAATTGTTGAGAGTAACTGCAATATTGACCTGCCAAACACACTGTTAAGGAAACATGGGTTTCAAATTCATCGCCAGGATAATTTGGAAGAAAGACGTGGTGGAATACTGGCGTTCGTAAAAGACGGGCTTGAAATGAAAACTTGTCACGAACTTGACGATTATGCAAGTCAATTCAAAGAATCTTGTTGGGTCTGGATAAAGGTGTCAAGAACCACCAGAATGCTTTTGGGTATTGTGTACAGAAAACCAAACAGCTGCCGAAGAAATGATGAAATCTTGATAGAATTGATTACCAAAGCCTCAACGTTAACAAACAACCTGTTAATATGTGGTGATTTCAACCTTCCTGAGATTTCGTGGAACGACTCGTCGTCTAAGAATAAAAACAATGAGGGTTTCAACACACCAGTTGAAGTGCTGAACGTATTGCAAACAAATGGACTACACCAGCACATCAGGCACTTTACCAGAGCAAGGGGATCAAATCAACCCAGTCTTTTGGACCTACTGATAACAAGTCGAGCAGATGACATTGAAGGCGCGGAGGTATTACCTCCCTTCGGCAAAAGCGATCACGGCGTCATACAAGCAGACCTACTTATTCCTGATGTCAGATGTTTGAAAAATAATCAGCCTCTAAAAACGGTGTGGAACTACATGAAGGGAGACTATGAAAAGGCAAGGAACATGGCTTCCCAAGTTAACTGGACTGCCATGCTGTCAAACAAAAGTAGCGATGAGCAGTATGATTTACTGGTTGAACACCTAATGCAAATCCGGAAAGAATGTGTTCCTGTGAAAACGATGTGTAGGGGCAGAGATAATAATAAAATGTGGTTTAACAATGAAGCAAAAAGGAAGATTGCAAAGAAACACCGTGCTTGGAATGCCTACATGAGGGCAGAGAGGTTAAAGCTACCAGAGTTGGAAAGGTATAGAAAGAAATACATCAAGGCAAGAAAAAAGGCTCATTATGGTCTACGTAACATCAAAACAAAGCACGAAGAAAAACTTTTTCATCAGATCAAAACTAATCCCAAGCTGTTTTATGCGTACTGTAACTCCAAAAACAAAGTTCGAGAGCCAGTAGGGCAAGTTACCAAGGCAGACGGAACCCCATCATCAACATACGAAGAAACTGCCGCTGCCCTCAACCAACACTTCAAGAATGTGTTCACGTTAGAAGATGACTCTGACTTGATTTACGCCAACGAATTCTTCTCCTCACTGTCAGACGAGCAAATGTGTCCTTTCACCCACTGTCGGCATCCAGATGTACCCGAATTACATTCAGTTGAAATGCCTCTTCAACATATCATCAAGCTACTGAAAGAGCTTAAGTCCTACAAGTCACCAGGGCCAGATGATCTTCACCCACGTCTCCTAGCTGAACTCGCAGAAAATGTAGCAGTACCTTTGAGGATCATATTCAAAAACTCGATGGACACTGGACATGTCCCTCGTCTATGGAAAATGGCATACGTCACAGCAGTCCATAAGAAGGGATCAAGAACTGAAGCCCAAAACTACCGCCCAATTAGTTTAACCTGCATATGCAGTAAAGTGATGGAAAGAATCGTCAATGAACAAATAATGAGTTATATTTTGCAGAACGACATTTTGAACCCACGCCAACACGGATTTGTTTCCGGAAGGTCGTGTTTAACAAACCTCCTCTCCACTTTGGAAGACTGCAGCCGCAGCCTTGATGAAAAGGTACCTACAGACATTGTCTATCTAGACTTTGCAAAAGCTTTTGACACCGTACCACATGCAAGACTTTGTCATAAATTATACCGATCAGGGATTGGCGGTCAGCTGCTTAACTGGCTTGAAGACTTCCTCTACGATAGGAAACAGAGAGTTGTAGTCAACGGAGCCCACTCAAGCTGGGCAAAGGTAGCAAGTGGCGTCCCACAGGGCTCAGTGATCGGTCCCACACTGTTCCTTCTGTTTATTAATGACATGCCGGATCAAATAGTTAGCCAGGTGCAAATTTTTGCTGATGATAGTAAAATCTACCGACACATCAAGTCACATGAAGATGTGGAGCGCTTACAAGGGGATCTCCAAGAGATTGAGCACTGGTCTCGTCAATGGAAACTATGCTGCAATGCTTCTAAGTGCCAGACCCTTCGAATCGGCACCAAACAAATGATGTCCGACAGACCAGTCTACATGCTCGGTGGTACTAAGCTGGAGAACACCAACGAACAAAGAGACCTGGGTGTTATTGTTGACTCCTCGCTCGAGTTCAACAAACATATCAACAAATGCACCCAACGAGCATATGCCAGTTGGGGCATGGTAAGGAGAACCTTTGAAAAGCTGAGGCCGGCAATGTTTAATCTCACATACAAAACATTTGTTCGCCCTCACATTGAATTCTGTCCCCAAGTGTGGTCTCCATATAAGAAATATAATATCAAGAAGATTGAAACAGTTCAAAGAGCAGCTACAAGAAGAGTTGTGGGACTGCAAGGGTTAAATTATCCAGAGCGGCTGAGACAGCTTAAGCTTACCACCCTAGAAGAGAGAAGAGAACGGGGAGACTTACTTGAGACCCACAAAATCCTCCATCAGCTCCACGAGTGTGACCTCACCCAATTATTTAACGTTAGAAACCGAACAGAGCGAGATTACCTCAAACTGTACAAGCCCCACCACCGGACGTTGAAGAGAGGAAGATTTTTCTCACAAAGAGTTATAAATAAATGGAATTTGTTAAGCTCTCACACCAAGATGGCAAAAACATCTAACCAATTTAAGTCAAGATACGACAAACATCGGGCAGACAGACAAGACTGACCGAAGAGAAATCAAACTGATATAGAAAAACGCGTGATTCAAAAAAGAAATGGGCTACAACATAGACCTCGACGTCTTCTTCCAGAGCCCAAACAACCTTGATTCTTGATTCTTGATTCTTTGCTCCTTTTCAGTGGCCCTATCCCGATTCCCGTCGGCTCTGATCACGATCAGAGCCTTTTTATCCATGGCCTGTTTCAATATCTTTCTTATCACACTCAAAATTGACCAACGTCTCAAATATACCCAAATAGCAACAACTTTAGAACTTACGAAATTTTATTGTTTCATTCAAAATAAATCTTCACAGTTAGATTTGGTAGCATTACAATTCTGCCGCATTTGAGACAAGCATGGCGCCAGCCAAGGGACGCCAGGGCGCCGGAGGGCATATTAGTCACGTGACATTTGGAGCTTCTCCCCCTCCAAGGGCCTTCAAGCTGCTAAATGTCACGTGTGAATTTCACGAACCTTGATCAAAACGCCCCAGGCGCCCTGTTTTCACCGTCGTCCCAAAAATGATGCAAAGCGAGACGTTTCGTCTAAGATAAACAAAAAAATATTTTTTAATGTTTTATTTGGTAATAATATAAAATATTGTGGAGTTAAGCTCGTCTGTGCAAAGGTGCCTGGTCTTTTTATTAATTTAAATTGGTGATGAAACCAGCAGTCGAAGTTTTTCATCTTGCGCTTTCTCAGCCTTTTCAAAGCCTTTTGTTTTGGCCACTTTTTGTTTTGGCTCAAAGCTCAGCTTGAGCTGTTCCGTGATGACATCAACATTGGCATGGCACAAGATTAGCCGATTTTGCAAAATGGATATGTTCCATTATTACATTTAGGCATCATGCAAAAATGTAAACATACGATTATGCGGTAGCTAAAACCATATATACTCATTTTTTGCATAAGCTGAATAGCATCAAGAAAAATACATGTAAAATTTCTCTAAATCGATTTAGACGTGTTTGTGATAGAAACGTAATGAATGAGATTGCTATTTTATGAGTGTATTATGAACCCTCTCTTTAAGTGGGCTTGAATGTGTATATTTGAAGAAAAAACAGTAATGCTAAATCATTGTTCAGACTTCAGTGGTAGCTGAAGTCAAGGCTATGCCGAAGTCATGCAATCCATTTCATTTGATGTGTGAAAAAGAAGTAGAAAAGGGGTTCATATTGAGATGGATATGGTAAAAATGGTCATTGACAGATGACAACATCATGTATTTTATTACAATTTCTATCAGATTATTCAGGCCTATGTTAACACTTTATTTTTTACAGGTGTTTATGCAATGAATCATTGCCATTGGATTGCCCTAATTTTGTCATTAGTGGCTGCAAGAGTAGCTGCTGTTAAAGTAGGTGGGTAATCATTAAAATACTGTTAACAGAACAGAACGTGCATAGAATCTCAGGGCAGTGCTGCTGTGCAATGGCAAACATGATTACGTCAGGTCAGAGATCATTATGTCAGACTCAGGCCAGAGGTCACCAGAAAGTAATCATTTTTGTCTTTGCATGGGAGAGTGGTAGCCATTTTATCCAGGCAGCTTCTCAAAGTCTTTTTACTGTTACTGTACATTACTGTACTGTACTGTACTGAACTAAGGACATGCAAGGGCTGCCAAAGGAGGCTAATTATGTCATGAAAATAGAGGTGCTGTAGAGTTGTTTGCTAAGGCACATTTCTTCCACTTTTGCATTGTTGAATGCTTTATAACAGTAACTATTTATTAAATCTAATCTCTTATTTTTCTGTTGCTGACATGCTGTCCGGAGGATGACTTTACCTAGGTACCATTAATGTCACATTCTAGCCACTGGTGGCAGTGTTATGGTGCCACAACACAGTCCCGAGCTGATCGTGCCCCCCGCTGTCAGGTATCGTCGGTGGCGGCATTGGGGGCGCTTCCACCGCTCTCTACGTCCGCCGGCTGTTTGGCGATGACGCCGACATCGAGCTGTTCGAGATGGGCCGGCTCGGCGGCCGGCTGGCGGTGGAGGAGCTCGACGGTCACCGGTCAGTGGTGGCCACCCCGTCCCGACACCGCGGCCAGGAGGGTGTTTGGTGATCCTTCACCTGTAATGACACTGGTTATGTGGATACATTCTTCTCTTCACTATGGCGTTTGTCATTGTAGATTGGAGTGGAGCTAATTGAGTGTGACTAAATCTGGTAAAGTTCGGGTTTAACCCTCGCCCATGTAGGGGGGGGTTGGTGCAACCCCCCCCCCCCTGAGGTTTTTCGGGAATAGTGCAAAAACGGCGGCGCGCAGCGCCGCCAAATTTTGGGTACCTTATGGGGCAAGCCTTGCGCATCTTTTGATAAAAAAAATTTGACCGGGTCAGGTCAGGTCACGGAGCTATGGCGTCACAAGAGGAACAGCGTCCGGTACTATTTTTGAAAAGCGCCCGAACCACTATTTTGCTAATTCTTGTCACCTCAATGGGAATATGCAGCAATATTAGCTTCTATAGGGAGCAAATGGACCTCCAAAATCCAAAAATACAATCAGATTTCAAAAATTTAAATTTTGATTTTTCGAATTTCTGCCGCCGACTGTGACCTTGCCGACTTCCGGCGCTCCCAACGCGCCATTTTTAGAGCTAGGGAAACGAAATACATACCAAACGATAGAGAATTGATCAAGGAACACGATAGTGAAGGTTTCAAGTCGATATCTCCTACCGTTTTGCCGCAATTGCCGCGGAAATTTGAAAAAAGTCTATTTTTCCGAAAATTTGACCTTTGACCGGTCAAAAGTAGGTCAAATGTTGACCTAGGACCAAAAAATATACCACCAATCGCGAGATCTCGGCGAGAGCAATCCGTTGGTCTTTTCCGCTAAGCTCTACGACGCTCCGTTTTCAAACGCCAAGGGGGGGGGGGGTCGCACCAACCCCCCCCCCCTGCATGGGCGAAGGTGGCAGATCGCCGTTTACGGGCGAGGGTTAAATAGTTCATTGCGTCTGTGGCGCTACCGCTGCGTGCTGAGACGCTCATGTCTCGATAAATTAACTGCCATTTGTCTCTTTTCTGCAGATACGAGGCGGGTGGCTCAGTTATTCATACGAAGAACAGGTGTATGATGGAGCTGATTGAATCACTTGGTGAGTACAGTACCTACCACAGTCGACTGTCATATTTTTATCCGCTTGATCGTCGTAGTACCTATTGGTCGAGTATTGCCTGCTCGAGGAGAACTAAAGACGTTTTCACTGTTAATTGTATTCGTCGGCTAGATAAAGAATGTCGGGAGCCGATGGATATAGGCCAGGTCGTCGGACGTCGTTACTTCTCATCACCAGATTGTAGCATCGAGGCTCTGCTACCTTGTCGCACGCCCTGTATCGATAATGCTGTAACCGCTACTGAATACGTCTTTCGCCGACTCGTAAGCATGCTGGCCAGTGTTCCATTTTTGGGAATTTTGGGTGGAAAATCACACCTAATGGGCAAAATATTTTCATCCCCAAAACCAGGTAAATTGGAATTCTTACATCTTTGAAAAATGCTCAACGCATGCTCAACAATTAACAGCCATATTACCAGATACACCTAGCAGCGCCATATAGACAGTTAGAACTTACAGGTTTGCTCAATAATACGCAATGTCCATGAAAAAAGATGCTAAATCAAGGCACAAACCCAACAACTCACCCTGACTGACAACGAAAGAAAATAACCTTGCACACTTCCAGCTGTTAATAACAAATATGCGTTGAATGACCTTGATCACCTCAACTGTTTGTAAAAACCAGGCTTGTGTTCTGAATAAATGCTTTTGGATATTAATAACAACTATGATTGGTGGTTTGCTGCCAACGCAAAACGGATGAGCCGCTGCTTGTGCAAATTAAACACTACCTCTGCAATTCGCTTTTGACTAAGTTACGCAGGATACGCCTACAAAATTTTCATCTTTGGACCCGCAGTCAGCTGGGCACACCCTGGCACACCCTAGGGATGAATTTAAAACTTGGTGGGCTTTAACTTGTTTCATATACAAAATAGGGTTATAAGACCGATATCAATTTATTCTACATTCATTTCTGATCCTGTTGTATCAATTTCACCACAAATTATGTCCGTCAATGGCTTCTGGAAGACTTTAAAGCTCGATGCGTCGGGCCTGGCAGAGGTCCAAGATGAGAAAAGCCACCCTGCGCACACCCTAGGGATGAATTTAAAACTCCGCGGTCTCTGGCTGGTTTCATAGGCAAAATAATGTTTTGAGACCGATACCAATTTATTCTGCGTTTATTTCTGATCCTATCGCATCAATTTCGCCACAAATTATGTCCGTCAATGGCTTCTAGAGGACTTTAAAGCTCGAGGCGTCGCGCCTGGTAGAGGTCCAAGATGAGAAAAGCCACCCTGGGCACACCCTAGGGATGAATCTAAAACTCCGCGGGCTCTGGCTGGTTTCATAGGCAAAATAATGTTTTGAGACCGATGCTTATTTATTCTGCGTTCTTTTCTGATCATATTATATCAATTTCACCACAAATTATTAACGTTATTAGTTTTTAGATGTCTTTAAAACTCGAGGCGTCGGGTCGGGCAGGGGTTCAAGATGACTGACACGCCACCCTGTCACACCCTAGGGATGAATATGAAACTATGTGGCCTCTGTCAGGTTTCATACGCGAAATGAGGTTATAGGACCGGTAATGATGTATTTTACGTTAATTTCTCATGCTTTTGCAATAATCTTACCGCCAATTATTCATTTCAATTAGTTTCTAGAGGTTTTTAAACACGAAGCGTTCGGCCGAGGGAAAGCCAAGATGAGTGAAAGGATACCTTGGCACACCTCTAGGGATAAATTTAAGATACGGTATTCCCAGATCTGCCCAATACATGTTCTGAAGCTGGTAAATTGGATTAAGAAGGCCCTAGCTTTTTAATAAATTATCCTTCGCCCGTATGGGGGGGGGGGGGGTCGAACGAACCACCCCTCGTTTTTTTTTTCGAGAACAACTCGCGAAAAAGCGGCCGATCGCGCCGAAACTTTCAGGACCCTCGAGTCAATTAATTGGACACCTTCTCTGAAAATCTCATATTCCTGACCCAAATGACCTTTGACCTGTGACCTATTTCTTGAGGCCATGTTTGGCCGGAATCGCGATTCGGCGTATGTCGGCTCGCATTATGTCCTGATGTCCTGATCAGCGATGCCCTCCGTTCCGTTGCAGTTGCTCTGATCAGTGATCACTGATGCCCTCCGTTCTGTTGCGGGTGCTCTGATCACTGATCACTGATCAGTGACGCTCTCTCACTCAGCACTTACCACGTGACATGATACGTAGCTACCGCTCCGTTTCTGTGGCCGGCCATGAGGTCGGTGGCATCCTTTTATCATTTTTTTGCGTCCCGTTCCGTTCCGATACGGATGCCCTGGTTAGTTCCACACTTTTTATTGCGATGTTGCGCATTATGCTGCGCAGTGCACATCGTTCCGTTTGGGGTGCCCTAATCAGTGACCCTTTTTCTAGTCTCATGTAGTGCACCGTTCCTTTCGAAGAGTTGCGCTGACACCGTTTCCATTTTCACTATGCGTAATGAGTACCGACTATCGCTAGCCGTTCCGGCGTTCGGGCCGACAGGTGCAAAAAGAAAATTGAAATTTGACCATGACCTTGTACCGGTTTTTCTGACCTGGTGACCTGACCCAAGGTCACCCGGACCTGAAATTTTCAGGTCATATGTAAAAGGTTGCCCCATAGGCTGTGCCAAATTTGGCGGCGCGCAGCGCCGCCGTTTTTACGCTATCTTCGAAAAACCTTAGGGGGGGTCGCATCGACCCCCCCCCCCTGCCAGGGCGAGGGTTAAAGACCTAGTTCGCTCGCATGATGGAGGATGGAGGTCTGCGGATGATCTTCTTTTGGAGAAATATAGAGGCAGAAGGACCGTCCTGGATCCGTGCCAGTAAGCATGAGTATTGAGTAGGAACTTAGCAGATGCTGACGGTAATATCTGCTGTCTGCATCTGAAACGGAAAGGAAGGCATTGATTTAAGGCTAGGAGAAGGATGGCCACTGGACTGTCATTCAATTGTGACAATGTATTTTGACTTGTGAGGAAAATGAAATCTCACTGGTTGAAGTAGGTATTCATTCTTTGCTGTATAAGAGACAAGGGTGATTCTTAATTTCATTAGTCTCAATCAAACACAAATGTTGGGATAAAATGGGACGGATTTAGAAACACTTGGCGATCAGATGTTAAAGTTATAATTCTGCCGTAGATCCTCCTCACCTATTTGCATCGTCTTTTTCGGTTAGTTTTGGTGGTCAGGAATGGTATGTTCTTTTATTATCAGCCAGCGTAGCGTTACGCCTATATTGCGAAAGTGATATAGGTTTTCACTTGTTTTTTTCTCATCCTAGATTTTTTGGTCATCATCGTCACACCCAACCAAAATCCAATTTTAGAACACTGATGCTGGCGAAACCACTCATGATCTCTCTCTCTCTCTCTCTCTCTCTCTCTCTCTCTCTCTCTCTCTCTCTCTCTCTCTCTCTCTCTCTCTCTCTCTCTCTCTCTCTCTCTCTCTCTCTCTCTCTCTCTCCCTCCCTCCCTCCCTCTCCCTCTCCCTCTCCCCTCCCCCACCTCACACTCCCTCCTCGCCCCGTCAGGCCTCCAAACCAAGCCGGCCATGGGCGGTACGTTCGGTCTATGGAATGGCCGGGAGCTGGTGTTTACCAGCTCGACCTGGTCCGCCATCACCTCAGCTAAACTGCTCTGGAGATACGGGTCGGATGTGTTTCGGCTGCGACGGCTACTATCGGCCACGCTGGCAAAGTTTGACGGGTAAGTGGGAGGGTCATTGCTGCAGTGGTTAGTCTTATGTGAACTGTTCGCATTGATACACGAACATCGTAAGAGAGATCAGCATGCAGTATATCTACCTACTCACGCTTTTTGTCAACCGATGAGTGTCCCCGGTCGGTAAGAGCTGATAACCCTACTCTGCTGTCACCAGAATATACAGCCTACTGGACTCCGGCGCCGCATACGACACTGTGGAGGATCTTATCATGGCCATGGACCCGAGCCTAGTCAAACTCACCGGCCTGCCGCTCTCACAGTACCTAAAGTAAGCGAGCTTCGGCCTTCGATTGACTGCTGGTGGCTTTGCCGCTTCACGTCGGCAGAGACATCAGTAGCTAGTTGTGTGTTGTGCGTAGGCCTATTCCGTTTCAGTGGTTACGCTTGTGTACCTATAGTTGAACAATATTTATTGATCAAATCCTTCTGAATGATGATGGATTTGTCCTCGTTTTGCATCAATGATAGTTTGGATTCCGTCTCCCCCACCTAGTACGAACTAGTTTTTCCGTCATAGCCTCCCAACATTCACCGTATAATTCTCCGCTTTCCCTGTCTACCACCCACCCGCACCGTTAACTGCAGTGTCAAGTCCCACCCGTTAACTCGCTGCAGTGGTGTGCCGCCGGGGCTGCCCAGTGTTGACCTCCCCGCCCCCCTCCGTCCGCAGACTGAGCGGGTTCCAGGAGGGGTTCATCTCAGAACTCGTGACTGCTGTCACACTCAACAACTACGGGCAGCGGCCCGACCGGCTGCACGCCCTCGTAGGTACGAAACGGAGCGCATCTAACGGCTGTGGTGGATCTTACGTAGGGCGTGTACACAGGCCAAGGACGAATGCTTTACCGTTTCAACCTTGTACAGGGTGATTTTTTTTACTTAATAAAAAGGTAATGAGGTCTAGTGGCGTTAAAATGCAAATATATATTGCAAAATTATATACCAGGATGACGATCAGCATTCTGGGACATTTTGATTTCATGCAGACACGATGTGAAGGAACGTCCATCGTGTATTTTACTTGTGCTTGAAGTTACCCCTCTCTCACCGACACGAATCAGCCCGCCTGAGCACGTGTTGAACAGCACCATGGACTCCCATACTCATTAGGCGGACTGAAAAGGCTCCTATCGCCCATTTTCAGCTCTGCCAGATATTTCCACTGTTTTCTCATTATATCTGCCATAGATGGGTCCAGAAACTAGAAGTCTAGGGAGGGCAGGTCGAGGATTTTGATACTGACGGCCCTGGTCGTGTCTGATTCGCTGTTTTTCTTTCTCTCTGAAGACTGATTCTTCAGAGTCTGCACTTACGCCAGATAGACCGTTTGAAGGTTATTTATGACTACAAACTTGTTCGTGCGTTATTTAACGTCTTTCTGAGGTATCTCCTTGATCATCGTATGCTTCAAACTGCCCCAATGCTTCAAAATCATCGTTTTGTGTCGTTCCTTACTGAACGGCAGTGGACCATGCGTGCCCGATTGGTGGGACATTTTCAGGCTCCATTGGGGCCGAGGCCGTCGGTGAAAAGGGACAAATGATGACACCATACAAAATGTCCCAGATTTATCTATCACGTGCATTGCTTTTTTGCACGCGATTTTTCGATTTAGGGACCATCATTGACGTTTACTTTTTAACAGTTAAAAAAAATCACCCTGTAGACTGGAATGTTGCTTAAATTGCTGAGAAATATCGGGTACCAAAGCCAATCCATCTACACATCTAATATCAATATTAATGCCAATTTGTTTGTCTATTCATGTTCCAAACAAGAATAAGTGAGGATTATCAAGAAATACCTTTGTTAATTCACGAAATTTTACTCCCCTCCCTCATGTGCCCACGACGTATGTATGTACTATGCACCGTTTTCCAGTCGGCACGTCTTGTCCCCCGCGTCTGACCCCCCCCCCTTGTCAGGTCTGGTGGGCCTGGCTGGCGCTGGAGATGAGCTGACCTCGGTTCTGGGCGGAAACTACCAGGTGGTGGAGCGGGCGGTACAACAGTCGGGTGCCAGCCTGCGCAGCGAGCGGGTCCTGACGGTGGAATTCATAGGTGGGTCTCTAGACAAAAACCTCCGCGTTGTTGAGCATGCAAGCTGGTTTATCCTTTCATCTGTGCAGTGTGGTTTACACTTTACAGTGAGGTCGTGTCTTTGCACGGAAGGCCGAGTCCTGATAACTAGTCGAGTTCAAAGGCGGTTTTGTGGTTTTGACCGTCCCTGCTGACCTCAGCCCAGCGTCCGTTGTGTTATTCACTCGTCGGTGTTTGTGGCTTGGTGACTGCAGTGGCGCGGTCCTATGTCTATTTTCTGCGATATTTATGTCAATCCTAACCAAGTCACCGCCTCCGTGTTTGTCATTTCTGACCACCCCTCCCCGCCAGGCGAGTCGTTTCTGGTGACCACCGGCTGGGCAGCTGAGTCGGACAGCCGTCAGACCCGGTCGTTCGACATTGTGGTCGTGGCGGCGCCCCAGACCGAAGACCAGCCGAGCCGGGTGGAGTGGCTCGGCCTGCCGGCGCCGCTCCAGTTCCCCGGCACCTACCACCAGCTGAGCGTCACGTTTGTGGAGGCGAAGGTGAGGACTACGGCGGCGCAGACCCGGCAGACGAGACTGTCGGTGTGTTGTGTTTTCAAAGACCGTTCGTCAGTGTGTTGTTTATGTAATGTATAATATCAGATATTTTCAATGTACGCTCGTTCGAATGATGTAGCTTATTTCTCTGTGTCATTTGTCGGACTGCCCTCGTGCCTTTTCGTCTCGGCTTGTGTCTGTTTAAGTTTTGCTAATATTTTGCGTCTATTTATTTGTTTTTCTGCGATTGCTAATCTGTTGATGTCTGCTTTTATGACTGTGCATATGTCTATATTTCTGATGTTCTCCCCGTCCGCCCAACCGACGCGTCGCCATTTTTTTTTTTTTTTTACAGCTACGCGGTGATCCCTTCTCTACATCCACCGTACCCGACGACATCTTCTGCACTGCCGGCTGTTCGGACGAGCTCAACTCGATAGGCTCTCAGACGCCTGTGAATGAGACTTCCAAAGACGTCCTCGGCGACCTCAGCGTACACAAGGTATTCTCCAACTCTGCTCTTGGGAAGGAGCTGCTACAGAGACTCTTTGTGGACCCTCAGAGACAGGAGGAGGTCTCCTGGAGGGCCTATCCGCAGTACAACCCCCGCCTGGGGCCGGCCGGGCTGGGGAATTTCACCATCATCAACAATCTGTACTATCTGAGCAGTGTGGAGCAGGCTGCATCAGCTATGGAGATGTCGGCTCTGGCGGCCCGTAACGTGGCCAACATGGCCTATACGAGGTGGTACAACCGCTCACCACCCGATCTAAGGAAGATCAAACACACGGAGCTGTGAGAATGGGTGAGAGAGGCCGGTCCGGCGAGTGAGAGTGGCTGCTGTCCGACGTGGGAAGTGTGAGAGGGGGTGAGAAAATCGTCCCGGCGGCACGGAACTGTGAAAGCAGCTGGTGAGAAGGATCGGCCCAAGCGACCGAGAGCTGTGAGAGTGACCCGTTCCGGCGGCACGGAGGAGTGAGAACGGCAGGTGAGAATGACCGGCCCGGCGGCACTGAGATGTTAGAATCATTGGCTGATCGACCAGCAGTATGCATGTTTGCTTACTTGTGTGTGCCGGGAATTTGGTATATTGCACTTGGAACGTATACTAGTCGCGACGTTCATTGAAAAGCGCGATGCCTTCACTTTTGATGACCACAGTAAGTCCTCATGATAAATGGAGGTAGTTTTGTAGGTTTTACTTGGATAAGTAAAGCCGAGGCTGTTGGGATTTTGGCGGTATTAAAATGTGATAATGTTACGTGCCCCAGGCATTGTGATTGTGGACTTTGACGTTCTTACATCACCGGATCATGGATGAGACAATAGGCCGGATGTTACGTAACTGAACTATCATGTCTTGAAATTTGGAAAATACTGCACGATAATTGCAGAGTGACGGCATTCCAAGTAATCAGTGCTTCTGGAGCGTGGAACTATGTCCTTAACATCAGCTGATCGTTCATCATCATTAGATTGTCATCTTCATTAGGGATTTTCACATTCTTAACGTTAACGATAATGGTATGATAATGCTCTTATGATAATGAAACACTCGAGGGCCTTGTTGAACAAGGCAAAGGAAGTGTTTGGATCATATTTAGGGTCGAGGTTTGGGTCATTGTTAACTGCATTCAGTGGAGTTAATTGTTTGATTTTGGGCTGTCCTTCGCTTTGAAACCATGCGAGCACATACTGGACGGCCTGAGTTGAATGCTCTGTTCTGCATTTCTTCAGCATTGTACTCATTTACGTTGGTGAGGGAGTGCGGTCAAATTACGTTACGTGCGGTTGCTAGAAACGTTCAGTTCTATCAGTGACGCCATTTAAAACAAAATGAAGAATTGAAGACCCCACAAAGTTGTGACTTTCATAACTGATGCTGCACGGACGTGCATCCATTCCTCGCCCCCGAAAGTGTGATTATCCCTACTTATAAAGTATATAATAATTAGGAAGGTTTCGTCCCCGCGTACTTGCCACAACACTGCTCAGGTTAATCGGAAGAACGTGTCTTATTTTTCGGCCTTTGTGAAGGGTAACGTGTTATGCAACATATATTACGCTTTGACAAATAAAGGCGAAATATTATGCTGTCTTTCAAACGCGTGGTGTCAATTTTGAAGAACTGAGGGTCAGTGATGAAGGTAAACCTTATTGCAAATTTGCAATACCTGCTGAATTACTGTGAAAATGAGAAAGGCTCGAGCGAACTGATATGATTGTATTGTTCAATATCTTATTTATTCAAAATGTAAAAATGAGGAAACACATGCAACACATTCCAATCATAGCTCTACGGAAGGCCTAAATATCGGTGTCTTTGCCTATGCTTACATTACATTCTGGGTTTGAGTGATCCACAACTACCGGTAACCTTAGTAAAGCCCTGTTTGAACCTGACTTTGTCCTTCACTTCGTTGAGTCCTACTCTTATTTCGGGAATCGGCGCCTGGTTAACTGGCGGTAGCCGGCAGTGCTTGACTATCCGGTCCGTCAACCTGGCTGAGAATCGTTCAAAGTTAATGCATCAGCCTGAGGACTAATTCATACAAAACATAACTCACAATCCTAAGGTCGATAGTCCGCCCCACGCCCGGCTGAATTCCGCCTTGCTTGGAGCTACTCTTCCTGGCCGCCGCAGCCCCCATCCCTACGAACGGAGCTATCCATCCCACCTGCTTACATCCCAGCCCAGTCCAGTACGCAGAGCTCAACGAAACGCTCCGCCGCTCAAACCTCTACATCCCACCCACCGCCGCAGCCCCTCCTCCCTCCGGATCTAGTCCGGCTCGTCCGGCTCCACTGCCGTGTCGGCGGGGTCCGCCTCCGGCTCCGGCTCCGGACCGGGCTCCGGTATAACCTCCGGAACGGCTGGAGGAGGGGACGGAGACCCGGGCGACTCGTCAGACGCCCAGCTGGAGTCGCTGCTGTACTCTGTCGGCTGACGGACGGCCGTTGACTGGCGACGTGACAGGCCTGTTCGGACAGAAAGACCAGACAATCGTCAGATGCCGTCCCGGCCGCCCTCTCACTTCTCGTTGATTGAAGACGGGGCAGATTTAACGACCGTCAGACGCCGCTACTGGACTCTGGGGATAAATTTGTGGTCGTTCTTTTAATCCCCCTCCTTCGCACTCATTTCTTTACGTCCTTTCGTCACTCTGGCTCTGTTTTATTAGAATCATGTCATGCCCCAGTCAAAACCGCTTGATGAACTATGGTAGGTAGACTGTACCGCTGGACACACGAGCATTGCGGGTCAGTATACCACCACAGTGAACTGCGGCGGGGACCCTCTCCCGATGCTTGCTAAAGCTGACTACACGGGATGCATAGCGGGAGACTGGAGAGTGGCATCCCTCAGACGAGAACTGACGCCCTCATACGATCAAAATGGTGGTGACACGAAAAGCCAGACCAAACGGACCGGCCGGCCTGGCCTGACGGTCTGGTCCCAGACGGACCAGACGTTCAGTCCTCAGACAATGCGTCAGCGTGCCACCTCTTTGACATTATACTGACACCCCTATAACACTCCTAACGCCCATGTGACACTCCTGACACCACTGTGACACACCTGTACCCCTTTATGATACCCCTGTTACATTCAGAAACATACAAATACGTTTCCACCTACCGTGCGTCCCATTGCTCCGTCCCTGCGTCGGCCGCGGCACGGGCACCACCACCTCCCCCTGCTGTGACTCTCCTGTGGGCTGGTCGGTCCGCAGCGGACGCGCCAGGCGCTGGGCGGGGGCCAGGGGTGCCTGTAGCAGCCGAGAGGCAGCAGGAGCGAGCGATAGCCCAACGGTAGAGCGGCGGACCGGCGCCGGAGCGGCTGGGGGAGGAGAGGGTGGTGAGAAGTCAATCAGACACTCTTTACTAGCAAACATGTTACGACGCTCAAACAGAAAACAAAGGCGATCGGTTGTTGTCTCGTCAATGCTAAGAAAGAAACGATCGAATATCTATTGTTTCGGAGAGAGCAGTCCATACAGAAACGACACCACAAGATTCGATTCGAAGTTCCTACGAATTTCGATTCGATTCGAAGTTCCTACGAATTATCGATAGTCTGTTGTAAGTTTTCTAACGTTATAGCGATCGAAAAAGACTGGTACAATGTGTACCACTTAGCTAAACAAAGTGCATGGCTGTAGGCTGCGTGAATGAAGCCCGGTTCCTCAAATGGCTCACCTGTAATCCACGAGCGTCGAGCGTGCATTCATCCTTCACGGTCGGGCTCGAAGCTGTGCGGGTCCAAAGGAGCTCTGCTGGATTGGGTCTACTGCATTAAACTTTGCAAATCGTTCTTCTGAACAGTCGTGCATTCGAGTGAAGTGAAACACATCCGGAGGTGAAAGGAACAAAAGTTGTATTGAATGACAAAAGCATGCAACAATCAACGAGGTCGGTCCAATCCCGACAATTTACCGTGCATAATTGGTGATCAATATACATGCGGAATGTCGGCAAATAAGTAACATAACTGCACAACAAACATAGAAATAATGCGAGTGCGACACAAATATGACCGGCTCTGTTTAACATCATCGATTGCTGCACGATAATAGAGAACATCACATAAGTTTGTGTGGCGCAAGACATTTTTTGCTCACGTTATGAAGCACGGTTTTAGGCAAAATGAAAGACTCGGTGTCATTACAATCATCCGCTATCCCTTGAATTTCAGCCCATCGTTTCTATTAGGTGTTTGCTATTTTTGTAAATGGCAATGCGTGAGTCCACAGTTCATCTTTCTGGGGCTATGAGAGCGGCAACTGGTCTGAACTGAACCCAGTGTTCCTCTCAGCCGTTCAATCGTAGGCTGCCCCTCTCAACTGCATCTCACCCTGCTCGGCTGAGCCCGCTGTTCCCCAGCCAGTAGCCGCTCTACCTACCCATTTACGACTCGGTCTGTTCCGTGCTCTGATCCTCGGTAGCTCCCGTCTCCTCACTGGTCGGATCCAACAGATCATCCACCGCCTCCTCCAGACTATCCACCACCCGAGCGATCTGCTCTGCCACGGACAGCGCCCGGCCCAGCGCCGCCGGGTCATCCACGGCCGTCACCAGGCTCGAGCTGCCGGCCGTCTCCGTCTCCGTGGCGTCAGTCGGAGAGGTGGTCTCCGTCTCCGACTCCGGAGCAGGAGCTCCAGTGGAGGACGCCTTGGTGGCGGCAGTGGAGGAGACGTCCGCGGTGGCGGCGGAGGTGGAGGATTTCTTGGCGATGGTGGAGGATCGTTTGCCGGTGGTGGAGCTGACTTTGGTGGCCGACTGGCGACTGGCGGAGCCGGGGACGGCGGTCCCGCTGACGGCGTCTACAGGACGGCGGGGAGAGGATAGTGAAAGGGACGGGAATCAACCGGGCAACATGCAGGAGGAAATGAGGATATACACTGCCCTATAGTATCCTGAAGCCGATGTTTATTTTACGGAATAAAAACGTTCTATTCTGTGTGAAATTTTGAAGAAAAAAAAACTTCCTTCCATATCAAGCATTAAAGGGTCGCTTTAGATCAATGACATGCGCTCATAAGCATACTGTGCGCTTAACAAAGTAACATGAGCTACAAAAAGCTCAGAAAACGTGCAAGAATTGCCACTGTGCCGTGAAGTGCTCCAACAAGCAGCTTTGCATCCGGCAGTGACTTGAAGCCGAGAACCATGATGGCTGGCCGAACTCACCTGGAGGCTGGTCGGCGTCGTCTGCGGCGGCCAGATCGGGAGCCTGGAACTCTGCCCCGTCCAGATCTGCGACCACTCCCTTCTCGGCCATCTGAGACATCTGAACGTCCCGACGAGCCGACTTCACCTGCAGGAAACGGATGGCGAGTCAGTTACACGGAGTATACAGAATCGCTGAACCTACAAGCATTATGGGAGGAGAATCAGTAATGTATTACACAATGGCTCATCTACTGACACCAGAAAAGGGAAGACAGCGGGCTATCCACCCACAATTTCGTCCATCTAAGTATGCATAATGGAAACAGCTCTAACCTGGCAGACGGTTTCGTATATAAAGGCAGCAGTGCTCTGACCTGACGTCAGACTCTACATCATATGCGCCCACCTGGCAGACGGTATCGAAGAAGGTGGACTGGGCGTCCTCGATGAGCTCCACCTCCGTCTGTTCCTTCTCCAGTCGGGCGCTGGCCGTCAGACCCGGAGAGATGGTCGACGAACGCTCCGATACTGAACGACAGAACAGAGAATCGTAAAACGACTGAACTTTCCGACACTGGACGGCACAGGGGCGGAGACCGACACATAACGACCGCGAACCGACACTAAACGGTCGAAAAAGAGAATTTCGCAAATTACTGGCCACCGACCTGCCGAGTTGCCCTCCTTCATCTTCTTGAGCAGGCGTGCCTCCCTGTTCTTTCCCTCGAGTATCTTCTCACGGCGTGTCTCCCGCTCAAACATCTACCAACCAGCCAGTCGCGTCAGGACACTGATGAAATTCACATCCCACAAGTGGATACACAAGGTTTTACTCATCAATCTATATGATGTTATCATGCTATACCTCGACCAAGAAACAGCGTGGAAGTTTACTAATAGCTGAACGTTACATATGGAGCCCACCGCGTGCAGTACGTACCGCAGTGAGCACCAGCCGGTCGTTTTTGCCCGAATTGACCAGCGTGTCTGACAGCTCCAGTAGGGTGATCTGTCCGTCAGCGCTGCCGGCAGCCAGCAGGGCGCCCGCCTCCTGGACACGCAGCGTCTCCAGCGGACTGTCACCCACCTGAAACGGCGCGACAGCTATAGATATACCCTCATCAGCGCACGGAATTACGTTGAAAAAGGCAGCACGGCTATAACAACTAGCCTGTGACGTGACGAGAGGCTGTGTTCTATGCCTGGCTTCGGCCTGTTAATTGCGAGTGCGGGCACTGCTGTAGCATGACCGTACCATAGTCTGCGCCATCTACTGGCCTGTAACGACGAGGCTGTGTTATCTACGAACCTGTATGGTGAGCACGGGCAGCCGCTGCTGGTACAGCACGTCCCACACATCCACCGTTCCGTCCGCCTTGCTGGTGAAGAACACCGACGGCCGACTGGGACTCCACGAGCCGCCCGTCAGACGCACCTCACCCGGACTAAAACGGAATACAGAGAAAACGGCACAGTCAGAATCCAGAAACCGCCCGTCAGTCGCACCTAGCCGGGAATGGAACATGATACAGAGTACATAGTGCAATCAGACTGCAGACCGGACTCAGCCGGATACTGGCCGCAACAGAGAGCACATGGTAACAGTCATACCTTTCAGCACAGTGTCCCCATATATTTCTAAAATAATGACATGATCGAAATACACGATACAACAACACGAGCTTCCAGCTCGACTCACGGACGTCAGCGAGTTAGAGAGAAGAGCCATCACCCGACCCGATACCGTTACCCACTTGGTCCAGAAGATGGCACTCTCCTTGCAGTCCTCTGACCACACTTTGGCAGACCAGTCGCCGATCGTGATGAAGTTCTTCAGGAACGCCGGGTTACGCTGCACCTGTGTGCACCAACAAACGAAATAAATGTGCGATAAAACAGAAAAAAGCAATGGCAAAGTCACGACATATTCCAAAACGCTAACATACGTATATCCATTCATGAAACCCGAAACAAGTGCACCTTTCGGCACATCAAAAGTTCAACATCAGACGGCAATGCTATAGAATATTGTGACGGCGTTAAGTTCATGAGCAACGCAGTGCATTAGAACGGTGAAAGAATTCTGGAAGTCATACACACTTCTATGCAAGAAACGACAGACATGCGAGCATGCAACAGGTGGATTTTTTCGTCTGTAATTGATCCCAGTTCATACGTCCTAGCCAAACGTCTTCTATGCGACCCCGGCTGTACCCACCTGTTGAACGGGTCCCAGATGCGCCTGATACACGGCAGCGATCTTTTCCGTCTGCGTCTTGCCCTTGCGGTTACACTGGATGACGGTTCCCTGCTCAGTGCCGATCATGAACTTGGTTGGGATCGTGGTCTCATACTCGAGCACTGTAGCGCCCTGAGCGGCCCGCAGTGACGGCTCTTGGGTCTTGTTGACGTCTAGGATCAGAGACTCGATGGGTTCGCTCAGCTTTCTGGTGTCCCACCAGAGCACCTGTTGGTGTCAACGGAGAGTCAGGGGACGGCCTCGGTTCATTGAAAGAAGGCGGGACGGCATGAGCGGCAATTCTATGGCATTCAATGGCTGCTCAATTACAGATCAGTAAACGATGTGCCATGGATATGTTAGGAAGTTCAACTACAAAAAAGCATCGACATAAATGAAGGAGCTACATATGCAAAGAAACATGGTAACAGTCAGATCATGAGTCACACTTTTCAGACCCGTCCGTCATGTGCGGCGTCTACGCTCGCAGTTCGCCCGTCCCGCCGCCATTCTCACCATGCCATCCGTGGAGGCGGTGAATATCTCGGCTCCCGACTTGGAGTTGACCCAGACGGTGCTGTAGACGGGGTCGGCGTGTCCCGTCTCCAGCGGACTGAGGTCGACCGGCAGCGCGCCGCGCCGCCGGTCAAACACGCACACCCGGCCGCGGTACGTGCCGCCGGCCAGCACAAACGACTCCTTCGGGTTGAACTCGAGCGAGACCAGGCTGTCGGGAGGCGTGAGCGTGTAGTCCGGACGGCTCGGGTTCTCTGTGGGAGGCACGCAGACGGGTAATGCGATTAGACATATCCGTAAGTGAAGGGCATTTCACGACGACTACACAAAAATAAACGGTGGTGAAGTTTTGAGCATACCCAAGAGTCGTTACGGAAGGGAGTTTCGGTTTTCAAATGAGACACACCTGAACTTAAAAGCTAGGCAGACTGAGCTAGATTTACACACGGGCCGAGCTGGAATGGAAGCCTACTCAATTAGACATTAGACAGCCACGAGGAAGACTTGAAGAGCAACCCTTTCCCAGCCTCTCCACTCTACCGTCTCCTTCCAACTCACCCACGTCCCAGACAAACGACTGCACGGGCAGGTCTCTGGCGCTGGACTGGAACCGGAGGCTGGTGTAGGCGGCGGCCAGCCGGGTGGCGTCCGGACTCCAGCTGAGACTGGACACCTGCAATTGGACACGCACAGACACGGCCGTATAAGTGCTGAGCTATGCTTCAGGAAAACACTACGGCAACTCGGCGTGTCTGCTTTTTTAATAACCGTGTACAATGTTACAGATGTTGAATTTATAACATTTAAATACCATCACTCACATATAACGCGCAGTTTTTGTTTTAAATATAACGTGCATAATGGTTCAGCTTCTAAACACAATATTTTAATGTTGGGTTACGAGTATACAATAAGGTTCATAGAGGCAGAGCCGTAAATATTGACTCGGTAGAAAATAGCATCGAGTATCAAAGCGTCCCGAGATTCTTGTAAGGAGAGTGATCGCCATAATGCTATCACAATACCGTAAATCGTTCCTTGTTGAGGGAGTTACGTTACGTTCCGCTTCACATGACTCCGCCCAGTGCAGTGGCGACCACGCTTGAGTACTACGTACCGCCCGCCGCTGAGGGCACGGGTCCCTGAACACGTTGACAGTCTTGGCACCGGTAGCTCCCTCGCCAGCCGGCCCTCCGTCCTGCTGGCCGCCAAAGTACTCCTCGTACATATCCAGTGTGTTGTTCTGCTTGATACAGTGCTCCATCAACTGCAAAAAAGAGACGGCAGCATCATCAGAGGCGAAAACCAAATAAGCGGCAAGCATCTCTCAAGAGGCACCTCAGGTAGTCAAGACATCACTGTCCACAGACTCTTGACGATCGAGACTCAACAGTCTACACCCTTCGCCAACCGCTCTCGTTCACTCACCGCTCCGAGCTGAAGCACCGACGACATGTACATGTCGTCCTTTTCCACCTTCTTCTTGAAGCGGGTGGTCTGCTCGACGTCCTGCGGGTTGATGTCGCGCGCCCAGCCGCCCTCGGCGTGATTGATGCCTGTCGTGGCGAACTCGGCACGGTCCGTGCTCACCTGAACGGGAACGGTGAGTTAGTTTGGAACTCTGGAGGCTCAGTTCTGCGATCGGCGCAGAAACGGTAACGGTAAACGGTTAGTCCGGTAAAAATAAAATGTGCCTCTTACCGGTAAGCCGATTTGACATCCAAAGAGGCATAACACGTCATATATTCATTACTCGTAAGTGGAATTGAAACCACAGCATTACATAACTCCACTGCACTGTAACAACAACAAAAAAAATATCGCTAACGTCTCGTAAGTCGTAAGGTCCTAAATTTCTATGAATACATTTTTATATAAACGCAAACCGCAATAGGCACACACGCACACCCACACACACGGCGCGATTGTGTAACTCAAGATTACTTTACGCGTAACTTACCTCGTGTTCGGACATCTCACATCCGACCTGCGTGCCGCGGTGCACGGGATTCACGTGGATGAACTGGGCTGCCAGCTCCGGGTCGGGTGGAATGTCACAGCTCAGAGCGCCTGTCGACATGGAGGAGATCGTGCCGTTAGCGAACTGTAGAGAGTTATCCATGAAGACCAGAGACGGCTCATAGCTGATCACTAGGGGTGTTTACGATGAATGACTTTATCATGACATGCATTGATGATACCGACATAATCATCGTTATTAGTACTATCGTCATATGGTTCTAACATTACGATTGAACGGTATACGAAGACCGACAGGTCTCAGTAAAACTTCTTACGTATCCGTACCTGGTTCACTGGTGAAGAAGCATTGCCGCCCGAACTCGGACCGCTTCTTGATATAAACGTACTGGAACTCCATCTTCGGTTTATGTTAGTACTTTCGATAATTAAACTGCTTCTGCTAATAAAGAGAACTTAACTTCATGGCTGAGTCCTGGAAACGTACAAAAGTATCGTCAGTTGAAATAGTGACACCTTTGGTTAGGTAGCGCACTGCGTAGTGAAATAAAATCACCGTTTATCGCTGTCCTGTAGGCATGAGCGCTTTACCCACGCCTACCGCACATTCCCACTATTCAGTGCTTTCATATGACATATCTACGCTCCAGTCATGTTCATTGAAGCTTATCGTAGATAGTAGGTACCGAAAGCGCACATGTAAGATCGACATCAATGGCGATCCAGGAACCCTTTATGCGGGACCAATGGAGTTTTCCATAGCCATTTAGTTAGTGTTGACTCCGATGACTGACAGCTGGGGGTCGGCAGGTTCACATGCAGACGCAGTGGATTCCCTCGCGCTACGGCGTTGAAAGCAACGAGAGAGAGAGCCGACACCACATTGCTAGCGATGCGGGCGCCCCCCGACCAGACTCAAGTCCCATTGGACGTCCAAACGGCTCACGGCCACAGAGCCGCAGCCAATGGCGCGGGTCCAGGCCTGGCCGACCGGATGGTACCGACGGACAGCTGACGGGAGGACGCCACGCCCTCCACAAGTCACCGGCGTCCGGCGGAGACCGATCGCCAGCGTTCAGGACGTCCACCAACTTCGAGCCGGCCACCGGACCGGCTCCGCCCAGTGGCACCACTTAGGGTCGGGCTGGCACCCTTCCCGTCGGCGGGGTGCGAGCAGTCCGGTGACCGGCACGGCGTCGTAAGAGCTGCACTACCACGTTCGCAAACCGTTTAACCTTCCCGAGTCCCGACCCTGCCAAGTTATGGCCTGGGGAAGGAGGTGCAGAGGAGCGACATCGTTGTAGCACTCAAGTAGCACTGAGGCCGAGGGTCGCCCACAGGATCATCCAGAGCTGTACGGCTGTCGGCTACGCATCGACAGTAAGGCGAAGGGAAAACAACAGCGGCGGCAGCGACGAAATGACAACAACAAACAGCCATCTCACTTACAGTGCAGTTTTCACTTACCGTTTGGTGATTTTGAAACTACGCAGGGAAGGGATGACTGATAAGTTGTAAGTTACAATGAGCACACATCAACATCGACATATTTTTACAGTACGCCAAATCCAAGCTTACGCCCTCTCAGCAGAAAACCCGCAATCCGTGGACACTTTGACAGCAGTTCAGTTCACTTCATACAGATGAAGAAATAAAGGTCTTACCCGGGTAGTGTTGTGCCCAAGGCCATCTATCTATAGAGTTGTGCCAGCATTTGTTCAGGAACTTATGGTTACTTCACCGGTTATTTCATTTATTCATGACATTTATCACGAAATAAAACTAAAGTCAACGCTAAATCCGAGACGACGATCGCCACCTTCTGGTTGTCATAGCAACCAGGCAACCGTGGCATTCGTAACGTGTGGAATCTTATTATTTGAAATGACGTCATTTAAAATGAGGACTTATATTGTATGTCAACTATTCATCAAATATAATTTTTTTTTATTAAATTCATATCTATTTTTAACATTAAAGTATAAATATGAAGTAATTGAATTCATAATATAACATTCTATTGCTAGTTGAATTTGTTGACTGCTTAAAACGTCATTTGCATCGACTTCAAGACGCTGAAAAGGGAGGCTATCGGAAGAGACTGTTCCCTAGCTTCAGCTGGTTCTGCATAACAGTCAATGCTAGGATTCCATTGGATAGTTTTAGAGCGCCTTGCAAAAGATCACTAACATACAAATTCTCAACGATAAGTGAACACAGCAATATGCATTTGCGTATTGTTGGCCGCGCGTAACCACGTGTGATGGTCCAACGGGTGTGGTTGTGTAGAATTTCTCGGTTATTTTGTGTATTGTGAGCATATAAGTGTTCAAGTGACTATGAGGATTCTTTCAATCACTGCCAAACGAGTTTTTGCCCATTCCTCAGGGAAATTATGGATTGATTTGATGATGGTAGCCTGAACGTTTATTCTACGCTCTTGATCGCAATTTCTTTTTTTTAACGAAGTGTTTGTCAGAAGCAGACATCATTTGAAGTGCACTGCTGGAACAGGCCCATTTTGAAGTGCCCTCATTTTATGTTTTAATTTTGCTGAAATTACAAGCTTGAAGTCATTATGCATTTACCTGTGGTTTCAATACGTTGAATGTTCTTGTTCTGTTAAATGACTGGTAAACATGGCATTTCAATTGGGAAACTACGAGGTGAAAATCCAAATATTAATTGATCAATGAGTTGATTTTGTATATGGCTATAAATGCAGCCTTCACTATTACAAGTATTAAACAGGGCAACAGGTCTATACTTGTGGTATCGGGTCCACCCATTGGGGAGAAAAAAATGGTAAATGTCAAGATAAAGTCCTAAGAAGTTTTCAACTTTTCAAGGATAATTTTCACAATGATACATTATTTGACTTCCTGAATCCCAGGGCATATTTTAAGCCACTTACTGCGTCCCATTTTGGGACGCAGCCCCCTCGCCTTGGGACGAAGCCCCTGCTGAGTGCTGATATGACCCACTGCGTCCCTGCCCTGTGCCGGGTGCCCTGTCCGGTTCCATGACCTGTGCCCTGCTGTCTAGTGTCTGCCCTGACCTGTACCCGGCCTTCCCTCTAAAATGTCCTGTGCCATGCCCTGTAACCTGCCGTGCCCTACTTTCTGCCCTCCTCAGTGCCCTACTCTGTTCCTTGCCCTGTGGCTGTGCCTACTGCCTTTAGTCGTAGCACGTGCCCTCTTCTCAACTTTGGGACGCAGTAAAAATTTGTTAAAATATGCCCTGCTGAATCCAAAAATGATACTGACATGGCTCGCAAATAAAAGAAAATAACAATCAAACCTGATGACCTAACCTTACCTACTTACCTAGAACCAACCTGCTAACCTACAACCTAACAACCTACAAACCTAAACTTACAACCTAAAATTTCCACTGTTTCATATTCGTTTCAACAGAGCAGAGAACCACAATTGTAGATCAAACCTTATCTTGACAAATAGGTACAGAAAAACTATTTTCCTTGGGAGATAAAGTAATGAGTGAATACTATAGGAAAGTTGGAGAATTCACTCAAAAATGGTGATTAAAGATGTTTTTCTGAAGAATCTGGGCAGTGGCCAGTGGGTGTCAGATTTGATCAGCAATCAGCTGGTTATTCCATAAATTGATCAGAGGCCAGTTTTACCAACAGAAAAATAGCCGCCTGCCGGAATTTCTTGCCTAAAGACCGCTTCGGCGCTTCACATTCACATACCGTAAAATGGGGTGTTAAGGGACAGTTGCATGGGAAAAACTTTGAGTCATATTAACTTCCTTATTTGAGAAGGTTCAATAAAAACTTCAGTGTGGTAGTTGACACTGTTTTGCTCTTAACCATAGGACAAAATGGTATTGTTTTTCATGCAAGTGATTTGGTTCAAAAATGGAGTTGAAAATCATGCTACATTTTCACAAAATTGAAACATCTCCAAAACTCTGTGTGTACCACATAAACTAGTGGGTGTACAGGGAAAATGAATGCATAGGTGTATTGTCACATGTATTACACATGTTTCCTGAAAAACTTGTGCAAATCCCTCTATTCATTCATCATCCTCTTCCTCTTTTCTGGATACATGCATATTTTGAGGTGGATAGGGACAGAGAAGAAAAAAATAAAAAATAATATATAAATATAATTTCATTAAGTTTTCTTTCAGTAGGCATGGAAAACACCAAATTCCACATAAAATGCTGGCAAATTCATGCTTTTATCTCTAACATATCTTAAGTTATGTAACAAAACATCTCACACTCTCTTTTACAATGATGGGTCAATGGAAACTGATGTAGGTAAATGTGATGTCATCATAAAAAGGCTAAAACAGAGAGGGCAACATAATGACAAGTGACTAGCTTCAACATGGGTTTTTATTGATGACAGAAGATTACTTTTTGGTTCTGTTTACCTTATAATTAGCACATTTTCCACAAGCGTAAACTGCATTACACGTAATTGGCTAAAAAGGTCATTAGTGGTGAATGAACCTGACTTATTTTGTGACAGAATATGCAAAATATTTCAATAAATAAATTGTGTTCCCTTCAACACCCTAATTGTGGGCATTTGATGACCATTTCTTGGAATAATATAGGTGTCCCTTAACACCCCACATTGGGGTGCTAAGGGACAGTGATGAAAAGTAATAAAAAATAATATGCAGGTATAAATCTTAAAAACTTTAATGTGGCAGGCATGTAAAGCACCAAATTCCACATAAAATGCTGACAATTTGATGCTTCTATCTCCAACCCTTCTTGAGTTATATAACAAAACACCTCAAAACTGTCCCTTAACACCCCGTTTTACGGTACAGATTACAGAGTGTAAACGGTAAAGCCCTCTCCGCTTACGTGCCCATTGCGTTTAGTGTTTACGCTCTGTATGTGAAGAGGTCATTAAGCAAAACATTCCGGCAGGTGGCTGTTTTTTGGTTGGTAAGACTGGCCTCAGCAGCACTCTGAAAGAAAATTGTTTGAACATCAACGACAACATTCATGGCAATATGTAGATACAGAAAATAATAATTTCATAATGATGATTTTACGATTAATGGCAACATTACAAAAAAAGTAAAAATAATGACTTTTTAAAACTCTATGCTACTCACTTTTTCTGGCACATCTTCAATCAGAAATTCTGCGGTTGCTCCCAAGACCCAAAGTGAGATTGTTACAAATCAACATATGAAATTGTTAGGTCACAGACAGCTTCTTAAAGATTGGTAGGCAAGGGGATATTACTAATTTTCTTTACTTTTGCATAACATACATATAGGCCCTTTGAAATGCTGATTGTGCTAACTAAGAAAGCTCACAATTCACTTGGGGTTAAGCGCACTACTTTACCTAATATGAATTCTTTGTTGCAGGTATTGTTTACCCTAGAGTTGTAGAATTGTCAAATAATCAAAGATGTCATCTGATGAAGAGCATGAGGATGCACCACAAACCAAAAACCCAGCCTACCAGGACAAGCTGACCTTCAAAGACCTGGTGAGTTGGCCCTTGTCTTGGAAAAGGGGCTTGGCTTTTAATTTTAAAGACTTTTCAATTTGTTCAAGACAGGTTGTATTTTGATTTCTTCCATGATTTTTAAGGGCAGTTCAGAGGGCTGTTCACGGGCACCGCAAGCTGCTGAGTGCAGTGTGTGCAGTGGGTGTGGGGGTAGGGGATGGGTAGTCAGTATGACATCACACGGCTGCGTGCGGTGGACCGCACACAGCTAACGCTGTGGCCGGTCCCGACCGACCAGAGCGGTCGCTGTGTGCGGTGACGGAAGGCCGACGTAGGGACGCAGTGGGCAAAGCTTGGAGCCTGTGTACAGTCCTACCGCACCCAGGGCCCGTGAACAGCCCTCAGGTGTCATCAACCAGGTATGATTGCACAGTGTTGTGTCTGACGATCTGCCCCGGTCTGTCCCTCAGGGCATCACAGAGGTCCTGTGCACTGCTGCGGAACGTCTCAAATGGAGCAAGCCCACGCAGATCCAGTGTGAGGCTGTGCCGATCGCGCTGCAAGGTAACAATGGGGAGAGAGCTGCTGATAGGAAATGCCGATGCTCATGCATGTGTTCTGTACTGGCTGCAGACAGATGTATGTATCACAAAAGTATGTATGACAAATACACATCAGCAAAAGTTTGTACTTTTGCATACGAACATTTGCATATGTACTTTTGTCCGACGTATTTTTGCAATGCGTACTTTGTCCGTGAATCATTCTGTTAAACTTTTTGACTTGCACTACCAAGTACCAACCTACACTGGTGACCGCTGGCCATGTACTATGCAGTTGACCTCTGAACTGACCTGTACCGCTGACCTCGCAACAACCGGCAGGTAAGGACGTGGTCGGCCTGGCCGAGACTGGCTCCGGCAAGACGGGTGCGTTCGCACTGCCGATCCTCCAGCGTCTGCTCGAGTCGCCGCAGCGGCTGTTTGGCCTGGTGCTGACACCGACCCGTGAGCTGGCCTACCAGATCTCCGAGCAGTTCGAGGCGCTAGGTGGGTGAACGCATGATAAGTGGTGTGGATGGGAGTGGCTAAGGCGCCGTAGTGTTAGCTTCAAACATGATCATTGATCATGTTCTCGCCTCTCATTCATACAGTTGATTTATTCAGAGCTCCGTTATATCTCGAGCCCGAAATATTGTTTCTCAAAATGTGTTTATTAAAGGTAAAGTATAGTCGCAATTTGTTCATGGCAAATGATGCGTGTATTTAATGTCTATTTTTACATCACGATGTTCGCCCGCCGCAGGAGCGTCCATCGGCGTCAAGTGCTGTGTCATCGTGGGCGGCATGGACATGATGGCCCAGAGCCTGATGCTGGCCAAGAAGCCGCACGTCATCATCGCCACGCCTGGTCGGCTGGTCGACCACCTGGAGAACACCAAGGGATTCACACTCAAGTCGCTGAAATGTTTGGTAAGGAGCTGGGCTGCTTCACGGTGTGGTGACATCTGTGCGGGCCTGCATGACGGCTGGACGTTATGGTTCTGTCGCTGACAGTGGGCCCGTAGCAGTTCAACCGTATGCATTATGCGTATTTGTTTGGTTGCCTGGAAGCGTTTGGAGCTTACGAGTAGGTAGTTGAGTGTGCTTTCACCTGTTAATAGCATGTGTAGGCAATTTACGATCTTACTCGTTTCTGTCGGCTTATCTAGTGTTCTGCTATCTGTCGACTCGACCGAGATCCATAGTATGAACAATCGCCGGCCATTACTTACCTGAGCCGCTGTTCCTCGCAGGTCATGGACGAAGCAGATCGGATTCTCAACATGGACTTCGGCGTGGAGGTGGACAAGATTGTGAAGGCCATCCCGCGCGAGCGGCAGACCTTCCTCTTCTCCGCCACCATGACCAAAAAGGTGCGAGAGCGTCTTTGAGACAGTGTGACCGAGCCCAATCTGCGACAGAGTTCAGTCTGTGAAGCCTAATAACTACGTAGCTTATTAAAGGGACCCTCCCACCTTCAAAAAAGTTAATGAATTGGCATGAAAGTGATGTCGCTCGGTTCAGAAAGAGCAAAAACAAATATCTACCAAATTTCATCGAAAAATATTCACCGGTTTTCAAGATATTAGACTTTTACTTTTGTTTACTTTTTGGGTTCTCCGCTGTTCCTAGCGACTTTATTTGAAAGTGCGGCATTTGTTGCGCGCAAAGCAGCATATACCACCGCGTGCTACAAAACGTTTTAGTCAAACATTTAAAAATCGTTAGATATCTGCGCTGACGTCACACATTCAGAGGGGTATTCCTATGCATTAGCCCCTCTGAATCAAAATGCTGCAATTTTGAAATTCAATATTTCCGATTTAAGGCATTTCTCGATGTTGTGAGTGCCGAAACCGGTAATTGTGAGCCAGGGACCCCATTTTGGCTAGCTCAACTCAAATCTAATGTTAAGGTGGGAGGGTCCCTTTAAACAGTTATTGGACACCAGTAATGTATCTATACACTTGGAAGCTTTCGGTGGCTTCTGCCTCCTTCATCAGCCTGCTAAAGATATTCCTTAAGATACGTAGATAGATACGTAGTAGTACGTAATATATATGCAATAGATACGTAGTAGATAAAGATACGTAGGTAGCTTAGGTTTTGGGGCTGAACTAATCTGACTGAATTCTTATCATGAGTGATGTCCCATAAACAAAGTCATTTGGGGACATTTTGTGACTGAGGACAGTCCTTACCTGAGGTCCACTCTACTTATGAGGGATGTAATGTAACTGACTCCCTCGTGTCTGCGCCCTCAGGTGAAGAAACTGCAGCGTGCGTCGCTCCGTGACGACTGATATATTGACTGGGTTCCTTCCGTTTCACAGGTGAAGAAGCTGCAGCGGGCGGCGCTCCGTGACGACTGATATTGACTGATTTCTTTCCGTCCCGCAGGTGAAGAAGCTGCAGCGTGCGGCGCTCCGTGACGCGGTCAAGGTGGAGGTATCGAGCAAGTACCAGACAGTGGACAAGCTGCAGCAGTACTACCTCTTCATACCGGCCAAATATAAGGTGAGTGATTCAGCCAATTTAGCTTTATGCCTACTGAAGATTAAGTAAACGGCCGTAATGTAGCTTCACATCTGCCAAATGCATGGTGATTTCATCGACTAACATGCTGAGGGGAGAGGGGACAGGTTGCTAGTGCGGCACTGGACGGATTACAGCATACGATATGTATATTCTCTGGTGTGTGGTTGCGCAGTTAGTTGTCAGAGTGTCATCTGCTCAGTGCTGGATCCGCCGACCAGCGTGCAGCCAGACTAGGGGCAACATATTAGGATGTCTCCATCTTTTGTGCCAGCCAGTGCCTGGTAACAGTTTTTGTCCTTTCTAACGACCATCTGATTTTTTTTTTCAGGACGTGTACCTGGTGCACATTCTGAACGAGCTGGCCGGCAACTCGTTCATGGTGTTCTGCGGCACGTGCAACACCACGCTGCGGCTCTCCTTTCTGCTGAACGCCCTCGGACTGCCGGTAGGTGGCGCTGCCGGTCCAGTAGAGTGGTCTTCGGGTACGGGGCCCGCCAGAGACTGTGCAATGTATGATATTCTAATCTCTATGTCCCAAAGGCCCATTCACTGCTCATTTTGCATCTTTTTACGTCATAACGTCGACACAACTGTTCTGTAACTTGTGTATTGGTGACCATTTTACGTATTCTGTTACTGGATAGGAGATCACTTGTGATTCAGGGTTAGAGACCAGTGACCGCATCTGTCAAAGTATTATAAATCAGGCTTTTCCCGCCACTTAACCGGATATATCGCTAAGGCAAGCTACACAATGCTTCGGCGCGAATGGCATCCACCAAGTGGCTAGTGGGATTGCCTTTGGGCTCCTGAAGCGACCATGGCCCTTTCAGTCAAATTTCCAGCGAAGCTGATGGTGTGGGGATGGTTTAGCAAGCAGTGCCTTTTGCACCAATCCTTAGATTCTGTTACTCACTGCAAGACTCTACCGTGACACTTCGCCTATAAATTCTGCCAAGCACCTGTAGGTTTACGTTATGGTTATGCACTGGTGCAAAATAATTTACCGCTGTGGGTTAGCTAATTACGAAATCGGTTTTTATTCTACCTAGCTAGGTATTTTGGTACTACAAGGGGCCTCCGACTTCACACGCTCATAGAGCAGCAGGATTTCCCTCCGTGGAGTGTAGATCTGTCGTGTAAAATGTAGTAAGATTACTACATTTTATTTATACACACGATTTCGTACATAGACATACATTACATACATTCGATTTCGAATACGCTGAGAGCTGCGGGCTTTGATCAAAATCGGCGTATAAGATATTTCATGACATTTGTAAGCAGATGTATTGGCCTAGTTATCACTCACCCGCATATTGGTTTCAGTTGCAGCCTGTTCTTCACTTTCATCGATCGGACTATTGGAATTATTACTTATCGTGTTTCTTATCAGTTTATTCGTAATTTCTGTCCTCACCTTTGATTCAGTTTTTCATTGATTCCTTGTTTTTCCTAACCTCCCTTCCGTTCCTTCTCATGTATAAGACACACAGAAGCTTTACGAGTAAACGAATCAGAATCAGGGAGTGGGGGCGCTCCCCATGTAGTCGATGTTTACAGCAGCGTATGATCGCCAGTACAAGTGCTATGACTAGTGTTCAGCGTCATTTATGCTGTGTTTCACCTTGACCGTTTTCCTTTGCGCTGGTACTAATTATTGTAGTTTTTGTTGCCCAGTATTCTAATTGGTGTTTGCGACGTCGGTAAATTTTCCTGCACAGGATCCGGTCCATGAACGGAAACTTAAACATCGTGTTGCGCAATTTATGTGTACAGCGTTGCCTGTGACATTTGCATACAAATGCTAAACTCAGTCTATCTTAATCTGATACATATTAAGCACATCGCATTGTATCAAACTTCCTGTTTCTCAGATCTTTGTGATGTCCTGAAAGAAAATAAGTTCACCGTAGGTTCCCGTCAGAAAACTGCCACTGAAATTGTTGATCGGTATCAGTTTTCGTTTGTGCTATCTTGATCATTTAGCTCGGCCTAATCGTCAAGACCTAACAACTGGCTTCAGATACATTTGCACTTTGCACAATTTCACTGGTATTTTTCCAATGTACGACGAATCTGGACATTTCTTCCAACCTTTTTTACTTCTGAGACACCAAAGCACTGACTTGCAGCAGTATCGACCAAGCCCTATCTTTTGCTCTTTATTGAGAACGTTCATGGTTTTCATCAACACCTAGGGTAAATAAGAGTCGTGATGTGTATTTTCCTTCTCACATCGGGAGTAACCGGCCTTTCCAGGCATTTTATCAGTGCGATGGCGTCAACAAATAATCGTCCAATTAATATGTGCCATTGTTCTTCTCCAATTTTGTGTAGCGGGAACCAGACAATGGAATATATTTTTGGGCGAATTGAATTGAAATGGTGTCGAAAGAAGTGAGTAGCAAGTTTTATCTGAGAGTGGTCAGTTTCCCGGAGCTTGTCGCTCATTTATTCTCGTCAAGCGGTGTTTTCGGCTGCTAATTTTCCGGTCCATGGGCTTGTTTCTGTGTTCATCACACTGTCATGAGTAGAATCACAAGGGGTACAACTTTTTATGAAAACTTGCAAAAGCAACGAATTCTTATATTGTTAGTAGCACGCTGTCATAGCGATAGACATAGTGGCATGCTGAAAAAAGCGAAAAAATGTATTTTTTCATCGTCTCCTCTCTTTCTTGCCATTCTTTCTCCTTTTTTCTCCCTCTCTTCACGCGGAAACCTTGGCTCTACCACGGTCGTTGACGCCATCTTTATTCGCAGGCCATACCACTTCACGGACAGATGAACATGAACAAGCGACTGGGCGCCCTGAACAAGTTCAAATCGAAAAATAAGAGCATCTTGTTAGCAACGGACGTGGCCAGTAGGTGAGTTCTGCACGCAGTGTTTGGGGTCTGGGAGTGACAGCGGCATGTGTGCTGCTCTGTTAGATTTGGCGAAGCGTTATGCTTAGCTTAGTGGTCATCCAACACTTTCTTTTTATGTGATCTACGTAATCAACCAACAATTCAACGAACAATTAGTGTGGACGCTTATTTATTATTTCATTATGCAAATCTTATTCAGTTCTTACCAATTTTCTGCATTCAATATATTATCTGCAACCACCATTGTTACCATTATTACCACTATTACATTATTATCAACCACTTTTCTGCATTCAATACATTATCTGCAGATACGTTAGCTTATCAGCGTGTTTTCTCGCTGCACTGTGCACCGTCAACGCTAGTACCTATTAGGCTATCAACATCGAATCTGGACGTATGTAGGAACGTTTTAGGAACATGAAACTTCAAAATCTGATTGATACGGATGTACCATTTTTTAGCACACTTCATCCAATTGAGATTAATAAGCTAGTCTACACTGTAAAACTGCTCAGTCCGTCGTTCACCCCAGCTAACCCACCATCCCTCTTCCGCCAGGGGTCTGGACATCGAACATGTGGACGTGGTGGTCAATTTCGACATCCCGACTCACAGTAAGGAGTACATCCACCGAGTGGGCCGGACGGCGCGCGCCGGCCGCGCCGGCCGCTCCATCACCGTCGTCACGCAGTATGACGTGGAGCTATATCAGCGCATTGAGCACCTCATAGGTGAATACCCGGAGAGAGGTGTGGTCACAGCTTCAGGGTGGCAGCTGTGGTTTTTGGCGGCGGTTGTGGGCGAGAGAAAAGTAAAGTTATGTTGGGCTAGAGTTGTGTTTTCAGACTTCAGAGTCGCCATGCTATGCGCGGCAGTAGGAAGGAGCCGTGAAATTAGGCTATCAACATCGAATCTGGACGTGTATAGGAACGTTCAAGGAACGTGAAGCTACAAAATCTGATTGATTTGGATGTTCTGCTTTTTAGCACACTTCACCCACTTGAGATTAATAAGCTAGTCTGACACATATTAAGCGTTGTAGAGTATATGTAATTGGGGATGCCCCTTTCAACAACCTCCAGCTTCAGTCTACCTCCCGTCTCCAAAACCCGCTGCTGTCGGCCGCGTGGCCGTGCCGGTCGGTATCTTCCCGGCCGGCCGGTCGGCGTCTGTCGGTGCTCGTCGCGGCCCATTGTGGTGTGCGTTTTTCGGGAACGACACTTTCCTGAAGAGCGCCGGCGTGGGCCGTCCGCTGGTAACGCCGGTCGGTATTGTGGCCGTGGCGTACCGTACCGCCCGGCCCGGTCCAGTGCTAACTGCCCCTGCGGTTGGCGGTTTTTGGTACAGCAAGGGATGGAAGGTTCAGGTGCTAGGCCTAAGACATAGACATTCGGTTGTTACTTTTCAGCAGGTTTGTGACAGAATTTTGATTGAGTGGCATGTCAGTAGTAATCAAGTCAACGTATATGTACCAATTTATGTGACTTACAACTGAGCAGAAAATTTTCGTTCGGGGTCCGTATTATAAGCCTTAAAATGTTTGCTTCTCGGTACCTTTCCTACCCCTACCTTTTGCCTGGGATGTGCGTCTTGGACCCGAAGCTGCCACAGTACCCGGCCGCTGATCTGTGGCCTGTGACTGTCTCTGACCTGTGCCTGTGTCTGTTTCCCGTAGGCAAGAAGCTGCCGCAGTACCCGGCCGCAGAGGACGAGGTGATGATGCTTCAGGAGCGGGTCATGGAGGCCGACCGGCACGCCAAACTGGTGAGTACCACTTTTGTGACCGTGTCAATACCGTGGTGTTACCTTGTTCATGGTCTGTAGGAGCTCCTGTTACTGTGACGCATCTATCCGTGTGTTACCCTGACGCTTTCTGTATGAATTGCGATGTCTGTAAGACCCCTCCCCCCATCTGTTCTGGGTGTGAGAGCTGCAGTCATAGCGAACTGTAAGACATGTCCTGTTCATCATGCCAGCTTTAGGAGCTCTGTACGAGCTTTAGTCCTTATAAGACACCTGCTCGTCTATTAACGATGTCTCTGTGCGCAGGAGCTGCGCTCGCTCGGAGACAAGGAGACGGGCAGGAAGCGGAAACGGCGGCCGGACGGTGACGATGAGGATGGAGACGATGACGGTGACGCCGCCATCCGCCGGCGGCTCCACTCCAAGAAGAAGGGACGCGGTGGCCGGCGGTGACGGCCTGGTGAGCGGAGAAAGGGTGACGGCGGGAGGACCGCGGCGGCGGGGCGGCGGGGGGCTGACTAGAGCTCATGAGAGTGAGCTGGGAGGCCTCAGCGATCACGAGAGCTCATTCGGCGCTCACGCCTCACTCACGCCTCATTGCTCGTCGGAGCGGCTTTACCAACGGAGACAATCCACGTCCTGCGCTGGCTGGCAGTGGAGTGTGGGATGGTTGGCTTTTGCTGAAGGTGGTGAGTCTGGACATCATAAGTCTGACACATATAAGTTGTGAAGTTACAGCAGACGCCCTGCTATGAGCTGCAAGAACGGCTGGTCTCGCATATGATCGCCACCAGTGTCTCCGCCTGGTGTGACTTGACTTAGCCAATGCTACCAACAGCATTGACTTCTCAGTCCAGCATGGTCCCCATGAATGATGGTAACGACACGTGGAGGTTTTGTTTGAACGTTGAAACCGTTTTGACAAGGGACGTTGAATGTGTGCACTTTGCATTTGTTGTGACTGCTGCATGGGTCTAATGTCGCGGCATTGCTGAAGAGATCAGATGGGTGTGAGATGGATAACTGTTTCACCATTCAGCGTGTTGTGTGACCTGTTCGGGTCGGGGCTTTTTTGGGGGATCGCATTGTTCACACATGTGTACGTTACAACCGTCGTAGAGTGGTTTAGAATACATGATCGAACGTGAGCTGTTGTCTACGCAGGACGAAATGATGACGTTTGCAACGTCCTGTGTCAATATTTGTGCGGTAAAAAGACACCGCACAATTACAAGAAACTTGCAGCCAGCATTTCTTGGGACTTCTTACCGATCGGAATTTATCTGCAAAGGAGTATCTTGAAGCTTTACCTACCCGGTTCGCAAGTTGCACGCTTGATCGTACGTAGTTATGAAGTGAACAGTAATAATGTTTGCATATATTTATGTGTGTGATCATATGTTTATCTACTATTATAAATCTTAAAAAGTCCGCCGCCGCCCACGCCCACGCCGCCGTCGGGGTTACTCCCAAAAACGCTTATTGCGGCGCCGTCGATTGACGCAGGATGGTGAAATTTTTACCACTCGTGGGTCACGTAAATGAACAGGTCGTATCAAATTTTGGGCACGATGCGGCCGGGGGTGCGCCCGTGGCGCGTGCTCATGTGCGCCATAGGGTTAGCATTAGAATCGGCAAAAACAGGCTATGGCTCGGGAACGGTAAGGGCTACGGGGGTGAAATTTTCGCTGTAAGTCGAGCGCGTGCACTCATTTGTCGTATTAAATTTTCGACGGTGTGGGTTCAGCGGTGTGCACGTGGTGGGGCCGCGACCAGTGCCGAGCAGAAGGCACGTGCTTTAGGCTCAGTTGTTCGCTTAAAAACCTGAGTGAAAAGCATATCGGCAGGTCGTTGACCTTTGACAATGAATACCGACGCTGGGCACCGCTCGCCAAGAGGATTCGCCAGTAAATACAATTAATTTATTTTTGCAAAATCTCAGCCGTTTCTGGGCCGATTTAGCTGAAACTTGGACTGTCGGTGGTAGTGTAGTGTAGGGTAGGGTAGGGTAGGGTAGGGGTAGGGTAGGGAAGGGTAGAGTAGGGGTAGGGGTAGGGTAGGGTAGGGTAGGGTAGGGTAGGGTAGGGGTAGGGTAGGTTAGGGTAGTGTATGGGTATGGGTAGGGGTAGGGTATGGTAGGGTATGGTAGGGTAGGGTAGGGTAGGGTAGTGTAAGGGTAGGGTAGGGTAGGGTAGGGTAGGGGTAGGGTAGGGTAGTGTAGGAGTAGGGTAGGGTAGGGTAGGTTAGGGTAGTGTAGGGGTAGGGTAGGGTAGCGTAGGGTATGGTAGGGTAGGGTAGGGTATGGTAGGGTAGTGTAGGGGTAGGGTAGGGTAGGGGTAGGGTAGGGGTAGGGTAGGGTAGAGTAGGGTAGGGTAGGGTAGGGTAGTAGGGTAGGGTAGGGGTAGGGTAGGGTAGGGTAGGGGTAGGGTAGGGTAGGGTAAGGGTAGGGTAGGGTAGGGTAGGGTAGGGGTAGGGTAGGGTAGGGTAGGGTAGGGTAGTGTAGGAGTAGGGTAGTAGGGTAGGGTAGGGTAGGGTAGGGTAGGGGGTAGGGTAGGATAGGGTAGGGGTAGGGTTTAGTTCAAAAAGGGCCCAAAATACAAAACACTTGAACACCCCGCAACTATCACCATCCCTTACAGTTCAATTAAAAACAGCTACCCAAATCTATCCAAATAATACATCTAAAAATACAAGTCAATCACCCAAACTAATGCACCCGTAACATAGCATAAATCAAAACATACAGTTATCGCGTAAACCTGTACCTCTAGTCTACTATTATAAATCTTAAAAAGTCCGCCGCCGCCCACGCCCACGCCGCCGTCGGGGTTACTCCCAAAAAGCCTTATTGCGGCGCCGTCGGTGGACGCAGGATGGTGAAATTTTCACGACTCGTGGGTCACGTAAATGAACAGGTCGTATTAAATTTTGGGCACGATGCGTCCGGGGGTGCGCCCGTGGCGCGTGCTCATGTGCGCCATAGGGTTAGCATTAGAATCGGCAAAAACAGGCTATTGCTCGGGAACGGTAAGGGCTACGGGGGTGAAATTTTCGCTGTAAGTCGATCGCGTGCACTCATTTGTCGTATTAAATTCTTGAGGGGGTGGGTTCAGCGGTGTGCACGTGATGGGGCCGCGACCGGCGCCGAGCAGAGGGCACGTGCTTTAGGCTCAGTTGTTCGCTTAAAAACTGACTGGAAATAATCAGAGCCGGAAGGTCATTGACCTTTGACAACGAAGGCCGACACAAGGCACCGCTCGCCAAGGGGATTCGCCAGTAAATACGATAAATTTGTTTTTGCAATATCTCAGCCGTTTCTGGGCCGATTTAGCTGAAACTTGGATTGTCGGTGGCAGTGTAGGGTAGGGTAGGGTAGGGTAAAGTAGGGTAGGGTAGGGTAAAGTAGGGTAGGGTAGGGTAGGGTATGGGTAGGGGTAGGGTAGGGTAGGGTTGGGTAGGGGATTGTAGGGTAGGGTAGGGTAGGGTAGGGGATTGTAGGGTAGGGGTAGGGTAGGGTAGGGTAGTGTAAGGGTAGGGTAGGGTAGGGTAGGGTAGTGTAAGGGTAGGGTAGGGTAGGGTAGGGAAGGGTAGGGTAGGGTAGTGTAGGAGTAGGGTAGGGTAGGGTAGCCGTAGGGTAGTGTAGGGGTAGGGTAGGGTAGGGTAGGGGTAGGGTAGGGTAGGGTAGGGTACTACCATACAAAACACTTGAACACCCCGCACCTATCACCAACCCCTACAGTTTAATTAAAAAGAGCTACCCAAATCTATCCAAATAATACATCTTAAAATACAAGTCAATCACCCAAACTAATGCACCCGTAACATAATATAAATCAAAACATACAGTTATCGCGTAAACCTGTACCTCTAGTCTACTATTATAAATCTTAAAAAGTCCGCCGCCGTCGGGGTTACGCAGCCGGCGTTACTCCCAAAAACGGCTATTGCGGCGCCGTCGATTGACGCAGGAGGGTGACATTTTCACGACTCGTGGGTCACAAAATTAAACAGGTCGTATTAAATTTTGGGCACGATTCGGCCGGGGGTGCACCCGTGGCGCGTGCTCATGTGCGCCATAGGGATAGCATTAGAATCGCGACCGGCGCCGAGCAGAGGGCACGTGCTTTAGGCTCAGTTGTTCGCTTAAAAAACTGAGTGAAAAGCATCAGAGCCGGCAGGTCATTGACCTTTGACAACGAAGGCCGACACAGGGCACCGCTCGCCAAGGGGATTCGCCGGTAAATACAATTAATTTGTTTTTGCAATATCTCAGCCGTTTCTGGGCCGATTTAGCTGAAACTTGGACTGTCGGTGGTAGTGTAGGGTAGGGTAGGGTAGGGTAGGGTAGGGTAGGGTAGGCTAGGGTAGGGTAGGGTGGGGTAGGGTAGGGTAGGGTAGGGGTAGGGGTAGGATAGGGTAGGGTAGTGTAGGGGTAGGGTGGGGTAGGGTAGGGTAGGGTAGTGTAGGGGTAGGGTAGGGTGGGGTAGGGTAGGGTAGGGGTAGGGTAGGGCAGTGTAGGGGTAGGGTTAGGGTAGGGTAAGGTAGGGTAGGGTATGGTAGTGTAGGGTAGGGTAGGGTAGGGTAGGGTAGGGGTAGGGTAGGGTAGGGTAGTGTGGTAGGGTAGGGTAGGGTAGTGTAGGGGTAGGGTAGGGTAGTGTAGGGGTAGGGTAGGGTAGGGGTAGGGTATGGTAGGGGTAGGGTAGGGTAGGATAGGGGTAGGGTAGGGTAGGGTAGTGTAGGGGTAGGGAAGGGTAGGGTAGGGTAGAGTAGGGTAGGGTAGGGTAGGGTAGGGTTGGGTAGTGTAAGGGTAGGGTAGGGTAGGGTAGGGGTAGGGGTAGGGTAGGTTAGTGTAGGAGTAGGGTAGGGTAGGGTCGGGTAGGGTAGGGTAGGGTAGTGTAGGAGTAGGGTAGGGTAGGGTAGGGTAGGGGTCGGGTAGGGTAGTGTAGGAGTAGGGTAGGGTAGGGTAGGGTAGAGTAGGGTAGGGTAGTGTAGGGGTAGGGTAGGGTAGGGTAGGGTTGCATTGAGTAACATCCTAACTTACAAAGGGCTCGAACAACTCGCATGCATCACCATCATACTTTACAGTTCAATTGAAAGCAGTTACCAAGTTCTACACAAATAATACCAATAAAAATGCAACTTTCTTCACCCAAACTAATGCATCCGTTAATCATACATATCAAAACATACAGTTATCGCGTGAACCTGTACCTCTAGTATTTATAAATCCTAAAAAGTCCGCCGCCGGTTACTCCCAAAAACGCTTATTGCGGCGCCGTCGATTCATGCAGGAGGGTGAAATTTTCACGACTCGTGGGTCACGTCATTCAAGAGGTCGTATTAAATTTTGGGCACGATGCGGCCGGGGGTGCGCCCGTGGCGCGTGCTCATGTGTGCCATAGGGTTAGCATTAGAATCGGCAAAAACAGGCTATTGCTCGGGAACGGTAAGGGCTACGGGGGTGAAATTTTCACGCCAAGTCGATCGCGTGCACTCATTTGTCGTATTAAATTTTCGACGGTGTGGGTTCAGCGGTGTGCACGTGGTGGGGCCGCGGTCGGCGCCGAGCAAAACGCTCGTGCTTTAGGCTCAGTTGTTCGCTTAAAAACCTGAGTGAAAATAATCAGACAACGAAGGCCGACACAAGGCACCGCTCGCCTAGGAGATTCGCCAGTAAATACAATAAATTTGTTTTTGCAATATCTCAGCCGTTTCTGGGCCGATTTAGCTGAAACTTGGACTGTCGGTGGTAGTGTAGGGTAGTGTAGTGTAGGGTAGTGTAGGGGTAGGGGTAGGGGTAGGGTAGGGTAGGGTAGGGTAGGGTAGGGTAGAGTAGGGTAGGGTAGGGGTAGGGTAGGGTAGGGTAGGTTAGGGTAGGGTAGGGTAGGGTAGGGTAGGGTAGGGTAGGGTAGGGGTAGGGTAGGGTATGGTAGGTTAGGGTAGTGTAGTGTAGGGTAGGGTAGGGTAGGGTAGGGTAGGGTAGGGTAGGGTAGGGTAGGGTAAGGTAGGGTAGGGTAGTAGGGTAGGGTAGGGTAGGGACTAGGGTAGGGTAGGGTAGGGTAGGGTAGGGTAGGGTAAGGTAGGGTAGGGTAGGGTAGGGTAGCGTAGGGTAGGGTAGAGCTAGGTAGGGTAGAATTAGGTAGGGTAGGGTATAGTAGGGTAGGTTAGGGTAGTAGGGTAGGGTATGGTAGGGTAGGGAAGGGTAAGGTAGGGTAGAGTAGGGTAGGGTAGTAGGGTAGGGTAGTAGGGTAGGGTAGTAGGGTAGGGTAGTAGGGTAGGGTAGTAGGGTAGGGTAGAGTAGGGTAGGGTAGGGTAGGGTAGGGTAAGGTAGTAGGGTAGGGTAGGGTATGGTAGGGTAGGATAGGGTATGGTAGGGTAGGGTAGGGGTAGGGTAGGGTAGGGTTGAATTGAGTAACATCCTAACTTACAAAGGGCTCGAACAACTCGCATGCATCACCGTCATACTTTACACTCAGTTCAATTAAAAGCAGTTACCCAGTTCTACACAAATAATACCAATAAAAATGAAAGTTTCTACAACCAAACTAATGCATCCGTTAATCATACATATCATAACATACAGTTATCGCGTAAACCTGTACCTCTAGTGTTTACTAGTGGCCATGTCCTTAAGTATAATTTCATCCCGGACTCCCCGGTTAGTGATTCCAGCCGGCGCCAGGAACCGTCGACTCCTCGTTACGGCCGGTGACGCCTGACTCGCCCGGCCGGTGACCTTTCCTGGCCCGTGTCGTCCACGCCGTGTCGTCCACGCCGTGTCGTCGGCGCCAGTCTTCCCTGTCGGCCGTCGGGCGGATGTGCGATTTACCCCTATCAGGCCACCAAATCGCGCCGACGCGGGACCTTGGACCTTCGCAGGAACCCATGGATGCAGCGTCTTTTTACACCGAGTCGATATTGAAGGCTTATCGGCTGATATCGGAGCCCTTGTTACCGGCACTGTTTCGATAACAAACGGCCGTATCAAGGCCCTAAGGCCGTATCGCAACTGTCAGCTTTGTCGGCGTGCGTTCATCATTGTTGGACGCCGTTTGTCATGTTTTTATTTCACGATTTACTCGGACAAACAGGAATGCTGCCATTTGTTTGCGGTCTATAACTAAACATTATACAATATCAACATGCGTGTTTCACATCGTGTGGAGGGGCAGCCATAATTGTAAAGTCACTGCATAAATACCTACAAGCGCATCACGACACATTTAACCGGTAAGGATCAATTCCACACTTCACACCACAGTTCTTCGCATGAGATCTCATAGCCGGCATGCCTCACACAATCAGCACCACACTTAACAATGCTAACAAAACGACAAACGTCATGTAAATAAATACAAACTAGCGCCGCGTCGTCATCCATCCAACACATATGGCGGGTCGCAACAACAGCCCATCGCGCCTGGTTTTTGGACGGCTCCGCGCCGTCCGCGTCCGCCCCACAGCCAAACCAACACCTGTCCCGTCCAGTGACGACCCTCCGACACCCGATTACCGTCCGATTGTACCGCGACCTATTGTCCGGCGGCGTAAAAGAGTCGCGAAGCGTCAATGGGCCACCAGTTTCCTCGGTGATTTCGAGTCGGAGAGACTTTTCGCCGGGGCGCGAGCCGTTTACCTTGGCGTTGCTGATAAGGATCGCACCGCGCGGCGGACAGTCGCGTTTGTCGGTCCAGAGCGGCGCGGTGGCAGCGCGAGCGCCAGGTATCATCACTGTCGGCAACGGCCGGTCGGGTATTGTTCGCATCAACAGCCTCGTCACAGCATATCACAGATTGATCACGTCTTGGAGACTGTAGAGAGCCGCTGCGTTGGGTGTTGCGGGAGACGCATTTGCCGCTGAGCCGAAACGCAGAGGTGGGTGACGTCACTTGGTGGTAAAACGGGGCACGGATGACGTCACATGCAGGACGGTGGCAGTGCAGACCCGTCAATCGCAGATTCCGTGACGGTCCGTGCCGTACGTCCCGTGATAGCCCGTATTCGTACCTTCTCATAGCGATTTGAACGGCTTCATGACGGACAGAACGTGGCGTTTGGATGAATCAGACAGTGAAGCGAGTAAAACCTGCGAATAAAAGGACGGTCAACGACGGTACTGATGGCTAACAGTCAATGGTCATACAAACGATTTGTCATCTGAAGCCCCGACGCCTGTGCTAACAACTTCCGCTGCTCCCGTGGTGGGGTAAGCACTAAGCTGGACGGAGGTCGCACTGCATCTCACCTGGTCGGGTCCCTCTGCGAGTCCAGTGTGTCCAGACTGACGACATTTGCCTCATCCGGGTACTGAGAGTAGCTGAACGATATCTGAGGACAACGAAGAATAAACGGATTTATTCGCCGACTGCATGTGGAGAAATTAGGAAACATTTACAAATAAAGGAATTAATTCAACGACAGCATGCAGAATAAACATTTGCGGAATCTGGTGTCCAAAAGGCCAATAAAAATAATGTCACGTTTGACGTTACCTAAAAGCACATAAATCATTTGTGAGGAACATTTAAAGGCTATTTCTCGCCACGTAGTCCCAAGAACGAATAAGCGGCGGGTCACCTTTGAAATGCCGTATAAGGCGCCCGACTCATACATCATACACGGAATCGACGTTCAGACACTCAACAAGCTCTTCATCCACTCCTGTGCCCACCTGTTTACTCAGCTGGTCGGTCCTAATGAATTTCATCTGCTCCAGGTGTGAGTGGAACTGGTCCACAACGGAGAGAGGCACCTTCAGCAGGTGCTCTGAAACACACAGTGACACATCGGGTCAGCCGTCTCTCCCTTCCAGGTCAGACGTCGCTCTTCCTGAGGTCAACCATCTCCCCAGTCAGGTCAGCCGTCTCCACTGGTCTTACCCGCTTACCAAATAAGAAATCGCCTCAGTTAAATGACCCCTTATTATTGACATATCAGCTGAGAGTTGGAATTTGAGAATCGCCTTCCCCGGTCAAAGAACCGTCTTTTCCTCCAGAGTTCGATCCCTCTCATTTTTCCATTTTTCTGCCGTCCATATTGATCGTTTACCCGGCTATACGTATTTAGTCATCGCTGCAATGATAAGTGTTATGAATATGCATATATTTGCACACTTATTTCATGCTTAATCGTACCGACAATATAGCCGACAGTGACGTCATCGGGCAGTCTGATTTTGTCACCGACCCGCATAAACCGGCCGCCGCTGAAACAGAACGTGCGACCGTCAGGCGAAGACGCTACGACATAAAACGTCACTTGATGTTGATATGCATGGTACCTGGGCCAGGCTATCTCACTACGCTATTTTTGTTTTTACGATATTTATATGTACCGTTGTATTTACAATGCACACATTATTACAAAAAAAAAAAAAAACAGTTCGACCGTCTTCAGCAATGTCCTTTGAGTCTTCGTGTCTTACCTGGCGATGGGTGCCATTTTGAGGGCGAGGGCTCGACTGAGGCAGAAGCCAGCCCCACCAGTGGCGAACCAGAATGACACCCGCTCCTGCAGCCACAAAGTGACACGGTCAGGGTGACAGAGTGACACGCTTAGAGTTACAAAGTGGCATGTAGGTGGGAAGCTGACCTCTAACATCTCGTGGTGACAGGGGGATGGCACAAAACGGCAGTGCCGTTGAATAATCATTGTAGGGAAATGGGATATTTCTTAAACAAATTAAGAGGGTAGTTACAATGACACCATCGGTGTGAAACCATCATTTCGCTCGGCACTCACCCCTGGCCGGTCTCTGTCGAGGATCTGCAGCGGCGCCCGGATGCTGTTCTTGCCCAGGTACCAGTCCTGCTGGGGACTGTATCCAGAGAGCAGCTCTGACAGACGAACCACGTTCACGTAATTGTCGTCATCGAAGTGACAGAACCACCTGAAAGCGTGACACGGGCGTCAGGGTAACGTTTGTGGGTGTCGGAGGGATCCCAAATAACGGCTATTTAGAATAAAGGTGGGATGCGGACTTATAAATTTTGTGTTTTTTATAAACGATACGATCACATATGTTGTGTTATTCATAAATGAAAGGAAAACATGCGATAACTATATGTAGGTACTCGCATATGTTAAAGGGACCCCCCCCCCACCTTCAAAAAAGTTAATGAATTGACACGAAAGTGATGTCGCTCGGTTCAGAAAGAGCGAAAACGAATATCTACCAAATTTCATCGATAAATATTCACCGGTTTTCAAGATATTAGACTTTTACTTTTGTTTACTTTTTGGGATCTCCGCTGTTCCTAGCGACTTTATTTGAAAGTGCGGCATTTGTTGCGCGCAAAGCAGCATATACCACCGCGTGCTACCAAACGTTTTAGTAAAAGATTTAAAAATCGTTAGCTCTCCGCTGACGTCACAAATTCTAAGGGGGCATACCAATGCACTAGCCCCTTAGAATCCGAAAACTGCAAGTTTGAAATTCCATATCTCCGAATTAAAGCATTTGTCGATGTTGTGAGTGCCCAAACCGGTATTTGCAGGCCATGGCCACCAATTTGGCTATCTCAACTCAAAACTAATGTTAAGGTGGGAGTGTCCCTTTAACAATAAAACGACATTATTATAGGCTTGTGACGACTGAAGGTCGACGCTAAGTCATCATAAGATGATCATTGATCAGCATGTGATGACATTTCATGGAAGCCCACATGCAACACACATGCTACCCTGCTACTCACTTTTTCCCAGAGGCCATGAAGGTGTCGTATTCGACGGCCATTTTGCAGCAGAGCGCCTCCCTTCGGTGGGATGGCGAACAGTTGGTGTTAATTACGTGTCCACCTGTGAAGCGAGGGCTCTGTCACCGTCACGACATACATAAACCAGCCGGTGTGGGGAAGGAAGTGGTGACATGACATTGCAATAGTTGTTGTCTTTGTCTAATATACATTCGACACGAACAGATGTTATGACGGCGGTATACTTCGCTTTTTACCACATGCCGAGATATCCCTTTAACATTAGCACGTGCATTTGGGAAATGGCTTCGGCCCGCCTCGGCTAATGTTGAAGGTATTTGGGAAACGATTCGGCCCTAGGGCTTTTTGATTTTCCCAGACAAAGTTTTACTGAATATTCTGAGCGGAAGAACCAATTTCAAAGAAGATATTTACGAATTGTGTGTTCACTAACAGCAACAGCAAAAGTGAGTGACTGCGTGTTTACATACTTTTGCTGTCAACGTAATTCAACTAAACAAGGTTATCGTTCCAATGCCAATGTATTTATTGCTGCAGAACATGTTCGGAATAATAATTATTTCTACATAATGCACGCAAAAAAACGAACAATTTAAATGCGTGAAGCATCTTAACGTGCCACAATGAAACATTTGATATTGTTCCAGCTGGGATCCAAGACGCGTTTGATTCAGCGTTTCACCAAATTTTTAGTTTTCATCACGGTTTCCTCACTCCTGCTGGACTCCATATCTTTATTCTAACTTCTGGCGCTTCACCATCTTCATCCTCAGCTTTTTCAAACCCTAAATAAGGGGAAGTAGGAATTTCATCTTTCATACTCAACGCAGCCTAATAATGAAAAACACAAAAAGATAATCACGGTGACTATAAATATGAACATAGTATTAATATAATATTAACACAATATTAAGATTAAAGTGTAAAATATCAAATGAATATGATATCAACTGTTGCGCCGGTACGGCATGTGGTAAATCTCTTCCCAACCTTGGGCTGTGAAAATGCAGTTTTATTCACCTCGGTTTTTGGCTACGGACCTCGTGCCTACCGGCACTCGGTCCTCCGCACAAAAACCTCGGTGAATAAAACGCATTTTCCCAGCCCCGGTCGGGAATATATAAGCCCGTGTGGCAAGTAAGACATTGGCATAACTACATAGGTACTGGCTCACAGCATGCAATAATGGGTGGATAATGCAGAATAAATGTGCTCCAGATATTATCTACGGGTATTTACAAATAAACTCCACAATGTTGAAGTGTTTTGCGTACTCCTTCCTTACGCTGTAATACCTAGTTATTGTACATACCTAGGTACAGTCCACAGCAGAAGTAATGTGGGGTTTCAGTCATGGGTATGTTCTGCTTCTGAAGCTTAGGAACGATTAGCCAGACTACAGTGAAACTTTGAATGTAGCGTATGTATCGTACGCTACATGTATGTATATGTATCTATGTATCGTCACCCTTGCAGCTGCAACTTTAGCTATTGACATCTTGTTTTCGATCACTCCGCATTAAACAATCGCCGGTCAAAGCCAACCGTTGAGATTGGTAAAACCCTACATTACTTTAGCGGTGGGCTGTACCTATAATATTCTACCCGCCGTTAATGAAAACGAAACCGATCCGCTTTATGCGTAGTTATTTTCTATAATATTCGTATGCTGCCCAACAAATCCAAGATATCAACAAATATTCTTCCTGTGTGTGGAGCGGTAGCCTTGGCATAGCAGTCGCTCGAGAGGAGATAAATCCTGAATAGGTAGGCTAGCCCGGAGTGCACGGACGCTATGCGGCACAGCCTACCAGGACCCGACTTGTTACAGCGGACAGTGGAGCCAGGGCACTGGGCTAGACGATGACTTCGCTATGGCTCTCTTCGCCCTTTCTCCTTCATCTCCCTCTCCCTCTCCTCTCCTCTCTTCCTCTCTCTCTCTCTCTCTCTCTCTTTCTCTCTCTCTCTCTTTCTCTCTCTCTCTCTCTCTCTCTCTCTCTCTCTCTCTCTCTCTCTCTCTCTCTCTCTCTCTCTCTCTCTCTCTCTCTCTCTCTCTCTCTCTCTCTCTCTCTCTCTCTCTCTCTCTGTGTCTCTGTCTCTGTCTCTGTCTCTGTCTCTGTCTCTGTCTCTGTCTCTGTCTATATGTCTCTATGTCTCTCTGTCTCTTACATGTCTAATTATTACGAGCGAGCGAGCGCAGCGAGCCAAGTGAGTCTTTTCAATATAACGGAAAAATCTCAGTATGAGCGGCCCGGCCCGGCCCGGCCCGGCCCGGCCTGTAACGCTTTTGAGAGGCTTATATCTCAGCAACCGCTGGACCGATTGGCCTGCGGTCTTTTTTGTTGGGTAGCCCCATCCCTTCTACCCCGTAATTGACTACTTTTGATACATCTCAGTGACCGTCGTGGCACGTGCCACGTGAAAACTCAAGGGTGTTCAAGATGTTTTGCAAAAGTAGTGATTTTGAGAGGCTCATATCTCAGCAGCCGCTTGGGCGATTGACTTGCGGTACTTTTTGTAGGGTAGCAGCATCCCTTCTACCCAAAATAGGATACTCTCGATGCATGTGGGTCACCCCCAGCGCACGTGCAAAATACAACAATAAGAGGTGCCAAATTTGTTCCCATTTCAGTAACTCGGTAATTACTGGTGCGATTTCGCTGAAACTTGGCATACAGGTAGGCACCCACCAGGCAATGCATTCCCATGTGTTGCGGTTGGGGTGCTACTGCACGTGCCCACGTGCAGGGGGCGTTTCCAGATCTCGAGAACGGCTGGGTTGATTGCGCTCAAATTTGGTACACGGTTGGGGACCAGTTAGTAGGGTGCCGTGCAAAAGTCATTTTGGACCCCGTTTGCACGTGCGCACGTGCAGAATGCCGCTTCCAGATCTCAGGAACGGCTGGGCCGATTGCGTTCAAATTTGGCACACCGCTAGCGACCGGTTAGAAGGGTGCTTTGCGCAAGCCCGTTGGAAGCACCCTCTCGCCCTTCCGCACGTGCAGGGCTCACTATCTCGCTCGCTCGTTCTTCGCCCAAAAGGCGTTTTACTGGTTATAATACTATACCATTACGTTCCTTCGGTAAGGCTAGAGAGGGTAAACTAAACTAAACTAAATGTCCCAGGTGGCAGGATGACGCCTTGTGAAGGTCGGTGTGCAACATTGCACGCCTTATTTGGATCTCCGGGGCCTTCTTGTTCAGGATTTATTGCGAATTTTGCTTATCGAGGCATCCTTTCTAAATATCGAGCTGTTAAGCCGCCTTTAGTGTTAAAAAGTGCTGCAACTGCAGGACGTCCATCGGAATTTGCAAATGTCGATGCAGGTGGCACACACAAGCTCCGAACGTTAAAATACCGAATTATGTTCGAGGTGTTAGGTTCGCTTTTTAGAAGCCCTCTAAAGCCGAATAAATAAAGCTTTTGGTCATTTCATATCTACTATTATAAATCTTAAAAAGTCCGCCGCCGCCCACGCCCACGCCGCCGTCGGGGTTACTCCCAAAAACGCTTATTGCGGCGCCGTCGATTGACGCAGGATGGTGAAATTTTTACCACTCGTGGGTCACGTAAATGAACAGGTCGTATCAAATTTTGGGCACGATGCGGCCGGGGGTGCGCCCGTGGCGCGTGCTCATGTGCGCCATAGGGTTAGCATTAGAATCGGCAAAAACAGGCTATGGCTCGGGAACGGTAAGGGCTACGGGGGTGAAATTTTCGCTGTAAGTCGAGCGCGTGCACTCATTTGTCGTATTAAATTTTCGACGGTGTGGGTTCAGCGGTGTGCACGTGGTGGGGCCGCGACCAGTGCCGAGCAGAAGGCACGTGCTTTAGGCTCAGTTGTTCGCTTAAAAACCTGAGTGAAAAGCATATCGGCAGGTCGTTGACCTTTGACAATGAATACCGACGCTGGGCACCGCTCGCCAAGAGGATTCGCCAGTAAATACAATTAATTTATTTTTGCAAAATCTCAGCCGTTTCTGGGCCGATTTAGCTGAAACTTGGACTGTCGGTGGTAGTGTAGTGTAGGGTAGGGTAGGGTAGGGTAGGGGTAGGGTAGGGAAGGGTAGAGTAGGGGTAGGGGTAGGGTAGGGTAGGGTAGGGTAGGGTAGGGTAGGGGTAGGGTAGGTTAGGGTAGTGTATGGGTATGGGTAGGGGTAGGGTATGGTAGGGTATGGTAGGGTAGGGTAGGGTAGGGTAGTGTAAGGGTAGGGTAGGGTAGGGTAGGGTAGGGGTAGGGTAGGGTAGTGTAGGAGTAGGGTAGGGTAGGGTAGGTTAGGGTAGTGTAGGGGTAGGGTAGGGTAGCGTAGGGTATGGTAGGGTAGGGTAGGGTATGGTAGGGTAGTGTAGGGGTAGGGTAGGGTAGGGGTAGGGTAGGGGTAGGGTAGGGTAGAGTAGGGTAGGGTAGGGTAGGGTAGTAGGGTAGGGTAGGGGTAGGGTAGGGTAGGGTAGGGTAGGGGTAGGGTAGGGTAGGGTAAGGGTAGGGTAGGGTAGGGTAGGGTAGGGGTAGGGTAGGGTAGGGTAGGGTAGGGTAGTGTAGGAGTAGGGTAGTAGGGTAGGGTAGGGTAGGGTAGGGTAGGGGGTAGGGTAGGATAGGGTAGGGGTAGGGTTTAGTTCAAAAAGGGCCCAAAATACAAAACACTTGAACACCCCGCAACTATCACCATCCCTTACAGTTCAATTAAAAACAGCTACCCAAATCTATCCAAATAATACATCTAAAAATACAAGTCAATCACCCAAACTAATGCACCCGTAACATAGCATAAATCAAAACATACAGTTATCGCGTAAACCTGTACCTCTAGTCTACTATTATAAATCTTAAAAAGTCCGCCGCCGTCGGGGTTACGCAGCCGGCGTTACTCCCAAAAACGCCTATTGCGGCGCCGTCGATTGACGCACGAGGGTGAAATTTTCACGGCTCGTGGGTCACGTCATTCAACAGGTCGTATTAAATTTTGGGCACGATGCGGCCGGGAGTGCGCCCGTGGCGCGTGCTCATGTGCGCCATGGGGTTAGCATTAGAATCGCGACCGGCGCCGAGCAGAGGGCACGTGCTTTAGGCTCAGTTTCTTCGC